TGCATCCCAATTCAGGATTGTTGAAAATTTTAGAAGTCACCAATCATGCAGAATTTTCATGACATTACTTTGATGTTTGTATGCTGTTGTAAATCACAACACTTAGATCAAATGTGTACACAGGCAAAAAATTCCTACACTCATGGGCGAATCCAGAGGCAAATTTATTTCATTGAGAAATAATTTTATTGAAAATTCGAATACAACCAGCAAATCAATTCGATATTTACCCATTTTAGAAAATCTTTCCAACAATTTTTATGATTAAATATAATAGAATGTCTGAATTCTTGCATGTAGTCACCAGCAAAGCTGTGGATTGGATTGATCGTCAAGGAAAGGAGGTCGTTGACAATGAAATAATGTCGGAGTCAAGACCGATCCATGAGGGGCACCCGCGTTGGCATTGTGGGATGAAGAGGAGAACCCGTCATTCGACGGATATCCTGCGGTCACCTCTCTGCAAAGCTTCTCTGTGAGGCCATATTATGGAAGTTTGCATCACAGGGCAGCATACCACAGTTGATTGAAAGCAAGAGCAACGACATGGGCCTCAGCATACGACTGGAGTTTACTCCAGAGTTGCGTGACGTAAGCTAGGAGGTCTCCCGTTCATCGCTGCATCTACGTCTCTGAACTGAACTTTTAGGGTCACCCGTTGATCTCAGGGTCGTTAGGTTCGTGATTTAACGCAAACAAATACGAACATATCAAATATATTTCACACATCGTGGGTTTTCCAGTACATTTGCTCTTGGTTGGAATCATAGAGAAATATTGTAGTTACATGCAACGCAACTTATCTAACGTTGATACATCTGCTTCGAGATCTGAATGTGTCTTGACTGACGGCTGGGGCTGGGGAGTGGCGAAGTTAGTTATAGCAACGTTGCCAGATGGTCGGTAATGACGGTAGGAAATTGGAAAACAGTACTCACTATTCATTTGGTCAGGAATTTCAAGCACTACGACGTCACTTGTGTTTGTTAACTTTTTCCTGAATTTGAAGCTGTCTAGGTCTCCTACTGTATCCTCATCGACTACCTTTTCATGATCTCATGAAGCCTACCTAGCTCGGGATGGAGCGATTTGAATACACTCGCGAAAATCTTGAAGACACCTGAAGCTAACATCAAATCGATAACCTCATTATTTCTATAGGAAGATGCCAATTTCGGGTTTTCAAGTCCTATTGTAAGTAAATCAGGCTAACTTGCATATCGTGCAGCGCCCTAATTTTGATACTAACTCCAGTGTACTATAAAACATCATACGTTATGAGGTAAGATCCTTGGCGCACTCTGAGTTTTTCTGAACTGAACATTTCAGTTACTTCGAGGCTGTGGTGTATGTGTTACAAGGAAAACGTGCTTATTGCTGCCTGACCTATATGCTTTGTGAAGGAAAGCCTCAACTTTATTTTTTATGTCTAATTTCGGATTTCCTAGAGTAACAAACGTTCCCTCAACCACCCCCTAAAATCCAAGGATAAAATAAACCCATAATAACAGGAATTACATAACGCTCTAGAACAAATTTTTTGCTCACTTTAAATCGCATCGTACCGTTTTTCGCCGTTATTTAAATCGGCACCATCTAAAATCTCAATTAACTACACTTCCGAGACCCAGTGTACAATTAACCACGTAATCGACGATGCAAGGAATCTTACAAGGGGCTATGATTAATATGTTTCTCAAAAACTATTTTGTTATTTTTTACTCAACGGTACTTATTTTACGTGATAACTGCAGCTAAACATTTAATTGCGATGCCTACTTACGAATCAATAGTCCCAACCCTGGAAAATGCACACTAGTCAACGATACTTGTAGGTATGACCCATGAAGTGAATAGTGAATAGAAAAAAAAAGAACATGAAAAAGTAATAGGTGCTTTGGTGCCATTCATCAACAGCTACGTTAGCTCTTAGAAATAAATATAATGGTGATAAGTTAGAAACTACTATCTGTTTGGAAGCATATACTTTATTCAGGCTCATTTTTAGGATTTTCGACCATTCCGGCTCAGCAGCAAATCCTAATATGTTGCACATCTCGCCCCTTTGATTTTTCACCTAAGAAGTGATAAAGAGTCTTCCTCCTCGATATGGAGCAGACAGAGTATTTCTTCAATCTGTCGAACATATGTCTACTTAGTTTGCAGAAAGCCCCGCAGATTATACAGATGCGACAGCTACTGTCGATCCCTTTGGCGCGATCCCTACCTGTCTCCATCAGCGCAGGAGCAATTTTCTCAGAAGTGGTTACGCTTCATTAGCCTTACGTCACGTGGTCACAAACGTCATACGTCAAACTAAAGAATGAAAAAATATATAATTTCCCCACATGCATTCAGGCAAGATGACTTTTGGAGGGGGTACCCAAAAAAAAACGGAATTATTTTTTAAAAGCTATTGATTTTCAACTTTTTTACAAAGTAACCTTATTCTCCTTCAAAATTCTGTCCACCACAACTAATACACTTGTCCGACCTGTGCTTCCACTGCTCGAAACATTTTTTGAAGTTTTCCTGTCTGACAGATCCCCCTCATTTTTTCTTGACCTCTTCAATGTCGTCAAAGCGGCGTACTTTCATGCCCCTTTTCATCCGCGGAAATAAGAAAAAGTCGCACGGAGCCAGGTCAGGCGAATAAACTGCGTGAGGCAGCGGAGTCATGCCATTTTTAGCCAGAAACTGTCGAACAGAGATGGCTGTGTGCGCAGGTGCATTATCGTGGTGTCTCTTGACTGCCACAAATCGGGTTCTTTTTTGCCGAACACTGTTTCGCAATCGTCTTAAAATCTCCAAATAGCACAAGCTCTCAAATTTACTCATACTCCTAAGTTTTTTCCCTAGCATCATCTTTGTAAGCTATTTTCAACATTTAAAACGGTTTCAGCAGCATTTTTACCAATCACTGAAGCTTGCCATCGTAAAAAACTAAGCAAGCTCTAGCAAAAATAATGACTACAGAGGAACGAAACAAGCCAGATCGACAACTCAGGTGGCACTGAACTGGTAACGAGTTGCGCTGTACGCCTAGGAGCCTCAATCTAGTCAATTGATCGGCCCTCTCATTACCCGGCACTCCACAGTGTCTGCAGGCCCAAAGCAGGGACATTTCTATAAGTCCAGATAAATGCTGAAGATCAGTAACACATTTCTGACCTATACTTGGTATCACTGACCTCTGGCTATTTTACTATCAGAGTGCTACATACCGTACACTTCTTGGATTCTTCTAAGCGTACCGCATTCAGGATGGCGAATACCTCTGTCTGGAAGACAAGTTCAGATCACTAGTATGAATATATCTCTGAACACTGTAAGTGAAGCGGATATAATTCATGCTTCCAGAAAGTTAAAGAATAAAATGACCAGGCTATGATGGTGTGCCTAGTTTTTTAATAAAGGATTGTATTCATGTATTGGCAAAACCGCTTTGCATGATCTACAATTTGATATTATTAACATGCTCTTACCCTCGTATCTGGAAAATGACCAAGGTATGTCATGTCTTTAAAAGTGGCGATAGAAGTAATATTTGTAACTATATGCAGATTGCGATAATTTGCAATTTTGGTAAGATTTTTGAAGTTATTATTTATAATACCATTTTCAACTCTGTCAAATGTACTTTATCTCCTAACCAGCATGGTTTTGTTGCTGGCAGATCAACCGTCACAAATCTGACATGCCTGACTCAAACTATCTCTGAGGTATTAGATGACCAGGGTCAGTTGGATGTCATTTATACCGACATTCAAAAGGCCTTTGATCAGATAGATCATTACTTGCCTCTTTCTAAGCTTGAAATGATTAGGTTGTCTAAATCTTTATTGAAGTTGATCAGATCATATTTATTTGATAGAAATCTGTACATTGAGTTTGGTGGTTTTAAATCTAATTCTTATACAGCAACATTTGGAGTTCCTCAAGGATCCAATTTGGGTCCTTTGTTTTTTGTGTTGTTTATCAATGATCTGTCGCTGGAATTGCCTGGTATGCATTTACTTTATGCTGATGACTCAAAAATTTATACTGCTATTTAGAGCTATCACGACTGTATCTCTCTTCAAAACAGCTTGAACTTGGTGCATTCTTGGTGTTCCAGAAACTCTCTTACGATTAATGTATCAAAGTGTGAAGTTCTGTCTTTTAGTATGAAGCAAAATGTAATACATTATGATTATAGTATCAATGATCACTTACTCGAAAGAACAGAAACGTTCAAAGATTTGAGTGTTGTATTCGATGCCAAGCTGACAATCAAGGATCAAATCACTCAAATGGTGCATTCAGCGTTTAAGATGCTAGGCTTTTTTTGTAAGGAATTGGTCAGGGTTTTCAAACATATCAACTCTAAAGCTTTTATATTTTACATTTATTAGAAGTAAGCTGGTCTTCAATCTACAACAATTCAAGGGTTAGTATTTAATATGTGCAGCGTAAGACTTTAAAGTATTTGTATTACAAATGTTATGGCAATTATCCTGAAAGAGGTTTCGACCATTCTATTTTATTAAACATTTTTGATAGAGTCATTGCATCTTAGACGCGACATATCAGCGGTACATCTTTTGTACAAAATCATACACAATCAAGTTGGTTGTTCATTCATATTAAGTAAGCTTAATTTTCGTGTGTCTAGTTTGGGAAATCGTGCTCAAATTACTTTCTATCCGGTTATAGATAATACTAATTTATTGTCTAGATCTCCGGTAAATATGATTTGTACATGTTTCAAATCTGTTTGCAGTTCCTGTGACTTATTTTTTGATTGTGAGAACTCTGTTGTGAAGTGTCACAGAGACTGCTACCTTTGTCAGTGAGAGTTTGTTTTTTCTTTTTTTAAGTTTTTTTTTGTGTTTGGCGTTATCGCTGTTGCAATTATGTAACTTTTTCTTGTATGTTTTCTATAATTGGGTGTTACGAGGGATGTCTTTTAAGTTTTGCATATGGAAATAAAACAACACGGTAGGTAGTTTTAAATGACTTTATTGTTTTTCGAAGTATTCTCCACGAAGATTAATACACATCTGCATGCGCTCGAACCAATTTTCGAAGCACTTATTCCACTCGTTTGCTGGCAGATCCAAAACGGCACTTTTGAATGCGTCAACTGCTTCTTCTGGTGACTGGAACCTTTGACCACGCAGTCTATTTTTAATTTTCGGGAAAGTAAAGAAATCGTTAGGACTTAGATCGGGACTATATGGAGGATGGTTCAATAATTCCACGTTTTCTTCCGTTAAATACTGCCTTGTTTTTTGGGCTGTGTGCGAGCTTGCATTGTCTTGGTGGAGGATGATTCTTCTTTCGGGGTTGATTTTTCGAAGCTCGGTGATGAGTTTTGGCAAACAAATGGTGCTATACCAATCAGCAGTAACAGTTCATTGCTCATTAAGAGGAATTGTTGTAATATGACCCGCTTTTGACACAAATGTCGCGACCATCTTTTTCGAAACACTTCGAGAACGGATGACTTTTGTTGGCTTTTCTTCACCTTGGAACACCCAAACAGCCGACTGTCGTTTATTTTCTGGTTCATAACAGTAAATCCAGGATTCATCACTACTAACAATGCTGTACACATTTTTTGAGTTTCCGGAATTGAAACGGTCAAGCGTTTTTTGACACCAAATAACCCTGGCTGCTTTCTGCTCTTCAGTCAACAGGTGGGGTATCCACCGAGAAACTAATTTTCTTACTCCTAATTCTTCATGTAATATTTTTTGAATTGAGGTCTTTGAGATCTTCAATCTCGCGATATGTCACATGTCTATCTTCAATGATGAGCTTGCGCACAGCATCGACGTTTTCCTTGGTGACTGCCGTTTTTGGTGCACCCACCCTGAGATCGTCGCTAAGACCGACCCGTCCACGTTTGAATTCTTCATACCAACGGGAAATTGCCGACTGATGTGGCGCTTCGTTGCCGAAAACAGACACTAACTCAGCAAGGCATTCTTGTTGCGATAATTGTCTCTGAAAGTTGTAATAAATTATGTCGCGAAAATGTTCTCAGTTGAGTTCCATTTTTCTAATAACTTGGTGACACTTAAAACTTCACTGTAGTGAGAACACTGCACGTATTGTTGTGAAACTTTGAATTTAAGTTTACTAAAGAGTGAGGTTAAGATTCAGTACTGACGTTCGATCCGCGAGGCCTACTATGTTTCTATATTATGCAAAACTTAAAAGACATCCCTCGTACCTGTTGGGAATAAATAAATAAATAAATCACAAAACTCTTCTGCACAACTTTGTTATTCCGTCTTTACCCTACGTGCATATGCGCACCGGCCTGATAAGGGGCTCTCAAATGCCCGAAAAACAAACATTTAAAAAATGAGGTCTGCCGATCTCCTCTTCTCCAGCCTGGGACCCTTTCAATCACCTTTACTAAATCACCTAGAGACATGATAGTTTTTTGGACACGGAAAAACTTTTACAGCCACTCTAATGCAAAAAAATCTTGAAAGTATTGCCATATGGTATCTCCTGATCATAGTGTGAGATACTCCAGAAATGCTGCATATAATAAACAGCACATAATAGTTTACAAACAAGAAGCCATGAGAGAATAAGTAAATTAAGCCAGTATATGTACTGCACAATCTGGCAAGTAAGAACCTATTGTTGGTTCCTTGGTCTATTTTTGTCCTTTTACAGACCAGGAAAAATGTCAGCAATGAGCCTCTTGCCGAGCGTCACTTCCAGCTGCCTCTTGTAGTAAACCTATCTATCACATTCAACTAGAAGTATAGAAGTATCCTCCTCTTCGTTGCAATATACGCACTTCGCGTACTCTCTCTTCCCTACCCTCCTCAGGTAGCTGTCAAAAATCCGTTTCCTGTGAGGAACTGTGCAGTAAGTAATCTATCCGCACCGCTCCCTTGTCAATCCTAGTTTTAATATCTGGAATCAGCCTTCTAGTCCAGACACGATGCCCAGTTAGTTGCATACAATCTTTTCTGCTATTTGACGAAAACCGCCTCTCTTTCGTTGCTTCTAGCTTCGGCACCCTTTTTACGAAGTGCGTATCTCTCCTCAGCCAGCAAATCAATTGGCGGAATACCAGCCACCACTATCGGTGAGAGAAAGAAGTGTAGTAGCAAATTTATCTCCCCTCTCACGCATTTATTCTTTGTGGGAATAACGAGACAATACTTCTTATTATGTGGTATTAGTTGTCCTTTCTTCCCTGACCGGTATCGACTTAAAGGGAGGATTCTGTCCTAAACAAGGATGATTTGATAACAGTTTGGTATCGCTTTAACCGCTTTATCGTGGGGTATCCAACACGATAGATTTGGAAATTTTGGGGACCGGGGTTTCTAGGGGAATGAAGAGATAAATCTGTTGTAAAGATATCTCGCTGACTGAAGAGAGCTCTACCTCTAGCACCGGAGCTTTTGAAACCAGAAAAAGACGCTTATTGCTTGTTGGGGGTACATTATTCAATCAAAAGTTTATGCGATTTTGTTTTGTGAATCATGGGTGAGATAAGCTTAGCTTAATAGCAATCTGCACCGACAGCCAGATGTAACTAGTCTAATCATATTAGACGAAAATACCCCTGGTTTGCGAAATAATTGTAAAGTCTGGTTTTATTGCTGCAAGTTGTTCAGGGGGAATTCAACACATGGACGCATAAAATGGGCACACCAATTTCTGTGGGAAAACTTTTATTCCACAACAAAGGATGAGAAAACGTGTTTTTGGGATTCAATCGAAAGTGTTGACAGGAACGAAAAAACTATTCATACAAGATTTTTACGTATTTATGAGACCACGAGTAAAATGATCACCCCCCTACTGAGCGGGGCCGTGGCAAATGCTTGTTCCGTAAGTTGTTGTATCCAGTTTACTTCTTCCCGTTCAAGTGATTGTACACGCGTTAAGGAATACCTCAGTACCGATTGCCGGGTGGCGGTACAAGTCCACCAACGGGCCACTTTGGGTCTATTTAATATCACTAACACGTAAAAAGAAGGTGGTAGACAAGGACCATTCGACCGAAGCAGTACCACCCGCTAGCTTTAAAATTTGTTTTTCGAACATCTGCGGGGTTAACAGCAACATTGATACTGTGCATCACTACCTGCAATCCAATCGTCTCGCCATGCTTTTCTTGACGGAGAGAAAATCTCAGAGGCTGCACCGATTAACCCTCTTAACTTCCCAAACTACGAGGTGCACTCCAATCTGAGAAAGACCTTGGAGTTGTGGCTTTTGTCCGCAGCAGTCTTTCCTGCTAGAGAGATATTTCTTTGGAATCCAACCGGAAGGACATTCTGTGGCTTCGCCTCAACTCCAAAACATCGCCCAAATTTATTTGCTGCCTTTATCGCTCTTTCTCGGACCATAACTGGGATGACCTACCCGAATACCTCGCCGTCCAGATCGACTTCCTGAACATCAATCTCCCCGCTTCAGAGGTAGTTCTTCTCGGTGATTTCAATGCGTATAATGAGCTTTGGTTGAGCTCAAACAAGACTGATGCAGCAGGTCGTGCAGTCGAAACATTCGCTCTTACTCAAGGGCTGACCCAGCTGGTGATGAGCCATACTTTTTTCCCCCGCGTCTCGTCACACGCCAGTAGCCTGCTGGATCTCTTTCTGACCACGCATCCTGCCCCTTACAGCACTGCTGTCCTGTCCCCCCTGGGTAACTCAGACCACGGTGTTGTGGAGGTTAGGTTTCGGTCAGAACCCGCTGTGGCAGCAGAAACCCGTACAGGCAGCAAAACTTGGCTTTACGGACATGCCGACTGGGAGAGGCTCAGAAACTTCTTCTCTATCTTTCCTTGGAGAGATGTCTGTTTCACTGACGCGGATGCGTCGGCTGTCTGTTCTTCGATAACCGAAATTATCCACGTCGGAATGGAGGAATACATCCCTCACACAGTGAAAGTGCCTATACCAGGGTCCAACGGCTGCTTTAACAAATCCTGTAACACTGCTCGCCAGCAGAAGATCAAGGCACACAGAACCTTCTTACAAAACCCCACTGTAGAGAACGGACAAGCCGACGTCGAGTCCAGAAACAAATATAACGAAGCGGTTCGCAATGCCAAAAACCAGCACGATATAAAATTTAGGCACGGGGCAATGCCGCAGTCGGTCTTTCTGGACGCTGGTCAAGCAGATTGGAAAGAACTTCTCACACAGTAGCTTCCCACCACTTACGTTTTTTTTTATACTCCAACTACCACGAAGGCCTAAGGCCTAAACACCCATGGGGTACCGTGGGGCTATAGGGGGATACAGGAGAAAGGGGGAACGCCACACGGACTCTGGCAACATGCACACATTCTGGCCCCGCCTACGAGATCCGCCGGGTGGCACCCCCGCGTTCGACAGTCAGAGACCGTCTACCACCTACGGACAATCACAACATCCATAGCCAAGAGAAAAATTTCTCCTGGGATGGGATTCGAACCCGCACCGCGCACGGCGACTGATCAGGAGACCGAAGAGTCTACTACTGCGGCCACCGCTGCTGTAAGAGGCTTAGGCAGACTTACGTGTCAGGATGGAATGATTGAATTCGACTCAAAGGCCAAGGTGGAAGTGCTAGCCAAGATCTTTGCTGCCAACTCCACCATGGACATCCCCTCCAATGCCCAAGTGCCGTCAATTCAAAGTGCTCCCTGCACTATGCGGGAGGTAACACTCAGACATAAGACGAGTGCTCTTGTCGCTCGACATCAACAAAGCTTCTGGTCCGGACTTGATGCCTGCCATTGTACTGAAGAGGTGTGCAGCGGAGTTTGCTCCAGTTCTTTCGCGTCTCTTCCAGATATCTTATGAATCCGGCACCTTCCCAGAAAACTGGAAATTTGCTCATGTCCAACCCATCCCAAAAAAGGATCTAAGACCGACCCTTGCAACTACAGGCCTGTAGCTCTGTTTTCTGTTATAAGTAAGGTGATGTAAAGGTGCATAAATCGCGAGCTTCTGGACTACCTCGAACGTCACAGCTTGATTAGCGACAGGCAGTATGGTTTCCGGCACCAACGATCCACAGGGGACCTCCTAGCTTACGTCACTCAATTGTGGAGTAAACTCATCCAGTCTAATGGCGAGGCTCATGTCGTTGCTCTTGACATCACGAAAGCGTTCGATCAGCTGTGGCACGCTGCCCTCTTAAGCAAACTTTCATCCTATGGCCTCCCAGAAAAGCTTTGCAGATGGGTGGCTGACTTTATCTCTGGCGGCAAGATATCCGTCGTATTTGACGGGTTCTCCTCTTCATCCCACAACGTCAACGCGGATGTTCCCCAGGGATCGGTCTTGGCTCCGACACTGTTTCTCTTACATATCAACGACTTCCTTTCCTGCACGATCAACCCAATCCACAGCTTCGCTGATGACAGCACTCTACATGCAGGAATTCAGAGTGATAAGCCGATCTCTGTTGCTGAGTTGAAAAAAAGAAGGCTAGCGACGACATCCTCTCTGACAAGAGACGTGGAGGCTATCACTGCTTGGGGACGCAACAATTTTGTACAGTTCAATGCATCCAAAACACAGTACTGTACTTTGACGAAAAAAAAAGCGTCCTAGCGCTCATCCGGTTTCGATGGATGGCCGAGTTCTGCCAAAGAGCCATTCATTTCGGCTGGTCGGAGTCCAGATCACCGAAGATCTGATCTGGCACGCACACATCTCGTCAATAGCTGCAGCTGCTGGAAAAAAGCTAGGCTATTTGCTTAGGGCTAAGAAGTACTTTTCACCGCATGACCTTCTCACTCTATACAAGGCCCAGATAAGGCCTAGCCTCGAGTATTGCTCACACATTTGGAGTGTTGCCGCCCCGACTACATTATCCATGCCCGATGCTGTCCAGAGCAGGGCGGTCTGACTGATCGATGACTCTTCTCTAACAGACAGTCTCGGAACTCTTTCGCACCGGCAGGCCGTCGGCGATCTAGCTCTTTTCTACCGCTACACCAACGGGCTTTGCTCCTCGGAGCTCTCTTCCATAATTCCGCCGGGCGATGTGCCTGCCAGACAGACCCGCCTGACTTTGGCCTCCCATCCTAACCTTGTCGAGCTTCGTACATCCAGAACTTGGCGATACGACCGCTCCTTTGTCCCGAGGGTGTCGAGACTGTGGAACAATCTACAAGAGGAAGCTTTTCCCAGTTCTACTAACCTTAGGCAGTTCAAAAATAGTATTAAGAAAATTTCTTTGCGATCATCATAGCAGCTGCCTCCGCGGCAGCTTCTATATAAAAAAAAGATCCGACTAATAGCAAAAAAGTTATGGCCGAAATCGAGGCAAACTACAGGTTTTGGCACTTGTTGGTAATGCAACGATGGTTTCTCGCAGATACTTGAAATTTTTCAAATTCGTAGGATTCGTTCTTCTAAATAACCACAACAAAATTGGCGTAGAGTGGTCAAGTAGTTTTTGAGAATTTCTAATTGTTTATGCCAAAACACCTGTTTTCCGGCCATCACTACTAGTTTATTGAGCAATATACAGGGTTAGTTCAAAGGGCATTTTTTAGCTGAATACACTAGTTTACCTTGCCGATATTAATCGCAAACCATTCTTGAAGATAAATGTTATTTTTATGCAAAAAAAAGATGGGTTAAGATTTTCTTCTAAACAAATTCAAAGATTTCGAATTTGGGAGTAATTAGCAACAAAAGATAGACACATCCGCTTTGTTTTAAAATGTGTATAGTAACGTATGTTCAATTACTCACAAATACAAAATCTTTGAATCTGGTTAGAAGAAAAAAGCGGAACCTTTGTTTTTTGCATTAAAATAACATTTATCTTCCGGAATGATTTGTGGTTCATATCGGCAAGGTAAACACCCGTATTTTGCTATTAAATGCTATTTGAACAAAGCCTGTATATTGCTCAATAAACTAGTAGTGATGGCCGGAAAACATGTGTTTTGGGATAGACAATTAATAATTCTCAAAAAAACTACCTGACCAATGTACTTCAATTTTGTTGTGGTTATTTAGACGAACGAATCCTACGAATTTGAAAAATTTCAAGTATCTGCGAGAAACCATCGTTGCTGTCATTTAGAAGTATGAATCCTACGGATTTGAAGAATTTCAAGTAGTTGCATGAAATTATCTTCGCATTACCAACAAGTGCCAGAACCGGCATTTTGCCTCGTTTTTTGGACATAGCATTTTTGCTATCAGTCGGATCTTTTTACGTGTGGTCTCATAAATACCTAAGAATTTTATGGAAAAAGTTTTTTCATTCCTGTCAACACTTTCGATTGAATTCCAAAAAACACGTTTACTCATTCTTTGTTGTCAAATAAAAAGTTTTCCCACAAAAATTGGTGTACCCATTTTACGCGACCATGTTTTAAATACCCCCTTGACCAACTTGTATCAATAAAACCAGACTTAACAATTATTTCTGGAAACTTTGCTAATATGATTAGACTAAACTTTGGGCCCTGTTCAGTGGCTCTGGATAGTTTAGCTGCAAGTCACCTTCTGGGTTATCACGGAAAACTAGAACAGGGGCAAGAAGTTGAGTCAGTGGGCTGTACTGACAATAATCATAGCCTTCTGGAATAATGCTTTAGTAATACTATAATTTTTAGCAGGGTCTTGAAGGTTCTAGCCACTACAATTTGGCAATGCCCTAAAGTGATCATAAAACTCAGCACTGCGAACTTTGTGCGAAGTCGCCACATTCTCTGGACACGTTGGTTCAGTGTTTGTGTATTTTCTCAATTCGTGATTATTTCTCTTCAGTGCTTACTCTTTAGCGTTGTATTTTATGCAATGAATGTGGTGCTTTTTTTGCTTGTCCTGCAGAAGTGTGATATTACGAGTATTACATAAATTAGTAGATTTATACGTAGATCTTTTCAATTTCTACCACTAATTTGGTCAGATTTGCGAAGAGAGGTCATTAAAATCTCAATATTTAAACCATCTTTAATTCTCGAACCCCGGTACTATCGGGTGCAATTTTTGCTCTCTCACTCCTCGAAGTGCCAAACCGCAGCTTCCGCTCTTCCTGACCGCCGTATAAAAGCCAAAGTAGGCTGGGGCGCGCTGTTCATTTGTCTCGTGGTCGCGATGTCGCAGTCGCGGGCAGCCATGACGCGCCGATGTTTTCCCGCCATTTTCGTTATTGTCGCGCTTTTGGGCGGCGAGACCCGCGGGCAGCAAGTGCTGCCCATTTTCGAGCCGGGCGTCGGTGGTGATTTGAACTTCTTCGGAGAGGCGTACAGTTTGCTGTTTCCTGTTGTCAGCCCGCCGCCGGAAGTTCTGGTGCCAGCGGCCAGTCATCACGGACAATGGGCTGAAGGTGAGATTTACGATAATAAATAACCATTCTGGATTTTGCAACTCTATTATCCAAGTCACTAAACAAAAGAAGTGCCGTAAATCAGGAATAATTTGAAATATTATATTCTTTTGATGTTGTTGCTGTATGCCCGGTGTATGTTAGCATTTTGATGCAATGAAACTTCACACGATTACTAGTATGGCAGCATAAAAGCTTTAGTTTCGACAACATAGAAATTATAAGCAAAAAATTAACAGTTTTTGTGGTTTTGAGTGTCATTTTTGGGTGTAGCCAAAAATCGCTGCAGAAGTCAGAAATCTAACATTTTAAAGACTCGTGTTTTTTCTTGACTCCATCTGTTGTTTTGCAACTCCAAAAACACCAGAATGGTACAAAATTGGCATAAACGCACAATTAGAAAAACAATTTTTAGATTGATTCGTATGTCAGTGATAAATCTACTTGATATCATTCACTGGCAAGGAATAATCGTAACTATAACTAATGTATTAACCAAGAAAGTATATTTTTTGAACATTTTCGCTTACTTGCCAGCTATCTGTCTAACATAATTTGAGTTGGATAGAACGTTGTGTTAAGGACAAAAAGCTTATAAAAATCGGTCAAAGAGTGAAAGAATTATCAGCGAAACCATCTTTTGAGCTTCCAATGATTAAAAAAATTAGCCGTTTTCACAGATCTTTCAAATTTCTGAACGCCTAGGGATGTTAGTAACAAACTATCTTAGAATGCTTGTGTACCTCCTAGAAATGCAAAACAACAACAAGTTTTTAACGCTTTTTAAGCCCACCAGTAATTTTAAAATTTAACCGAGTTTTATCATTTGAGATGTTCAAAAGTATGTATCTATGAAAAAGAATGTTTATACACCTACATATGTGGAAAGTGCTGTGTTGTTGATCCCGAAGATTTCCTAATTTTGGGTAAAGCAGAGTCGGGGCGCATCTCTGGCGTAAGAGCTCATTTTCAAGTCACAGTTCGTTTTTTTTACATCGAAGTGGCCGTGTAACTAGAAGCTTAAATACTGAGGCACCACGGCTGCTAACGGGTGATTTTTTAAGAGGTATAGGATTTGATTTTAAAAAAAAAACACAAAAAATTTGAAAAAACTATTAAATCTTTATTTGAGTCGATAGAACGGTCGATATAATTTAATGTTTAAAGATTATTTCATGTAAATGTTGGCCGCGGTTCCGCTTTAGAAGGCCCATGCGCAAGGTCCAATTTTAGCACACTCTCTCCAACATATCGGCCAGTATCTCACCAATAAATGCTTCAATATTGGCTTCCAGAGCATCAATCGTTGTTATTTTATCCCTGTAGACATTAGCCTTAACATGGCCACACAAGAAATAGTCCAACGGCGTTAAATCACACGATCTAGGCAGCCAATTGACGGGCCCCAAACGTGAGATAAACTGTTCACCGAACTCGCCTCTCAATAGGGCCATTGTTTCGTGTGCGGTGTGGCATGTGGCACCGTCTTGTTGGAACCACATGTCAGCCAAGTCCGGCTCTTCCATTTTGGGCAAAAAAAAGTTTTATATCATCGCACGGTAGCGCTCGCCATTCACAGTTACGTTCCGGCCATTGTCGTCTTTGAAGAAGTACGGCCCGATGATGCCACCGGCCCATAATCCACACCAAACAGTGATTTTTTCGGGATGCATTGGTAGCTCTTGCAAAATCACTCCAGATTCGGCAATTTTGCTTGTTAACGTACCCATTCAACCAGAAATGAGCTTCGTCGCTGAACACAATTTTTCGATAAATATGTGGATCTTCCTCCAACCTTGCCAGCGCCCATTCACCAAATTGGAAACGTTGTGGGAGGTCGTGTGGCTTCAATTCTTGCACCAGCTGCATCTTATAAGTTTTTACACCCAAATCCTGTTGCAAAATTTTCCACGTAGTGGAGTAACAGAGGCCCAATTGCTGCGAACGGCGGCGAATCGACATTTCACGGTCATCACTAACACTGGCGGATACAGCCGCAATATTTTCTTCAGTCCTTACTCTACGTCTGCGTATTGGTGGTTTAATGTCCAATAATGTAAACTGGGTTCGAAATTTAGTCACAAGCTTCCGAATAGCTCCCTCAGTAGGCCGACCAAATTGCCCATAAATTGGAAGCAGTGCTCGATGCACTCTCTTAACCGAGCATGAATTTTGATAGTAAAATTCAATAATTTGCAAGCGTTGTTCGTTCGTAAGTCGATTCATGGTTAAATTATAGACCAAACTGAACAAGTTTGACAATGACACAAGACACGATTCACGCGTCATCTGTCAAAAGCGAAAGCGTCCCAAGAATGTCGTATGCAGAAGAGTCATCGATCAGTCGAAAACCCCTTCTTTGAACAGAATCGAGCATGGAGATAATGTAATCAGGGCGGCATCATCCCAAACATGTGAGCATTACTCGAGGCTAGGTCTTACCTGAGGCATTGTACAGACTGAGGAGGTTATGTGGAGAAAAATACTTATCAGCCCTAGCTTTTCCTAGCAGCTGCGAGATGTGTCGGATAAAGTCCATTGCCATATGGACTCCGACCAGGTGAAATTTACGCTCTTTGGTACAGTACTGTGTTTAGGAAGCATTAAACTGTACCAGATTCTTGTGCCTCTAAGCAGTGATAATCTCCAAATCTCTCCTCAGATAGGGAGTCGCTGCTGGTCTTCTTCTCTCCAGTTCACCTTCAGAGATGGGCTTGGCATTCTGAGTTCCAGCATGTACGAGTTGTGCTGTCATCATCCAAAATGTGGATCGGATTGATCGTATAGGGAAGCAGGTCGTTAAAATAATGCCTGAGCTAAGACCGATTTCTGGGGAACACCCGCGTTGACATTGCTGACATTGTGGGATGAAGATGAGAACCCGTCTGCACAGCTTCTGTGGGAGACCGTAGGATGGAACTTTGCATAAGAGGGCAGCATGCCACAACAGATCGAAAGGTTTCGTGATATCCAGAGTAGCCACAAGTGCTAGGAGTGGACGTTTTGCCTATTTCTAAATAGAAACAACCTCAGTTTGGCCACAATACGTTTAGACGTCACGCCAAATGCTTTGGTGGGAAGTTTAAAGACAAGCTGCTAGATGCCATTTAAAAACGGCTTACATACATATTTGACGATGCTTATGTTTCACCAGCTTTTCTGCTTTTTTTTTGATGTGTATGATTCTTCCTAAAAAACTTGGGCATAATGCTTGGACTATGTAAAATTATATAATTGTTATCGAATCCCCTGCTAGTACCACCATAAAACGACTCATGTGCACTTGCTACTCCAGTGAAACTAGCATTGAACGTCACTGTATTAATAGAGCGGACTATATTTAACTCTAACCAGGAACAACAGGCTTACAAACATATTTACAAGTAATTTATGTGCATGCAGTGTATATGTGTATGTAATTCTAAATATTATGCAGGGCAGCTTGGAAAATAGAATGAAAAAGGACTAATAAAATAGCAGAGATATTCGATACGCGCGCAGAAATAGATGCGGATGTGGAATGTTTACGGTAAAATTATACTCGGTTTGCACTTTACTGGAGCATTATTTTGACATTTTAGTATGCTGCTTCATCTACTTAGAGCGGGTAATTTCAAATATTTTTTTTCGCGAACAGTAGCGAATTCAAAATAGAGTTAAGGAGGTAGACTAGAGTTACAGAACGTCATGACATTTAAGAATTTTTTTTTCATTCATTCACCATTCATCATCGTTTTTAAACTTTGCAGTGAATACTTTTGAAACCTTGTTAAAACTGAATATGTATTATGTTACAGGTTATAACGCCTTTACCATGTGTATTTTTTATGTCGAAGCTACCGTGTAGGCAAAAACCTGAGTACCAGGGCACCGTGGCTGATGTGAGGATTAAGGAGCTTTAAGAAACTTTGTTAATTCGATTTTTGAACTACCTAAGGTTAGGAGAACTGGGACAATCCCCAATCTCAATACCATAGGGACAAAGGAGCGGTCATATCGGCCAGTTCTGGATGTACGAAGTGTGATATCACGCGGCGGTATCATGGAGGAGAGTTCTGAGAAGCAAAGACCGTTGATATAGCGGTCGAAGGGACCTAGATAGTCGACGGCCCCTCAGTGCAACAGTGTCCCGTGACTCTGTTAGAGAAGAGTCAACGATCAGTCGGACTGCCCTCCTCTAGATAGCCTCAAGCATGTATGATGTATTCGGGGCGGCCGCACCTCAAACATGTGAGGAGTACTCGAGGCTAGGTCATATCTAAGCCTCCTACCCAGGGGCCCCTACAAGCCTTGAAACGGTCCTGATCACAATGCGTCAGAATTTTCAAATTTCATATCTTATCTATCTGATTGTATTAATTTCCACGCAACTCAGACATTATTTTAGTGTTTGTGGAGAAATATTTTGCAGAATGATAGAAAGTAGAAGATAGAATAGTTCTGCTTTATTTTTGAAAATGTGTGAGTGGTTGGGAAGTAATAAAAAAGCGTCGTTTCTGTAAACTTTCTGAATTATTTCCTATTCATGACAGTTCTGACAAGTTTTATATAACATCTTGAAATTATACTAAGTGACATATAAATCCGAACACCCAATTGAAATGGTTTTATTTTAATAAAAGTTGGTGAATGTATTTATCTTACTGTAAATAACAAGTGAAAACATTTTCAGCCTTATCAGTTGGACATTCCGGTTTTTATACTGCTTTTTTTTTAATTCACTGACGCTCTAAAAATGAATATTTCAGCCGCAGTAAAGAATCAACGTTGGCGGATTTTGGTTCTTGACATCCTTTACGATCGGTTACGATGCCTAGAGTACGGAGACCTGTACGATTTCGTCAACTTAGTGAGTTTGATAGGGGCCGTATAGTGGGACTTCGGGAAGCTGGACTTTTTTTTCGGGCAATTGCAGTTAGAGTGCAAAGAAGTGTAGACACTGTGGTTAGGTGTTGTCAGGCATGGCTTCGAGAAGGCCGTACGCAAAGAGCAAGGGGCACTGGACGCCGCCGTAGAACAACAGACAGTGAAGATCGCCGCCTAAGATTATTGGCCTTAAGGGACCGTTTCTACACTACCAGGTCCATTGCAAATGAATGGTTTGCAGAACACGGAAGACCTATTGGCATGCGAAGTGTTTATTGACGGATGAGAAGTTTTGGCTTGTTTTCATACCGGCCACACTGGGTCCCCTCCCTTTAACTCGAGAACACCGACGTAATCGCCTTGAGTGGTGCAGACAACGGTCACTCTGGGATGAGGAATAGAACAGTATTGTCTTTAGTGACGAGTCTCGATTTTGTTTAGGCATGCACGATAGTCGTGCGAGGGTTAGAAGGCGACGTGGTGAAAGGAGGAATCCACAGTTTTTTGTTGAAAGACATGTTCATCACACTGTTGGAGTTATGGTTCGGGGTGCTATAGCTTATGGTTCCAGGTCACCTTTAATCTTCATCAGAGGTAACATGAACGCGCAGCGTTATATCCAAGAAGTTCTAGAACCCCATCTTTTACCCTATCTTGACACCCTGGCAGATCCAACTTTCCAACAAGATAATGCCCGACCACATGTTGCAAGAGTCACAATAGACTTCTTTCAACATAATGATGTCACATTGTTACCATGGCCACCAAGATCTCCCGACTTATCCCCAATTGAGCACGTGTGGGATATGATGGGTAGGAGATTGCTCAATTTGCAACGTCCTCCTCAGACTATAGAAGCACTTCGAGAGGAGTTGGTGGTTGCCTGGAATGAGATACCACAGGAGGACATTGACCACCTGATCAGAAGCATGCCTAGGCGCGTTGGAGAATGCGTAGCACATCAGGGTGCATCCACACATTATTGAAGGTCAAAGGGCTTTAAAGCAGTGCAATCATTTTGAAATTTTTATCATTTACTTATTATGCTTCATTAAGTACTTATACAAAATTTTATTAAAATAAAACCATTTAAACGCTAATGAGAACTTTTCGTATTAGTTTTGACTCAAGAAATACAATGTTTTACTGAAAATCAAATGTTATCGTCTTTAAAGTCAGTCAAAAAACCTAGAGACCTAATAAAAAAAGCTGATTTGAGTCAAGTCCTTATTTATCAAATTCCCAATCTTGAACACAAAAAACCTAACTACATTATATTTCTATTAAGGATACATTCCTCCTGTACCGGTGGTCCAACAGAACCACATAGACGTAGGACAGCAAATGCAGAAAGACTATTATAACAAGCTCGACAAAGCAGCACGAAGGGGTTACAACAAAGGGCAGTATATAGACGAAGTGCTGGACAAAGGCAATGAAGACCGCAAGGACGAAGCTGGGTACGAAGTTGATTCAGGTACCAAGGATAAGTACCTGGATGAGGCTTTGCATTACAAGAAGCAGCTGGAGGGCAGAAAAGGAGTTAAGACTGCCAAGTTTGGAGAGAAGAAAGGACACAGGAGGGGACACAAGACCAAAGGATATCACAATAAGTTCCATAAGGATGAATATCATAAAGAGCATAGGTAAGTCGAACATCTACTTATTTGTCACACTATTCAGATAATCAATAATAGAGGGCGGTCCAATTATCTTATCCGAAACAGATCGCATACAATAATTTCTCTATTTTAAATAAATAGCCGCCGGTAGTTGCCCTTTCGGCGTTTGCGTCATTAGATTCGCTGCCGGTGATTCCCCAAATGCGTTTGCGGAATTAACTGGTATATGTGCGTGTATGTTTGTTTCAGTCAGGTTCATAAAAGATGGAGCAGCATATAAATAAACTTGAGGCAATCAAACGTTTAGATAGAGGTGATTTGCTTAAAAACATGGCAAGTGATTTGGGTGTGGGCGTGAGTACCATTTAAGAATGAAAAAAACCACGCGGGAAAATTGAAAAGTGGTCTAGTGTTCTGACATCATCGCAGCCGTCACGGAAAACTATGAAAAAGGGGGAATATAAAAAAGTTAATGATGCCTTATATCTGTGGTTTACTCAGAATCGAGAACGTGGAATAACAATTCCCAGATCAATTCTAAAGTAAAAGGCCAGTGATTGTTGGCTGCATAGATGGAAAAAAACGACACGGTATACAAGAATTAAAAATGTGCTGATAAGTCAGAGAACATTTTAAAGAATTAATGAAGCAGTATGGTTTAAATACAGAACGAATTTACTACTGATATCCAAGAAAATGTATTTTGCTATTAGGCAATGCTCCGAGCCATCTAAGTGAGGAGCAACTTAAAAGTGGAGAAATACGAGTGATATTTTTGCCTCATAATGTAGCGTCATTGATTCAGCCAATGGATCAAGAAGTTTTAGAAAATTTAAAACGCAATTACAGACGTTTGTTATTAGATCAAATTTTAGATCAAGTTGATAATGGTTGTAACCTCGTTGATTGTTCGAAAGAGATTAACCTCAAGAATGTGGCATATTGGATAGCAGAAGTTGTTCAGGCGAAGTAAAAAATTCTGCTTTACGAAAATCTTGGTCGACAATAATTAAGCAAGAAATTTAACCTTGCGGAGACTATGAGAATAACAACGGAAATTTGCATGAGCTGGTCGTGAAATTAAAGCGTGTGATAATCTGACCCAAGCAGATGTTGGTGAGTGGATTAATGGTGATGAATTGGTGGAAGAATTAACTGATACAGAACTAATAAAAACTGTTTGTAACAATGTCGATGAGACACTTTTAAGTGATGCTAATAACAATGAGACAGAAATCTCTGCCAAAGTATCACATTCAGAGGGATCAGAAGCTCTACAAAACGGGATAACTTACGTCGAACAACAAGAAAATGCGACAGCAGCTGATGTGCTACTTATCAAACGTTGGAGGGATATTGCTGCCAAAAATAGGAATAATGCAAATCGTGTACAGTTAAAAATTACTTTCTTTGTTACTAAATACTCGTAAATATGTAGGTATGTTTGTATCGGCATGTTTATATTTTACGTAACTTTATATAGGTATATACTCACTTTACACACGCATTTACTTTTTTCAATAAAAGCATTATGGGTCTAAATATTTATTTCCGTTTTATCCGAAATTTCGATTGTCCGAAAGCACTTGGGTCCACATTACTTCGAATAATTGGGGTTCTGTAATTTAAATCTAAAGTATATTGAAAACCTACTTGCGTCCCGCCAAAACAAATACCAGTGCGCGCGACGTTCACGCTCGCATGCTTCCATTGTCCACTAGGGCATAAATGCCTGGGTAGGCAGCGACAAGTGCAAAGGAGCGGCGATCGAGTGTTCATGGTTGTTTTGACGCGAAGTAAATGAGGTCTGAACAGAATATAGAACAAGCTTGTGTTTTCATAAAGTTATAAATTGTTTCCTCGGGCCTGTACACCCTACCAGTTCCGCAAGATGTTGGCAAACAGCTGATAGCAAAAGCTGAGGGAAATTAAGATATCAGAAAAAATAGGCATTAAATGGAAATTCTGATCAGTCGGGACCGTATGTAACTAAAAAAGGTTTTCAAGCAACTGGCGCACTACACCTTTTTATTTAACCAAATTGTACAAAATTGCAACTGTTAAGCCTTTTTTCGCAGAGAATTCTTATAAAAGTTAAGTCTTGCTCTGTATCTTTGTCTTATTAGCAGAATTAATTCTTAGAGATAATTCTTTAGTTTTCATGAATACTGCAACGTTCTAAAGACAGTACACATGGCGCATTTAAATGCTTTTCTTAACGTTAATATGTTTGAACTATTCTGTAAAGTCACCGTGCATGGTTACTCCAAAACACCTACAGGTGTAACCCCGCTCAAATTTATCTCATCAAGATTACTATATACTATAATTTATTGCTACCTGTACAATCAAATGACAAAATGTAGTTGGCAATAGGGTTCGTATTACTGTTTGGGAGATTTCGGAATACGATCGGATGCTCATAAAATTTGTGGACATCCCCGGCCGTTGGCCTCCTGATACGATTTCGACGACGGTATTATCTCTCTAAGTGGGCCGGAAGAATGGGAGAGGTGTTTAATATGATTTTTTGGCGGTTTTTCAAGATTTTTTCGCTTATTATTGATAATATCGAAATGCCATTTTGTAATGTGAAAGTATGCCTATAATCACATGTTTTGACGCAGTCGGGTACAGCACAGAAAACATAGTGTCGCAACTAGTCGAACCATTTTTCACAAAATAAACTTCTTCCAAAATATTCTTCTGTAGAGACATAAATATTGTTGAATTCATCCTGAATACGAAAATATTGTCACTTGAATTAATACGTGTCGAGTAAATAGTTAAGTAACATCGGCAATAACTAAGACAAAAACCGTTGACAATTTTAGAAGGTAATCGCCGAAAGCTGTGCGATTGCATCATACTAGTACATACAAATCCGTACCATCATCAGAAAATAGATACTGCTTAGGTTATAACGACTTTATAAAACCTGACGTACCTACCACTTTAACAGTGGCGATGCGTGACTTCTCCTAGAATGTTACCAAAACCATATGTGAAAAATCTTATTAAAAAAAGTTTATTTTGAACCTCCCAAATATAATTTTTTGCTTATTTCAGGTATTTTATTCAAACTATTTTCAAATAACGGTAAACATTCCTGGACTGAGCGTCTGCGGCACTTGATATAGGTACCTAATCCTCTTATCCTATGACTAATCCAAGCCGTCCGAAAAAACAGTCGACGTTTCTAGATGTTTGGAAAATTTTTTATCTTTTTTGGCAATGAATGTTAAAAATTCCCTGTAATTTCCTCTATTGTCAGAGTCATCCCATTTAAAATGAACGGTAATTCCTGTTTTGCCAAAAAACATACGGTATCTAGAAGTGTGCTGCCTAAAAGCTTGTTTAAGACAACTTTCGATTCTTGTATTGCCAAACTGAATTAAATTGGCTACACATCTCACATGTAACGGAGAAATTTCATGTCTCCTCTTTAGAGCCCTAAAACTATTTCAATCGTTGACTCTGCTGCTGGTCAACCCATTTTTTTCTGTATAAAACAGAAGACATCGCCAACAACACAATCTGTTGCAACCACATAACCAAGAGTTTCCATATACCAACTTAATTTAAAATATTAAAGTACGTTTTTTTATTCCTTTTTAAAATTATCTAAAGTAGGTGTTGGTCTTCCATTTTCAATGATATCCTTTTTTTCTTAAAAATTATACAAGGAGAATGACTTTTCAAGTCGTTGATCGATTTCGCAGCGACACTCATCCATGTTTAATTGCACGCACACTACAGCCAGTAACCAAAACGGCTACTAACCAAATCAAAAAATGGTAACAAGCCCACATAATAGTCGCAGCGACCCACGCACTCGGGCGACCGCGATCAGACACGAGCCGGTACCGACGGTCCCCGACGGACTACCAAGTGTATCCATAAATAAAAATGGTAACAACCGAACCGACAACCAAGTCGAGGCGAGTCAGCTTCATCGTGTTCGCAAAACCTAGACACTATAGAGCGCATTATTTTCGTGGGGCTAATTTGCTATTTATTGAATTACTAATACATACCGCTGTTGGTAAACAAATAAATGAAATTATTTCACAGTAACTTAGTCATAAAATATTTATTTTTAAGATTTTAAACTGTTACCAATGGTAACAATGGTTACATGGACGCTTCGCCACTGCACTTTAAATCTACACTTTTGTTGCAGATTCTATGATGACGTGAAGAAAAGTGGTCATCACAGTAAGTTCGGCAATTTCCGAAGCAAATACGGCAAGAAGGAAGGTGGTCGCAGACAAGGGGGAAGACACAAGTCTGGTAAGATGTTCCTACTATTCATAACCAACAAAGCTCTAATCATTAATAAATCATAACAAAATATATTCTTTTCTTAAAAATTTCGAAGATATAGCTAAATGGGGTGATTTCTTTCTAGAGGAAATTGCACCTTTAATACCTCAAATAGAAAATAAATTGTATACGTCCATTCTCCAAGGAAGTTATGCTCTTTTTTCACGCTCGGGTGGTGGTAGAGGTACAACCGCTTGTCATGATTGTAAATCGAACCCAAAAAATGCATTTGACTTGACACCTTCCTGTTCCAGGTTACCATGGCGACGCGTATGGCAAGAAAGGTTTCTCGGACAAAGGACATCTGGACGAAGAGCACAAAGGGTACCAAAGGCACGGTGGAAGGGAAGAATACTACAAAAAACACAAGGACTTTGGAAAGCAGAACACCAAAGTCGGAGGTGCTATACATGCACACCAAGCTGGTGGGCAAATATGATAGGTGGACTGTGTGTGAACTTGTGTGGTTCATCAGAAGGACAATGCAGTTGTCAAACGTGTTGTCAAAAGTATACGGATTACGAACAACGGAATCACTGCGCGGTCAAAGAAAAATTGTTCTTGGGTAAAAAGTAGCTAGGTAGCTGAGGCAGTCGTGAGTAGGTATTTTTGGCAGCAATAAGAATTACGGTTTCACCGAAGTTGAATGCTCGACAAGCGACAATGCTTTTTGAAGTCTGTTATTAACTGTAGCAAAAGAATTATTGTACCTTGGAAAATATTGTTACCGGACATCAAAAGGAAAGTGTCTTTTGTCTGATGCTGTGTAGCAAAATGCATGTTGTCGCAACAGACAAGATACGGTTGACATATACATAACTGGTTTCAGTCGAAAACTGTAGTATGGTACAGATTCTATACACCACGTTTGAGAAAAACAAAGTTTATTTTCGTGATATTTCTATTACGATTTTAATACTTCCAGAACAACATCACTCTACGTATCAGTAGAGTTTCATTTAGAGTTTATAACTATAGCCTCTCAAAAGTTCATAAAAAACGTGCGAAAATAGTATTACGCTATTATATCAAAGTTGTAATTATCTCTGTCGATCTGTCTGTCTGTCCGCTAATCCTTGACCCGGCTATAACTTGGAAAGTATCGCTCGGAATTGGATGAAATTTTCACACAAGGTTACTACTAGGCTCCTGATCACTTTCGACAAATTTTTTGTAGGGGTTTACAATTGGTTGTTAGGGGTTGCACGGTTGCAGAGAGGTGGGGAGGGTGTATCTCATTTTTTTACGTTGGTATATCTATGCGGGTTGGACCCCAGTAGTTTTACCCACCTATATTTTACTAATAGATGTGTGTCGATACGCGGGATTAGTCATAGCGACGATCATGTGAGCCCTCAAGGATTTCTCTCAGTGGGTATGAAATCATTATATTTTTTGTTATACATAATATTTTAAGAACTGATTAGAACGTTGCTTGGGAAGTACAGAGTCAAATTACTTGACTCCATTTATGAATAACGCTACGACGACGGCGGCGCTATAAAATTAAAAGTTTTTTAATAAAGAAAAAATAATATATGACACCCCGAAGTAATGCGTAATATATCCGTCGAACGTCGTTTGTTTGAAATAACAAATGCTTGTTGGACCTTAGCAAGACAAACAAATTAGATGATTAAATTTGAAAACTTAGTTGACGTAACTTTTGTAACTTTATATTTACATTTTAACAAAGTCTCAAAGCTTATCGACACACGTGTATTTATTTCTTTCGAAAGTTCATATGACGAGTATAATAATCAACAAAATACGTCTACTCTGCCCCGCTCTTGCGCAATTTAAACTGAATTTTACCTTATTGACGCTCGACACAAATTACGTGTGAATGTGAATAGATAATCCGCCTTCCCATAACTAATTTTTATTGTAATCGATTCCATTACCTCCCATTCTGTAAGCTAATTTCATTTCTTATACAGTGCATTTAGGTTAATGATATTATTACTGGGTGACCGATTACTTTTAAAAAGTATTACGAGACGCCGCAATAACTCTTTTGACTAGATGTTCTTCATGACCGATCCCACTAATAATCCTGACAGCGGCAGTTTTTATACAATGTCTATCAAAACTGTGCCTGTCTCAGCGATACTGAAAGTGAAAGTAATAATGCTGAAGCCGTGAATAATTTTTTAAGATTGATTCTCGTTCTTTTGTGATATGCCATATTTATGTGTGAACACTTATTATTATATTTATAGTTGTACGTTTTTTATGGTATAATAAACGTCTGTTTTGTTTTTGGTGGTATCATTTCCTGATCAAGATATTTGAAAGAGTACCTGCCTACTTCGGTACCAACGCAAAGAACTAGTCACGTAATGCATAGGTAAATCTAAAATATTAGATTTGCGTTATGATTTAACCTACAAAGAGTCCTATTTCCGTATAAAGAAAATTGGCATGAAGTAATAGTTGCTTCTGTATTTAGAGTGCGAATAGAGTATCTGACAAATATATACCAGCGGCCAATCAGCTTAGCCAATCCAGAAATTTTGGAGAAATTTGCGACTAAGTAATACATTGACCAATCACAAAGAAGGATTTGCACCATGCTCGTACCGTTAGAGATGATCAAAGTTGCGATTTTGTGATCGCAGTTAAAACTGCGATTGCGATTTACCAATCACTGCGAGTGAAACCTGTGATTGCGATTTGAAATTGTGGGACTGTATTATTTCATTATTTCCCTTCTATAAAAGGTTAATTACATTAAATTGGTCATATTTAACTGTTATATGTTAACAACTGTTATCACAAAATATGAGATAACATTGTATTTGTGTTATAAAGGTTAGGAGAAATGATACCTTTTTTTTTAAATCTTATAATTCCAAATTTGTAGATTTTATTAAAAATGCAAACAAATGTCTCTTATAATTATAATTTTAATTAGAAGAATGCAAAAACTAAACCCAACAGGTAATATGTTAAACTGAAAACATTTCTTTTCATGAACTTAACAAGGTTGGTTTATTTGACTTACTACCTATGTTTATAAAACATATGTCTGAAAAACAAAAACAATAAATTCTTTTAAATAAAAAAACTAAAACCAAATCATCACAGGAAATGTAGGAACCATTTGTTTTTCCAGACTTACAAAATTTGTGTCTTCTCAAATTCGTGGTACTAGTCTTATATGATATTTTGGTTGCACACATATTACATTTTGCAAAATTTTCGTCGATTTCGGAAAAAAAATTCCACAAATAACTTATTTTCCTCTTTTTAAACATTGTTGAAACTGAATAAAATAATACTGGATAGTCAAAGAAAAAAACAACCTAGAGATTGAAAATAGAAACCACCAATACCAATCCTAACAATTCGCATTCGCAGCCCGCAACAGTCACAACTCACAACCATATAAAAGCAACGCCATCCGCTAGTTTTTAACCGCCAATCGCCACTCGCATGTGTCACTCCCAAAGCGATTGCCGCGATTGTACGGTTGGTTGCATGCCTACCGGTTCACGCGAACCCACCAGCTCGCAACTCGCAGTTTGCTACGGAACGGGCTCGCAGGTTGCGATTGCGATTGTATAATCGCTGCGACTAAATCGCAGTTCGCGAATTTTTGCTCATCTCTACGTACCGTGGCTCAAATATGATACAATGTATAGCTGATATGACAGCAATTACTGAGAATTTTATTGAAAATAACAGTGTCACTACTTAGCCGAAAGAGGCAATTTTGTAGAAAAACGATATATTTTTAAAAATGCATCAACATGTTGATTGAATTGCTGTCTTATGTTGTAGATATACGATGCATGTTTTACTTTGAAAAAGTCTTTATTGCAGTTAAAATCAGAACATCTGTCACTGGACAGCCTCATCAAATGGCTGAAGAGAAAGGCGATACATTCAAAAAATAAACATTATACCCTTTTCGTAGTCAATTTACGCCCGGCACAACAAAGATGCAGCGCGGCAAAGCGGCAGCATCCTAAGGCCCGGTTTTTCAATCGCTGGTTAACTACGACCTTGGTCTTAACTTATAGTTGAAAAGGCGTTTTTCAATATCATGTTTATGGTAAAACGGTAGTTAACTTTAACCAGAAGACCATCCATGAGTTAACTAGAAAGGCTGTAGTTAAATAGCAATGCCTGACGTTTCATTAGCATAAATTTAGACGTTTGTTCAAAGAATCACAAAAAATCCATATCAATCTGTCGATTAATTTAAGCTATAAACACGTTTATGGATTACGACGAGAATGCGTATTGCAGTGATAAAGACGCAAGAAGGCCAAAAATAATACGCTATCGGCCGAATTACTTTGATGACCTTGATTTCCTTGCAAGATTCCGCCTTTCAAAAAATACTGTTGAAACTCTCCTGGACGAAGTCTATGAAGATTTAGTATATCCTACAAGCAGGTAGAAGTATATATACTAAGTGACATATAAATCCGAACACCCAGTTTAAATGGTTTTATTTTAATAAAATTTTGTATAAGTACTTAATGAAGCATAATAAGTAAATGATAAAAATTTCAAAATGATTGCACTGCTTTAAAGCCCTTTGACCTTTAATAATGTGTGGATGCACCCTGATGTGCTACGCATTCTCCAACGCGCCTAGGCATGCTTCTGATCAGGTGGTCAATGTCCTCCTGTGGTATCTCACTCCAGGCAACCACCAACTCCTCTCGAAGTGCTTCTAGAGTCTGAGGAGGACGTTGCAAATTGAGCAATCTCCTACCCATCATATCCCACACGTGCTCAATTGGGGATAAGTCGGGAGATCTTGGTGGCCATGGTAACAATGTGACATCATTATGTTGAAAGAAGTCTATTGTGACTCTTGCAACATGTGGTCGGGCATTATCTTGTTGGAAAGTTGGATCTGCCAGGGTGTCAAGATAGGGTAAAAGATGGGGTTCTAGAACTTCGTGGATATAACGCTGCGCGTTCATGTTACCTCTGATGAAGATTAAAGGTGACCTGGAACCATAAGCTATAGCACCCCAAACCATAACTCCAACAGTGTGATGGACATGTCTTTCAACAAAAAGCTGTGGATTCCTCCTTTCACCACGTCGCTTTCTAACCCTGGCACGACCATCGTGCATGCCTAAACAAAATCGAGACTCGTCACTAAAGTCAATACTGTTCCATTCCTGATCCCAGAGTGACCGTTGTCTGCACCACTCTTACGTCGGTGTTCTCGAGTTAAAGGGAGTGGACCCAGTGTGGCCGGTATGAAAACAAGCCAACACTTCTCATTCGTCGGTAGACACTTCGCATGCCAATAGGTCTTCCGTGTTCTGCAAACCATTCATTTGCAATTGACCTGGTAGTGGAGAAACGGTCCCTTAAGGCCAATAATCTTAGGCGGCGATCTTCACTGTCTGTTGTTCTACGGCGGCGTCCAGTGCCCCTTGCTCTTTGCGTACGGCCTTCTCGAAGCCATGCCTGACAACACCTAACCACAGTGTCTACACTTCTTTGAACTCTAACTGCAATTGCTCGAAAAGAAAGTCAAGAACCAAAATCCGCCAACGTTGATTCTTTACTGCGGCTGAAATATTCATTTTTAGAGCGTTAGTGAATTAAAAAAAAGCAGTATAAAAACCAGAATGTCCAACTGATAAGGCTGAAAATTTTTTCACTTCTTATTTACAGTAAGATAAATTCATCCACCAACTTTTATTAAAATAAAACCATTTAAACTGGGTGTTCGGATTTATATGTCACTTAGTATATTATTGTTTATTTCCATATTTCTACATGACATTGTTATTCCAGGAATAACTGCTTAACGCACCAACAGCAGCTGTTGTTAGCACTGCGCTATTACGCCAATGGAAGTTTTTTAACTGTAGCTGGTGATTTTGCTGGGGTTTCCAAATCAACTGCATCTTACTAATAAATATTTTACAAACTTGTAAATCGATTCAATACTTTCACTGATGCTCAGTGAATGACTCGATACTAGATGGAAGTTGTTTAGTATAAGATCTGTGATAATCCATGGCAAGTGTATAAGAGTTGTGGCCAAAATTGTTGGTGCCCAAAAAAGGTGCACACGGCATTTGAAAAAAGATGTACCAAGCCTCAAAATGGACACCCATTCGATCTTTTTGGACACCTAAAGTTTTCGCCATAGCTCTCATCTACTTGACATATGAATTATCCCCTATTTCTTGTAACTACATAATCAAAATAAACATGATTTTCTGAAAACAGTTTATTATTAAAATGCGAAATACAAAAAAAAATGAATGAAAGTGAAAATATTCCAGAAATTAACAAAATAAATCCTTTGTTTTCTACTTATATAATGCATTGATCTGTAAATCTAACAGCTGAACCTTTTTTTGATATATTTCCATTTGTGTTCTTCAGTGAATTTTTCTTATTGTAGTTTCACAAAATTATAGTTAACAGAATTATATTTTTTATTCTGTTCCGTTTTCGTACGTGATAGCTTTCTAGTTTTGGGCATCTTCAGTTGTTGGGGAGTGTAGGAGCTCCATTTCCAATTATTGAAGACCACTTCACTGTAATCAGTTCTTTGCATCAGGAACTAAAAAATGAATAATTAAAAAAATGCTTCAATCAACATCAATGAGGCTTTCCATGTCCAATAAACAGCTCTTCTTGGCCACTACAGTCATCATCATAATTGTTTGTCAAACCTTCTAATTGTAGTCCCATTATTTCTTGTAACTGTGTATCAATCAAATCGAATGCTTGTAATTGGCATGAACCCGTGTTTTGATTATATTGGTTTTGTTTGTAGCAAATTTGCTTTTTGTTTTTTTCTTTAAATTGAAACATTTATCTCGTAGAGTTTTTGCCTCTCGGTGGCACCCTGTTAGGGCTTGGAATTCTTGTTCGATGCTCTGCCATACTGAAACTTTTCTGTTCCCACATAACTGTGCCACTTGTTTTGCTCTCTATTACATCTTTATTTTTATTCACCAATGATATGAGCATCATTTCCTCATTTTTCGAGAAATTTTGAGCTCTCTTTTTGATCTCTTTCTCCTTGCTAGAAAACAGTTTTTTAGAAATTTTAGCAACAAGAATGGAGGTATTGTGTATCCTCTTTATTTTTCGATTGTAGATTGCAGGAGTGATGTTAAAAAAGGTGGAAAATACGATATTTAGCAGATATTCACAACTCGTATTTTGACCTTAGTGTTCATTAGACATTGCATTGGCAATCTTCTTTATCACCATTTCTATAACGCCGTCTATAGGGTCTACTTCTAAACATTTGTACGATCATTGTTGGAAAAAACTTACCTTACTCCACGAAGGTTTTACGTTTTATTCGTTTTTAATGAAATTTCCGGATTTCCATTTTGGCTGTTTTAAGAAATTTCATTCAATCGAACTGTCATGTATAACGTATGACACGGGACACAGATGCATATGTTGAACTTCTGGTAAGTTAACTGACGCTGTCAAAATACTTGAAAAACGCATTTGCAAGTAACTACAAGTTAACTTCCTGGCGATAGTTAACTAACCAAAAAGTTAACTTGCGATTGAAAAACCGGGCCTTAGCGTTGCAATAACTATTGGTCATTCGGCCATAAAACTACGAACAAGTGCAGGATTCGACAGGATATTCGGTGTATACATAGAGTGTGTTTATACATTAGCATATGTATCTCCTACGGATACAGCAGATGAAAATAAAAATATTTCTCCCAATGCTTCCTTCAGCCATGGTTACTTTTCACACGCCGAAAACTTAGCTGCACTACACTCAGCTATATCTGGTAGATTTGGAAGCAACACCTGTTAGATGCTCTGCTTGTATTGTTATTAGTTTTCAGGAATACTATATGAAATAATTATTTCCAGGATAAGGAAAACGATTAGTTATCTGTCAGATTGGCAGTGAAGATGACTTTGTGCCCACTGCCCTATGGGCATTTGAGTCAAAGTAAACGACCGACTACCATGAAGAAATGGACGGAAGTTCATTTGAACGATGGTTTGAAGAAACGCTTCCAAAGATTGACGATAATGCCGTCATTGTACTTGATAATGCTGTATACCACACTAGAAACTAGAAAAAGTTTCAACAATGTCCACAAAAAAGGCAGAAATTCAAATATAAATATAATCTTAATGTTATTGACGAAATGTCTAAAAACCAAAATAAGACCGTTTTCAGGCTACCCCCTTATCACTGTGGATTAAATCCCAATGAAATGATTTGGGCAAATATAAAAAACTATGTGGCTTCAAACAATAGAACATTAAAAACTTTCTGACGTGAAAATGTTTTATGAAGCTGTCAACACAGTAATGGCAAACCATTGGAAAGAATGCATCCGTCACGTTCAAGAGCCAATCGAAACAAAAATGCGGGATCTGGACAATATGATCGATATTCAAATTGAACCTGCATTAATTAATATTAACCATTCGGACAACGATTCAAGTACTTCCAGCGAATAAAGAATTGTAATGTGCACTTCTTTCTATAAAAATAATCATTTATTTTGTTAGATTATTATAAGACCATTGAGGAAAATACGGACCTGTAAAATCTCGCTTTTGGGCATGTTGTGTTTTGTCTGGGCATAAATGGACTACGAATGGAGTATAGATTGATCCGCACCATTTTTGCACTTTCAATTAAAGAAAACAAGAAGTGTTAGGATCAATTAACATGGGTTGGAATAATAGACACTTGTTTGTTAATATACAGGGTTTGGCCGGACAGTAATAGGACTCATTTTCTTCCGCCATGACTGTACTTCGGAGCGTGCGCGAACCGAGTGGATTCGGTAGAGGGCGTTCCTAGCTAACGAATGAGCGGCTGGTCAGTTGTCTCCGAGCACTTGGAGAGTCAGGACAGGCATTTGCGCGCGACGTGTTTCTGTGAGTGGTGCAAGCCGAAAATGCAGCGTTCGTTAGAGCAGAGGTACTCGATTAAATTCTGTGTGAAACTCGGTAAATCTGCGACAGAGACGTTTGATATGATCAAGCAGGCTTACCCAGGTGTTGCTTTAGCAAGAAGTGGTGTTTTTCGGTGGCACCAGGCCTTTTTAGATGGCCGAGAAGAGGTCGCTGATGAAGACCATGCTGGAAGACCTTCGACTTCGACAAACACCGATAATGTGACTCGTGGGCGCAAAGTTTTAAACTCAGACCGTCTAATAAGTATTCGTTTAATTGCCCAGATGTTAAATTTACCAAAATCTGTGGTTCATGACATTGTGACACAGTAGACACAGCATTTGAACATGCGCAAGGTGTGCGCGAAGATGGTCCCAAAAGTACTCACTGACGACCAGAAATTGCGGTGAGTGGAAGTGTGCCAAGAAAATTTAGACATGTGTAAAAGTGACCCCCAATTTTTGAATAATGTAATCACAGGTGACGAGTCGTGGATCTTTGAGTATGATCCCAAGACAAAGAGGCAATCATCCGAGTGGCACACGACGGCGTCTCCTCGCCAAAAAAAGCGAAGAATGAGCAAATCCAAAGTGAAAACGATGCTCATAGTCTTTTTTGACATCAAAGGCATCGTTCCCCGTGAATTTGTTCCTCCTGGACAAACCGTCAACGCCAAGTTTTACGTGGAAGTGCTCAGGAGACTCAAACGAAGGGTCAGTCGGGTCCGACAAGACATCGCAGCCGACTGGAAGTTGCACCACGACAACGCCCCGGCTCACACCGCCTTTCTTGTGAACAGCTATCTGACCAAGGCCGGCATCCCAACGCTTCCGCAGCCGCCCTACAGCCCAGATGTGCCCCCCCCCCCCCCGGACTTTTTTGTGTCCTCGCATGAAAAGGCCGATGAAAGGCAAGCATTTTGAGACGACAGAGGGGATCCAAGCAGCATGCACCGCGGCTCTCAAGGCTATTCCGGAGAATGCCTTCCGTAATGCCTTCAATGCTTGGAAATCGCGTGGGCAGCGCTGCATCGACGCAGAAGGAGCCTATTTTGAAAGTTTTTAAAGAATTGTAACGATTGGCTCAAAAATTTTTTTTAAATCGACTCAATCCTATTACTTTCCGGACAAACCCTGTAATGTAAAACACTCATACAGAGAGTCGACAGAAAAAATTGCTTTTCGAGCTTCGTTGATATCAATCCTGAAGCGTTATTTGAAGTAAAAAATAGGGCATTTTGGGTTCTGTGGTTACAGCACAAAAACGACACCAAGGATCCCTATTTTCAATAAAGCGAGAGAGTTAAGTCACTGAGAGAAAATATGCGTGGAAGGATCCCAAATTCTGACACCAATTGACATTTGCCAAACAAGTTTGTGAATGTGAAAATAATATACCATATTTCTGAGTCCTACATATCATCAAACGTTTCATCGTAAGGCTAACTTCGTCTTCAGAAACGATGCTGATGAACAATGGCGAGACTTCCGCACTTTTACTTCCGTGACTAACTGGGGAAGGGGCTCTTCTGTCAACGTGCACGAATACTGTTCTCCTAAGGGTAAGAGTACCACGCCTACTTTCTTTGTTATTCTACTTCCTCACTTGAAGAATTAACCGTGAGGCAGTATTTACAAAAAGAACTGGTTTAGGTCTAGATTGCAAATACGCTAGGATTCTGGAAGATCATCTAACACATAGTGTCAGACATCCAACTCACAACTCCAATGCTATTTGGCAAGTTGGACTATGATCACCATTAACTACTAAAAAAAGTAAGGGAGCAAGAAAAAATCCAAACTTTTCGGTGATCTTTGACGGGAAAAATGGTCGTATCTAGACTCAACATAGCATTTTGAAGCTTTTAGATTCTAGTTTTCAGATTGTTTAGCTAAAAAAATTTAAATTTAGCAGATGGCGCAAGACAAATTTTCTGCAAAACCTTTACCTTCTTATTTTTAGTCCCCTGGCTTAAAAAAAAATTCTCCTCGGCCATGCCATGGATCAGCCGTTTATTCAGCTTCAATATCCTGTTTCTAAATTTTGTTTCGATCATTTGACGTGGAGATATCTGACTTTGAACTAAAAGAATCCTTCTAACATCAACCACTGATATATAGGTAACCAGTGATCGCACAGATAATATAAGGGTATTTCCGAAAACTGAAATAAATCTGCTATTTTTTTTTGTTTCCTTAGTGTTGGTTTTAAAAGAGTCATAAAAAGTTACTTTTGCCTTGTTTCGGAATCAGCCGCATTTTGTAAGGGTATTTGCGAAAACTTGTTTGTCTTTATTAAGATCAATACTGAGGAAAAATTACCTCAAATATTGCAATCAAAACTTATAGGAGATTTTCCGGTTTTAGGAAATACCCTTACATTCTCTGTGCGATCACTGGTTACCGATATATCAGTAGTCGATGACACAAGGATCCTTTTTCATTCAATGTCAAATATCTCCACGCCAAATGATTGTCTCGAGATTTTAAGATCAGGATACTGAAGCTGAATAAAGGGGTATCTCATCCATATAATGACCTGAGATAATTTTTTTTCTATCCCGTGCACTAAAAGGAAGACAAACATTTTGCAAAAAAAAATTCTTGTTCTATCTGTTAGAGTTGCATGAGAACCGTTGCTTCCAAAATGTTTCGACTAAAAAACCCGAAAACTAGAATCTTAAGGCTTCAAAATGCTTCTTTTAAAGTCTAGATAAGACGATTTTTCAAAAAACTACAGCCCGTCAAATGTCACCGAAAAATTTGGATCTTTTTGGTTTCTTAATTTTTTTTAGTAATACATATAGTACCCTCAAGTGCTATGAGTTGAACATGGAGTAGAAAATGTCCCGTTTGGGACCATCCATTGCCCGTTCAAGATTTTCATTTGTATGCCAAAGACGCTTTATATCAGAACGAACCATAATTTTGTCATAACCAGTCATGACATCGCCTGTCAAGATCAGTCATCAAAATTCATAGCGATCATGTCATCACTTTTTGGTATAAGCAAAATTCTTAGTGATATCCATCAAATCCTTCGCTCAAACTTGAGGAATCAGGCACTTTTCAGGAAGTCTGAAGAGGTAAGTAGACGATGAAAGTGCTACCAACCCGGATTAGAAAAGCTTTCTTATTGCCCTACTTTCACTAAAAAAACCTCACAATTACTAATCAAAAAAGCCGATGAAACGCTCACAAATGGACATAAGAGTATTTATTTCTATCTTCTGGTTATAATTTTCGATATGGGTATGGTCAAGCGAACGATTGAAAAATTGAACAATGCATGTGATTAGCTATTCTTGGCATCAAACAGATTTTGCTTACTGTTAAATAACAACATAAAAGCTGTATGAAAAGCTCAAAATGTTATTTTGCAGCGGAAGCTGGAATGTTTTGAGAGGCGCACAGATGTGCTCAGTAACAAAGAACATATACAGGGTGACTCACAAGTCGTGATCAAAAATGAAACATCATACAAGGAGGGCATTTTAAGGGGGGTGTTCTATGTACCATTTTTTCCTCGATGGCTTCAAACAGGTACGGGGTGATTGAGCTTACGAAAATTTTTTTGAATATCTTCAAAACCGTCAACTGGAATGAGATACATGGGAATAGTGGCACTATTTTAAAAAAAAATAGTTCGTCACTGTTTTTTTCGAAAAGTCACTTCAAAAGTTCATTTTTTCCATTTTTGAGTGTTGTGAAATGGAATTTAGCAATGATGATCACGCTGATATTATTTTTGTGTACGGGTTTCTGTAATGGAAATGCAAATAATCATTTTAGAAAACGATGGATTGGCAGAAAGGGACCCGTACATTGGCCTGCGAGAACTCTTGATTTGAACCCCCTGGATTTCTTTTAGGGGGCGCTTTTAAACAACTAGTGTATGCTGGACAGATAATGCGTTTCATCAAATTCAAACCACAAAAACTTTTCGGAAATACGTTTTTCTTTATTAAAAAGATGTTGCACTTGTATCCGCCAGACTGGTGGTCTTTTTGAACATTTATTGAAATAAAGCTCTGATCATCTAATTTGCTATTTTTATTTTTACGAAAACAATGCACAATGAGCAAAAACATAAAAGTAATTATTTGTAGGAAACAAATTTAAGCTAAAATTGTGAAAATTGCGCGATTCTAAAAAATCAGTGGCGTACTATTTTTATTTGGAAAAGTAATGTAACTAATCCCCTGTATTTCCGCCACTGGTGCACGTTAATTTTAAGTAAAGGCTTTTTAATGTGGACAATACTTAGGTAAATCCACATACCGAATTTTAGTTCATTCCAGTTGACTATTTAGAAGATATTAAAAAAATTGTTTTTTATTTTTAAACTTCAACACATATCTTTTTAATGAAGCTATCGAGGAAAGAATGTTACATAGAAGACCCCCCTTAAAATGCGGACTCGTGTGAGATGTTTCATTTTTGGTAACGACTTGTGAATCACCCTGTATAATACCCAGTAAAGATGATTTTATTTAAATGAAATTTTGTTCACAATTAGATATAAGTAAGAAAAATTCGGAAGAGAAAAAGTAGCAATGTTAATATGCAGTTTCTTTCGAAATCCCACTACAAATCAAGTCAAGAAAAAAAAAATCATTTTGGGAAAAATCTAGGTTTACTGGAATTTGAAACACGCGGTATATCACTATACAGGGTGTTCCATAATTATTGCGACAAAATGATAGGGGTTGTAGAGGGCATAAAAATATGCAATTTTGCCTTTTAACCCACTGTTCGTAGATATGCCGTTTGAGCACTACCGCTAATTTTACCTTAAGAGCTCATAGGAGAAACAAAAAACTCACCAGCTGCAAAATGTTCGTCTAGCACATTTCATGATCTCGCCGGTTTGTAAAAAAAACCTGCTGTGTTTACATTTTTGTTATCGTAAATTCTCCACACCGATTCATTTAATTTATCTGAGTGGTGCGTCAAACTAGATAGTAAATAACAGTACCTTAGTGTTAAAATGCAGCGTTATTCGTATGCGGAACTTGCGGATATGCATTTAATTTACGGAGAAGCTGGTGGTAACGGAAGACGAGCCTCGCGAATCTACGCCCAACGGTTTCCAGAACGTCCTCATCCGCATCACGCCATTTTTGCAAGGATTCATGGACGTCTTCGTGTCAGTGGCAGCATCAGACACCTCGCGGGAGCAGGGCGGCCCTTCTCGAGGCGCACAGTAGAATTTGAGGAAGCGATTCTGCATCATGGAGAGGCCAATCCGCGTACAAGCGTGCGTGCTATTGTACATGATATCGGAGCGTCTCAAACTACTGTTTGGCGGGTTCTCCATGATCAGCAACTACACCCATACCACCTTTTAAAAGTCCAAGCCATGGGTCCAGAAGACTATCTGCCGCGTCGACGTTTTTGTCGTTGGTGGCTGCAGCAGGAGTTGAGGCAACCAAACTTTGGTCGCTACGTTTTGTTCACTGACGAGTCCTGTTTTACAAAGGACGGTTATTTTAATAGCCGTAACAGTCACATTTGGGACGAAGAAAACCCTCATGCCATAGCCATCCATAGAGACCAACATCAGTTTTCAATTAACATCTGGTGCGGCATTGTGGACGAGCATATCATCGGACCATATTTGCTTCCACCACGTTTGGATGGGCATGCTTATGGTCGATTCTTACAGCATGTGCTACCGGAACTATTAGAAAATATGCCACTGAACATAAGAGCCAACATGTGGTTTCAACACGATGGCGCTCCAGCCCACTTTTCTTTACAAGTGTGGCAGTATTTGGACGACAAATTTCCAAATAGGTGGATAGGCCGAGGTGGCCCTGTGCCTTGGCCTGCGCGGTCACCCAACCTGACCCCACTGGATTATTTTCTCTGGGGCCATCTGAAAGCTTTAGTGTACGAAACTCCTGTTCCCAACCAACAAGAGCTACTGGAAAGAGTGATGGCCGCGTCCGCACATGTTCAGGACATACCATGGGTATGCCACAGAGTTCGGCGATCATTGAACAATCGTGCACAGCTGTGTATTGAGCAAGGTGGAAGACACTTTGAGCTATTACTGTAGGTAAGCTGTTTCAAGAAACTGATCTTTTTTTTTGCTGCAGCCCAAACGGCATATTTCCGAATAGGGGTTTATAAGGCAAAATTGTTCATTTTGATGCCCTCTACAACCCCTATCATTTTGTCGCAATAATTATATATATATATATATATATATGTAAGAAAACGGGGTAGATTTGATTTGGCTTTTACCCCAAAAAAATACACGTCTATCCCCAATCAATACTTTATTCCGAGTACTACCATTTACTCCGTATTTAGGCACAATTTGTTTGGCTGTAGGTACGTGACTGTCGTCATCTTCGCTACTACCTGCGAGGGATCGCAGGTAGTAGTCGTCCCCGGACCCCTCGTGCTTCTCCTTCCGTCGCAGAAGATAACGATATCATTTCACCCTTTTGAGAGGAATTATGGGTAGCCACAGCGGCGCCGCTAACACGGCCATCCGAGATAAGTGGAGCGTCCATGCACCACACCTGGAATAACAAACACCAAGCCAAAATTTGTGCATGACAATTGTATTATCTCACAATCGATCTCAATTGAGACCAGACATAATATTATTTTTTTTATGCAGTAACAGCGTTTAACATCCAGGTTTTTCTGGTGCCGTTAAATGCCAGACCTCATCTAAATGTGACATATTTCCATAATTATTATCACCATTTTTTTTTTAGAACTCATTTTATTACTTTTCTTTTCACACGATCAGAAATTTTCTGTTGCTATTCACAGCCAGACATTTTCTGTTGCTGTCAAAAGCCAGACCTTATCTGATCGTAACAATCCTCAAAAATAATACAAACATCTGTATCATTTTTATTTTCATCTTTTATACACAATTAGATGTTGCCAAATGTCAGACCTAATTTGAATGTGTCAAAACATTATTTTCACACGATCAGAAATTTTCTGTTGCTATTCACAGCCAGACATTTTCTGTTGCTGTCAAAAGCCAGACCTTATCTGATCGTAACAATCCTCAAAAATAATACAAACATCTGTATCATTTTTATTTTCATCTTTTATACACAATTAGATGCTGCCAAATGTCAGACCTAATTTGAATGTGTCAAAACATTTTCAATTAAATTTCATCAGTACTTTGTACACAATCAGAAATTTTCTGTTGCAATTCCACTAAAAGCCAGACCTTATCTGAAAGTGACAACACCACTCTTATTTTAATTTATATTTTTTTCCTTATTTTGACGGTCAGAGATTTTCTGTTGCTATTCACAGTCAGACATTTTCTGTTGCTGTCAAAAGCCAGACCTTATCTGATCGTAACAATATTCAAACACAAATACGAGAAAACAATAAAAAAAGGATGACTTATTCCTTTTACTATGGTCTCTGTTATTTAATCTTTCGTACACATTCAGATGCTGCCAAATGTCAGACATATGAAACTCTTGAAATAAATTTCTTTTTTTTTTTTTAAATTCATCAACATTTCATACACAGTCAGAATTTTTCTGTTGCGATTAGCACCAAACCATTTTGTGTTGCTGCTAAAAGCCAGACCTTATCTGAAAGTGTGATTTATGATACGAGTATTGTATTCTACGTACACTTTCATTCTATGTGTCAGTTCTGGGAGGGCCAACGTCGTAGTTGCTCATGAGCGGCTGCTGTAGCAAGTCGTCCTTTTCCGCCTAGCAAATATCTGTCGTTAGGAAGGACGCTTCGGTTTCAATTTTCCGCCTCCAGCTAACTGGGAGTCTTCGACAGCCACAAGATCCCCAATGTCAAATAAACTTGTCCGGTAGCGAGCTGCTTTAAACCGTTGAGCGTTCTTTTTTCCTTCATCTTCAATACGAATCCGAGCCTGGCCTACAGCTTCGTCGCTATCAATGAAGTTATCCGCTACCGGCGCATCTCCTAAAAATTGTTGCGTCGCTGACAGTCTAGGGTTGTTTCCCAGTTGGAGTACTGCAGGTGCGTAACCAGTTGTCGAATGGACTGTGTTATTTAGATCCTCTTCTATAGCTGGCAATATCGTTGTCCACTGCTCCTCATTTTCGCTCATAAGTGTAGCTCGCAGTAAATTGAAACATGTGCGCATAACACGCTCTACTTGTCCATTTCCTCGAGGCATTCCAGTCGCTATATGATGTAACTGAACTCCTTGCTCACTAAGGAAATTCTGGAATGTCACCGATGTGAATGCGGCTGCTCTGTCAGCTATTATGCGTTTCGGGGTCCCCAGCTCTTGAAAAACTGGTAACAAAGCACGGATGATATCTTCAGAGGTTTTCTTTGGGATTGGTTGGTGACGGCAATATTTAGAGGAGGCATCAATTATTACCAAGATGTGCGTGCATCCATTTGATTTTATCAAAGGTCCTGCATGATCAATGTGCCAAGTGTGGAGGATATCATCAGGTTTTTCGCCATGCTGCCACCATCCTACTCTGCGACCGGTATGTGATTTTCCTAGTACACATGCTCGACAGTTTCTAATGTACTTTTTCAAACATTTGCCCATTTTTGGCCAAAATAAATCCTCCCGTAATTTGGCTATACATTTGTCGAAACCAATGTGTGATGATTCATCATGATATAGTTTCATTGTCAAAAGGCGTGCTTCAATGGGAACAAAACAGTTATGGGGTTTTGACTTGGTCACAACGACATTATTTGTTACAATAAGTTGGGATTTATTTCTGGATTATTCAGGATTTCAAAACAAAATGTGTCTTGCTCCTGAAAACTTCGCAAAGTTTTGACATCTGATAGTCTACTCACGTTTATAGTTTTCAAAGCGAACACCTTCAGAGCAGATTCTTCCTCTGGTGGGTTTCGACTCAGATAGTCCACGTGAGCCATTTTACTTCCGGGACGATGCTCGATGCTAAAGTCGTAGTCCTGTAACTTAATCCACCAACGTGCTACACGGGGGTGTAAGTCTTTCTTCAAAGCAGTTGCTCTCACTGAATTACAGTCAGTGTACACCACAAAGTGCACTCCGTACAAATAAACTCGAAATCGCTCAACAGCTTCCACTACAGCAAGTGTCTCTAAATCATACTAGTGATACCTTGATTCGTAATCGGTCGTCCGACGGCTATAATAGGCGACAGGTCGCGAAACACCGTCTTCTTTTTGGAGCAGCACAGCGCCAAGTCCCACTGAACTCGCGTCAGTGTGAAGTTCACAACTCAGGGCGAGATTGAACATTCGTAATACAGGAGAACTGGTCAGTTTGTCCATAATAAATTGCCTTGCCCGCTCACATTCGGGAGTCCACTCGAAAACACGGTTTTTTCGTAACAAAGCCGTAATTGGAGCCGTAATGATGGAGAAGTATTTAATGAACTTGCGAAAATAACCCGCGAGTCCCATAAACTGGCGAATACCTTTAACACTTGTCGGAGAAGGTGATTGGGTTAGCGCATTCACTTTTCTCGGACTAGGGCGAATTGTTCCTTCACTCAATAGGACACCAAGATACTCTATCTGTTTCTCAAAAAATTTACACTTTTCATAGTTCAAGGAAAATCCATGAATAGCCAAAGCACTCAACACTTCCTCCAGATATTGCAAGCCGTCTTCTATTATCGCCGACGGCACGAGCACATCATCAAGGTAGACAAAAGCCTTATTGCCTTTCAGGTCTCCCAAAGCCTCGTCAATTGCTCGCTGATATATTGCCGGGGCATTGACATATCCAAAAGGCATACGGTTAAATTCATAGAGCCCATCTGGTATGATAAGTAAGTAATGTGTCTGGAACTTTCCTCAATTTCCATTTGATAAAAACCAGACTTCATATCTAGTGTAGTGAAGTATTTGGCGTGAGACAATGAGTTCACCTGTTCTTCGATAACGGGTAGGGGGTATATTTCTTTATAAACACGTTTGTTTATATCTCGGTAATCAACACACATCCTTGTCTCATTGCTCTTCTTTTTAACTAGAACAATAGGACTGGCATATTCTGAACGACTCTTTCGGATGATTCCTTTAGACAAAAGATCGTCAATTATTTTGTTAACTTCTATTCGTTCTTGAAGTGCTAAACGACGTGCACGGTATGAAACCGGAGTACTGTCTTTTAATCGAATGGTCATTTTACCTGTTGTAATCGTTTCAGGCGTTTTGCTTTTATAGAGTGTTAGTAATTTCTCCACTTGTGGCTTTAAGCTGTCATCTAGCCCTTGCTGATTTATCTTAACATCCACAGAAGTCTTTAGGGTGAACAATTTCATCGCATTAACTGGTTCACAATGTAAATCCAGGCCATCGGCATTCTTTTCAACTCGCACAGATGGTCGACCGATAACATCCCATCCAATAATAACGTCAACATCACCCGGAATAGCACTGTCACACACCACGGTGAAAGTTATCTCTAAAGTCACATTTGGCAGAACGACTATCAGGTCGCTCACACCCTCGGCGTAAACAGATTTGTTCCCGAGTCCCGAAAAGGCACGCACTTGTTCGGATGACCTGACAATGCCATTAATTGTTCTTATGACAGAGCGTTTCACTATGGATACATCGGCACCACTGTCAATGATGTAGGTAAATAATGTTGCTTGGTTATTACACAATAATGTTGCTATCGGAGTAACTTGTAGCTGGCGTCGTTTCTTCAATACAAATGCTTTCTTGGGCCTCCCATGTTTTGACCAGCAATTTGATTCACTGTGCCCCATCTTTTTGCAATAAGTGCAAGATGGCACGGCAGTAGTTTCTGCTTTTTCATCAACTTCCACTGTTTTGTCCATTTGCACGACACGACATGTATTCTGGTGATGTCCCCTGCGACCACAGTTGAAACAAGTACTTTTAATTATTTTAGCTGGTTTCTGGTTGTAGTGGTTCTTAGAATGATGTTCTGATCTGTAGGTTGTTCCTGTGAGTGCGCTAGCTCTCCTGAATTTGCTTGACCGGCCAACTTGGCGCGCATCCATTTCGCAAAACAGCTTCATTAACTCTCGCTCTGAGTCCGGAATTTGAATGTGCAAAGTAGAACGGGCTTCTGTGTTATCCAGCCCATATTCCACCATGCTAAGTACCTTGTTCCATGGCAAGTTTTCTTGGAATCTGCGAATATAACGTAGCTTTTGGTTGCCATATTCGCATAAAGTTTCACAATCGTTACTCCGGAGTGTAGCTGCCTTAAAAGCACGGGCACCTGGAGTCTCCTGGTCTGGAAAGGCTACCACTAGGTCGTCACAGAATATTTTCCAGGTTCGGCATCTCGGTCTCCAATCGCAACAGTATTGATACGCACGATTTTTGAGAGCTTCGCTAGCCTTAGCAATCATTAAATTATCACTGATACCTAGTTCATCTTTAAGCTTCGTAGCGTCATCCAGCCATTCCCCGATGGAGTATGCAGTTTTGTCGGGATCGAACGTAGTGAGCTTAAACGACGTATGTCCAGACATCGTAGCCTGTATGCCATCTACGATGGTATCCCTGGGTGTTGGCGGGGCGGACGATGTCATTCTGGACTGCCGAGTTAACTCGGCTAACTGTTGCTGTTGTGCAGCCACTAAGTTCATCAATGTCTCCTGCCACTCAACTTTCCGCCGTTCAGGAGTTGGCGGAGACATAGCCACTTCCTCGGTATCCACTTCGACACTACACGCGACTACGACACTTTCGCGACGAGGACTGTTTTCTTCCGACATTGTTCCCTTTTTTTTGTCCAATATAAAGTGGAAAATGCGGCACGGATGTAATCCCACTTCTGATGTAAGAAAACGGGGTAGATTTGATTTGGCTTTTACCCCAAAAAAATACACGTCTATCCCCAATCAATACTTTATTCCGAGTACTACCATTTACTCCGTATTTAGGCACAATTTGTTTGGCTGTAGGTACGTGACTGTCGTCATCTTCGCTACTACCTGCGAGGGATCGCAGGTAGTAGTCGTCCCCGGACCCCTCGTGCTTCTCCTTCCGTCGCAGATGATAACGATATCATTTCACCCTTTTGAGAGGAATTATGGGTAGCCACAGCGGCGCCGCTAACATATATATATATTCGACTTTATATCACGATCATGATGTTTCCAACTCATTTTACAAATCCTCTTAAATATCTAGTTGCCGAAACTGACAAACATATATAAATACTATGGATGTAACAGTCAGCTGATTTGATTTGGAATGGGCCGCCCAAAGAAGGTAAGGTACAAATGTTTCAGTCCTGTTAAAACACTGAAAGCCGGTCTCCAATATTATGCCGAGTATTGAGGTATTGAAGGATAACTACATGAGCAGCTATATTCAACATTACGTATTTCTCGATCGTTTCCAGATATTTCGAAATATAATATGAAATTATTATTTTTTCTGATTTTTTCATTTACCTAGAGAAAGAAATGCTACGGCGTCGCGCTTAATAAAGGCGAGCGTTAGTAGCGAAAAAAATAATTTTAAGTGCTTATAAGGTTTCTAAAATGAAATATCTTTTGTGTAGAAACCCGCCACGCCCTACATTATTCTTAGAGCAACCAGAGATGACTACGATCCAGTCCTCAAAATCATGCATGAAATCTACTATAAGGAGGAGCCCACTTTTAATGCATTGGGTATCGAGAAAAATGCTTTGCTGGATGAAGATACAATGAAAATGATGGCAGAAGGCGTAACAATGGTTTGTTGTCCAAAATCATCTATCTCAATGAGAAGAGCAATTTGTTAAGAGGGAGCAAAGTCAAAATACGCGATTTGGACCTCAAGGACGCCCATTTTTGAAAACGAGAAGATTAAACACTGACAGAAATTGGTCATGGTTCTCTTAAAATTCAGGGAGGTGCATTCCTAAACACTGATAGAATAGTCGCGATTCGAGCCATTCTTTATGTCTATATCAGGGTTTCTGAAGCAATGTCAGAACTTTAAATATAAAACTTTGTGTAGGGTAAAATTTCAGCTCCATCTTTTCATGATGATGAATTAAATTTAGTACGCCTACGTAATTTTGGACACTGAAGAAGATAATGATTGGCCTATTAATGATTCGATTCCACATGGTTTCGATTCGTTCACGATTCCTTTTAATACCGATCTTGAATTCCGCAATTCTAAAATATATCACCAAGCGTCAGTGACGTATATAAAGGGGCCCGGGGTGTCAATGCATCTCCTTTTTGTGTATGATTTTTGATACTCTCAAATTGTAGCCAAAAATATTACAAACCTGTTTTTGAACCCTTAAATTCTGGTTAGCACACAAGCTGCAGTTTACTTGCGATTAAAAAATGGCGTCATGTAGATTGATTCTATACGTACGAGTACTACGCCTTTGTTGGCGGTTTCGGATTAGTCAAATCGTTTCAAAAGCCGAAATCGAACCTTGGCTAGGTCGGTTCACTTAGGTACGATTAATCTTCGACCTCTAAATATCAAACTATATAAAATGAATCTATCATATTTCTGTCTCCATGGTACATGTAGGGAAAATATGCGCGAGTCTTTGGTGCATAATATTACCGGGATCAGCAGCTTCTTAATAATAGAAGAGGTTTCACTGACAACAAACATGCAACAATTTGCCACATACAGCTACAATATTCAACTCCTCCAAACAATTTCTGAACATGTTTTTGTCCATGGTTCCGCTGCCACTGGATCAATTTTCAAAATCTACGACTATTCAAATGATGGAAGTATTGAACTCGCGATAATATTTGAACTTCAGTTCACAATCTTCTGTTGCGTAAAGATCTCTGCATCACATAAGTCCGTGTTTCTCATTGATGTCGGTTTCTCAGTCAGTGTATGTTGTACAATATTGTATATCAATGCGTAATACGTACTGAGTCAATCTACTCGACGAAAAATTCCGAGAATCATCATATACTGAGTAATACAAATTGAATGTTAGGCGAACTATGCGGGTAAATTTAAGGATAATAAAATTCAGTAAAAGATATGTAACTATAAAAACTATTAAGTTATCATTTAGGTACAAAAGCATCGCAGAACGCTAAAGTGGTAATACTACTCCTAATACCCAAATATTCCTAAAATATACAGAGTGTTAGGGAAATAATATTCGTAACTTTAAGAGGTGATTCCTTGCGTTATTCTAAGCAAAAAAGTTCATTATAACTTATGTCCGAAAATCAGTCGTGTTCGAGGAAAGTGAGTCGTAAATAATTAAATTTTCTCAAACATTTGGCAACGCTGCAACGCAACCGCGATATGAACGCACGACGATTGCACCTGATTCATCGAATTGATTACGTTTGTATGATATTTTTGTTGAAAATATGCCTTGAATTATTGAATACTTTTACGAAATTTGTTGTGGCTAATATTTTTCATTTAATAACGCTTTCAGCACAGAACATTTACTTAAAAAAATGACAGAACTTACCTGTACGTGGCGATTCACACCACCAATTCCCACTATTACCAGTCACTTATTTGAAACGATGCGATGCACGAAAAGCAACATCCGTGAATCGGATAAAGCTACAGTTAAATGTATTCGCTATTCGTAATCACAACACCACGCGATGATATACGTATATGCAGTGCAGGCGCAGTACGACGTTGCCAGTTGTGAGAGGGATTTTGTTTGTCTGTTTTTCTTCGGTAAATTGTATTTAATAAACAAGAAAATTATTTTGTTAGAGACAGTTAATTAATAAATTGATGTATTGATACATTTTAGGCTATTAGGCATATAAATTTAAATTATTAAGGTGCAAGATTCATTGATTTCATGACTGAAAAGGAATAAAATCAGTATCTTTTTGCTCCGAAACGGTTGATTATCGGACATAGGTTATAATGCACTTTTTTGCTTAGAATAATGCAAGCAATCACCTCTTAAAGTTACGAATATTACGAGTATTTCCCTAACACCCTGTATAAATATTGTGTGTAGTGTTGTAGCGGTGTGTCACTGTCGACTGCCGCAGTACATCAGTTGGAGTTAGTCACCTATTCGGCTTACCAGAGCCGGTAGTGGCCTCTACGACGATGCAGCGTCGCAGCATCGGACCGCGCACCGAACGCCAACGATTGCAAGCTATTTGGAAATATGAGCACATTATACATCGGACTTTTATCATTTAATTCTGCCGTTGTTACCGGGGTCAGAAGCTTCTTCATGATAGAATGCCTCTGACGGATACTAAACACGTAACATTTACAATCCATTACAACCCCCAATTTTCAACCCCTACAAGTTTTTTTTCAAAAATGATAGGAGCCTCTGCAACGTCAAAAAACGACAAACCATCACCGCCATGATTGTTTCGATCTGAATCTGAGGCTACAAATGGACCAACTACTTGAAGCGCTTGAAGTTTCTTAAACATTTGAAGTTTTCTTGCAGATTCCCTTATGAAACTCTAACCTTTTAGTTTTTCGTAAAAAATAACTTTTTAGGTGGCTAGATGTAGGTACGATGGCTGTATAGTTGGAGCATGCATCAACGAATCCTCGAACCCCTGGGACCCGTCCTTGAAAGAAAAGTTCGCTTGTAGCGTTGCGTGTCCTAAAGTAAAGCAACTCATGATGTTTTACGCATATTTGCAGAAATTGCCTGGGCTATGGGAGAACCATGACGTACAAAAGGTTTTTGAGGTGAGGTGAGGCGAAACGGCCGAAAGTCAAACAATACTCTGAAGATATTAATAACTATGATATTTTTTCAGATGGCCTATCTCTTCGTGAAAAAAGAGCATAGAAGACGGGGTATTGCATTAAGACTTCTACAAGACTCCAGGAATCTAGCTGCTGATTGTGGTTTCAACGTTGTCAGATGTGACGCTACTAGCGCATATACGTAAATACCATTTAGTATTGCTTAGAATAACTATAAACTTGAGGAACATGTGATAGAAATTCTAATTATTCCTACGCGCATAGCCGTTTTAAGCCACATAGAAGCCTTTGCCCACGCAGGATGCTCGGGGCCTGCGGCTCCAGGCCAGAGCGAAATCCGAGGCCTTGCTTTGTCAGTGAGGAAAAATGAAAAGCAAGTAGGGTGGGCGTACACTCAGTTATTTTTTTATATTGGGTTTTTATTCATATGGGGCACCCATCCTGGGACACGGCCCTTGTGTGCCCATGTAGTAAAAATACGTTATTACCTATCCGTGTAGTTCTCGTAAATTAGGGAAAGAATTCTGCAAAATTCGAATAATCGGAATCCAATTAATCAACAATTTTTTATTTTTTTTTTGTATGTGACTTCGTAGCTCCCAAACGAATGAACCAATTTTGCTTTTTTTGCTTGAAAGGTAACTTGATCAAGAGAGTTGTTGCCATGATACACAAAAAGTGTAGCAAGTTAAAGTCAAGGATTTTTTTAAAGTTTTGATTAATATCTACTTGTTCTATTTTCAGAGCTATACTATGCGAAAAATTAGGCATGAAGATGATCCACGAACTACCATACTGCAACTATTTAGCAAAACAAACTTTGGAGCCCGTATTTCAGCCACCACCTCCACATACGAGCGTCAAAATTTACGTCGACGTCAAGCCTCACCAGTCGGTGCTCAAAGAGAAAAATAACTAAAAATGATCAATATAAACTTTACACTCCTCGTTAAGAGTATATCTACTAAGATTGCCCTATATGTACGTACAATGTTATCGACGAAATAATAAGGAACTATAGAAAAAAGACAAAATTAAATGTAAAGGTAATAAACGCCAATAAAAAATGTCTAATTTCTAAAAGATGCTATTTTAAAACAGAAGAAGACATCCGGTCAATAGGCAATCAAAACTGAATCAGTTATCCTCTGTGTACGTAATCTTCCATTCTCAATCCGGTTGGACATTAAATTAATTTGCATGTTTAGCTTGATTTAGTGTACAATTTTGAGGATTTTTAAAATTTGTCCCGTTTCCCTCCCCGCTTTTCAAAAAGTTTTGGAGGCAAGTACACCTTCACAAAAGTTATCTCTTGCCGACGCACGCATCCTCCCCCCCCCCAGAAAAGGTGCGGATCTAGAGCCGACCCCAAGTGTACCAACTCTCCGTATGTTTATACACTAATCTATCGAACCTTCCTGATCGCCTAATACAGGCCAGGATGTTCTCCCATTCCGCTTAGTATGCAACTTCACTAGCAAACTCCGTAGCTCCGAATATCTCAACTGTTAGACTGCCTCATATGTGGCTAAAGTCTAGGAAATGGAACGCAGTTGAGCCGTCCTTTTTCCAGCACATGAGGCAGATAGAATCTTATTTTTTACACCAAGGAACAAGTGATTATTCATGCGGTTGTCGGTGAGAACCTCCACCAGAAGATTGAGCGAATCTCTACCTTTGTCCAGTAGCCAGCGCGCCTGAGGTCCCTTCTATGACCCTCTTGACCTGCGTTCAGCCATCCTTCTCTCGTCATACTTAACCCCAAGTCCCTATACGCCCTTTTAATCAGTGCGATGCTGACCTGGCGTCTGCAGGTGCCCTTGACCTTCAGCCTAGCCAGACAATCAGCTCTCCACAGTGTCCGCGAACTCAAAATCGGATCTCTTCTTTAGATCGGGCTAAACTCTGAAGAGCAATAGTGCATTCCAGTATTAGAGTTGCACTTCTCCTCGAAAATGCTACTGTCTTCAGGGCTGCTTGACTATCGGAACATGAAAAATGCTCCGCTCGGCGCACGGTCGGCGCAAATATATCTGCCTGTAAAACTGTTGTGCAGGTTCCTAGTGAGAAGCTTTCCTGAACGCCTTTAACTTTCAGGAATAATCGCTCCTCACTGGATCCTTTTTCCTTGGAAAAGGATCCGTATTCTTACCTCGTAAGGATGATGAGTGAGAAATGTGGTTTTGTTGTGTTCTTGATCCTCTCCTCTCATATTGAAGATACGGGAAGATTGTTCTCCATCATATCTCCGATCCTGGGAGTGACCAAGCATCAGCTTTCATATCACCCACGTGCACTTGTCGCGTATTATTAGATATACGTCAACATAGCATCCCGCTTTTTGTTAGGTTTTCGATGGCTGTAATCCCAGGATAACGTCGAGGGTTGCAAGTTTGAATCTTGGCGAGTTCGCTGGCATAGTTGTAGTCACCCTTCTTGGCGGGTCAAAGTAAGACTACCAGTATCCCTTTATATCTATATCTCGATTTCTCTCATACATACACGAGCAACCTACCTCTGTGTGTGAACGTTTGTTCCGTAAGCTCAAAGACATACGTTTTTTAGTTGTGTCTCCGTCTAGAAAACTTTGTCGTTACGTATGAGTGCTCTTCAATCATATTTGTCAGAGTGACAACTCACTTGACATCGGCGTGCAATTTTGATGTCCTATTATCAATCTTCAATATAGAGTTGTACAAAGCCCGGAAATACGATCAATGGAGAAGGCCGACAGCTCGGGCTAAATTTAGTAGTATTTCCAGTGCCCGTATTCTTGACTTCAATAGAAAATCACACTCCCTCTCTTTTTCTACTCCCCCGGTTTTCTATCGATTCGAAAATACTGTATTCTTGAAAGGACTCGATAGAAAGGAGAAAGGAAATCAAGACACAGGGTTGCCAGGTTTGGGAAAATGTGTTAAAACAATCAAAATGGAGATAATTTTGACAGTCAAAAACTGACCAAAGATTTCGGTCAAGATTTCCTCCTTATTATTTTATCTGTGATTTTATCTATTTTGTGTGGTTGATTTAATGCCTGCGTTACCTCCTTTATTGCTCTACTCATCGATGCCTGGCTAATCCCAACAAAATGGTTGGAGCCAGTGATCTCCTCATGGCTGCCACTAGCATAAAATCTTAGAGTTGCCAAAAGCTGGAAATTTTCCATTCTTGACTAAATTATTCTGCTCTTTTGCCTCTGTATGGATTCCATCATAGATCAAAGGATAGGTACTGTTTTAGAATGACTAAGACTTACTTACCTTTGTTGTGATCGAAAGTGCAGAAGCTCGTCGGGGTGGTTGTATGAATGGAGTCAATATCTCCAGCAACTCATACACCAAATCGTGGGTCAACCAAAACATCTGTTCGAATTTTAGATCGGAACTTGTGAAAGGGTCTCGGTGCCCAAGAATATCTCTCCCAATCTCCCATTCCTCAACTGCCTCCTCTACATCCTCGTTAATAATATCGTTCCAACACATCAATTGATTGAAATTATCCATTTTTTACAATATGTTTAACGAACGACAATAACAATGCCAAAAACGTAAAATTTTTAGGTTATATAGCGCTATTTTCTGCTAATTTTTCCAGTCTCTCTTGGCGGTACCAAGAGAAATCGCGACTCCCTAAGGTAAATTCATTTCTATCACTTTTCGGTAGAAATGATTTCAAGAATACTGCATTTCTTGGCCACGTCCACTTTTTGCCACTTTCTCTTATAATTTCTACTCCCTCAAACTCAAGAATAGGGACACAGGAAGAGAATAAAAACAGCGGTCCCCTGTTACCCACTTCATCTGAAGATTAGTCTGCGCCCATGGTACGGAGACTCGATGTGTTTACTTATTTCCCATGGTGTTGATGACGTAACCGCCAAGAACGGTGACTACAACTATACTAAGTGACATATAAATCCGAACACCCAGTTTAAACGGTTTTATTTTAATAAAAGTTGGTGAATGTATTTATCTTACTGTAAATAACAAGTGAAAAAATTTTCAGTCTTATCAGTTGGACATTCCGGTTTTTATACTGCTTTTTTTTTAATTCACTAACGCTCTAAAAATGAATATTTCAGCCGCAGTAAAGAATCAACGTTGGCGGATTTTGGTTCTTGACATCCTTTACGATCGGTTACGATGCCTAGAGTACGGAGACCTGTACGATTTCGTCAACTTAGTGAGTTTGATAGGGGCCGTATAGTGGGACTTCGGGAAGCTGGACTTTCTTTTCGGGCAATTGCAGTTAGAGTGCAAAGAAGTGTAGACACTGTGGTTAGGTGTTGTCAGGCATGGCTTCGAGAAGGCCGTACGCAAAGAGCAAGGGGCACTGGACGCCGCCGTAGAACAACAGACCGTGAAGATCGCCGCCTAAGATTATTGGCCTTAAGGGACCGTTTCTCCACTACCAGGTCCATTGCAAATGAATGGTTTGCAGAACACGGAAGACCTATTGGCATGCGAAGTGTTTACCGACGAATGAGAAGTTTTGGCTTGTTTTCATACCGGCCACACTGGGTCCTCCCTTTAACTCGAGAACACCGACGTAATCGCCTTGAGTGGTGCAGACAACGGTCACTCTGGGATCAGGAATGGAACAGTATTGTCTTTAGTGACGAGTCTCGATTTTGTTTAGGCATGCACGATGGTCGTGCCAGGGTTAGAAGGCGACGTGGTGAAAGGAGGAATCCACAGTTTTTTGTTGAAAGACATGTTCATCACACTGTTGGAGTTATGGTTTGTGGTGCTATAGCTTATGGTTCCAGGTCACCTTTAATCTTCATCAGAGGTAACATGAACGCGCAGCGTTATATCCACGAAGTTCTAGAACCCCATCTTTTACCCTATCTTCACAACCTGGCAGATCCAACTTTCCAACAAGATAATGCCCGACCATATGTTGCAAGAGTCACAATAGACTTCTTTCAACATAATGATGTCACATTGTTACCATGGCCACCAAGATCTCCCGACTTATCCCCAATTGAGCACGTGTGGGATATGATGGGTAGGAGATTGCTCAATTTGCAACGTCCTCCTCACACTCTAGACGCACTTCGAGAGGAGTTGGTCGTTGCCTGGAATGAGATACCACAGGAGGACATTGACCACCTGATCAGAAGCATGCCTAGGCGCGTTGGAGAATGCGTAGCACATCAGGGTGCATCCACACATTATTAAAGCAGTGCAATCATTTTGAAATTTTTATCAGTTACTTATTATGCTTCATTAAGTACTTATACAAAATTTTATTAAAATAAAACCATTTAAACTGGGTGTTCGGATTTATATGTCACTTAGTATATATTCTAGGTCTTATCACCGTCGCCGTCGTGTAGCGTCAATGCAGGACTTTCGATCGTAGACCCCAAGTCCTGCAGATTATCCGACGTACTGCCACATGATCGTTACCGATTTTTTGTCGATATGCTGCTTCAATGGTAACTTTCTATCCAGCACCTGTTGATTGAAAGTCAATGATAGACCACGGAGGGTTGGGTGATTCAAACCTTATTCTGTCTTCCGTCTCTTGGTGAAGAGAGTCTTGTCTATGAAGTAGCTATCGTGTTTCGTGTTCTTGTAAAAGAAACCCAACCTTATGCTATATATTGTAGCCTTTTTCTGGGTTCTTTTAGGTGTGGATTAAAACACTGGATTCCACAAAAAGAAATGCACTAATTTATTTAACTCGACTAGTTAGAACATTTATGTACACCACTATTTATGTCTCACTACTTATTTACGAATTATTGTGACAACAGTACGAGAGGAGACAACGCTAACACCTACAGATGGTGGTTGACACGTGTATATCTAGATCTAAGCATAAGTGGTTGACGACGCTAATATTACTATACGAATAACTTTCCCCCACCCCACACTTCCCAATCTGTGTCCGACGCTCGGCTGTCATTTCATTTTACCTTCAAACAAGCGATATATAGTCAACGCCAAACAAAGTGGCGTGCACGTCATCACGATAAAAATTCCCCGACCTAATGCCTAGGTTTCTATCACAAACAATTGCTCTATTGCAGTTTCATATTAATGTGATATATAAATTGTAAAATGGTCATTACTCTCTTATTATGGTTAATAGTCATATAAACATTGTTATTAAAATATCACATAAGTTGCTTTCTGATAAATTTAGACGCATTATGCGAAATAAAATGTTTTGCAAACGCTCCAATCACTTATCGACATGTAAACGCACTAAACCGATTTCGCAGCGTTGACACATTGTCACCTTGAAACTTATTTAAACTGGGAACTGACATTTGTATTAATTTTGACACTGAATCAATTTGTGGCATTTCAAATCTTTATAAATCCTTTGGCCCCGCATACTGTAAATCAACAACTGTTTGTTTCAAAACAAAATTATTCATTTTACGAGTAGATAAAGGCAATTTTGGTATATAAAGATGCCCAAACAGTTAAATAGTCGGTGTAAGGAACTCGTGGCCTCGTTAATGCACTACTTTGAGCAAGAAAGGGACAACAACGGGCCTTTGTTGCCTTTAAATGCTGTTCAAGAGGTAGGTTACTAATAATTATATGTAATGTATATTAATAATAGTGAAATTTTATTTCATTTTTTGTAGCGTGTTGCTGCTGCTTTAAAAATTAGTTTAAGGACAGTTAGTCGTATTTCCGAGGGTGTGAAAAGTGATGCAAATTTAGAATCGCCCAAGAAAAAGCGGAGTTATATTAAACGTGTAACCAACACAGCGACATTGGATACAAGTGCCATTCGAGAAGTGATCTATAATATGTATCACAAAAGTAAGATCTTATTATAATAACTTATCAGAAATTTGCATTAATTTGTTAACTAAATTATAATGTCATATTACACATGGTTTCAGAAGAACAAGTTACGATACAAACTTTATGGTCTCGATTAAGAGATAGGGCATTATTTGATGGTAGTGCCACGTCTTTAAGGCGGTTGCTTAGAGATCTTGGATTTAAGTGGCTTAAGGACAATCCGCGACGAGGGCTCATGGAACTACCAAGTATAGCTTTGAAAAGGGTGGAATTTCTAAGGCAATACAATCAAGCCAAGGTTGAGGCCTTATACCAGTTTGTCTTCCTCGATGAAACTTGTATATTTCAAAATGGGACCATAGGTCGCTCTTGGCAAAATGGAAACCAAAAAAGCGTGAAAGCTATTAAAACAGATGGTAAAAGGTATGTACTTTTACACAATTTGCACTATAAAATTTAAAACTAATATATTTTAGATACATTATATTACATGCTGGAAATGAAAATGGGTTTATTGAGGGTAGTTAAGCGATATTTTCTTCGAAAACAAAATTGAGCGATTACCATGGAGAGATGAACCAGGACAATTTTTTGAAATGGTTTCAACATCAGTTATTAGAAAAATTGGAGAGTCCATCTATGATTATACTGGATAACGCCCCTTATCACAGCATGATATTGAACAAAGTGCCCAACAATGCATGGACAAAAAAAAATATCCAAGACTGGTTGACAAATCAAAACATACCATTTTTAAACACAATGTTTAAAACAGAGCTATTGAGTATTGTTGCTCGGTACATAATGCTTCGTAATTATATATATTTTGGTCGACAGTTTATATTTCTTTTGTTTATTCCTATTCTTAAAATAACTGCTTTTTTAGAAACAAACCACCTAAAATATACGTGATTGATGAATTGGCGGAACAACATGGGCACAAAGTTCTTCGTCTGCCTCCTTACCATTGTATATTTAACCCTATTGAGTTAATTTGGGGCATAGCAAAAGGTTACTATAACAGACATATTGGTAGAGATGGTAACAGTGAAAAAGACTGTTTGGATATGTGGAACGAGGCTCTACAAACGGTTACCCCAGACATGTGGAAAAATAGTGTTCGACATACTGAGCAAGAAATTTTTAAATGGTATGAAAGAGAACGAATTTTTGATCGACCAGACATCGAACCTTTAATAATCAACTTTGAGAGTGATGGAGATTCAGACAGCGCTGAAGAAAGAAACTCCGACTAACTTTATTGTACAGAAAAAGCTTACACCAGTAGCTTACCTAATTTTAGAATGCATTTTTCTGTAAGAATTCTGTAAAATAAATACCATGCATAAAATTTGGAGGACCCCATTTGGATTTTTATTCAGTACCTTTAAGCTATCAATTAAATATGGTAGTTTCATAGTGTCATCTGATCAATAATTGTCATACTTAATGATTATGCAAGTACAGATCTATAATTTTATTATACTATTATTTTTGTTCTCATTTGAGGTTAATATTGCTTATAAACCTAGATATGTAAATAATAAATTTTATTATTTTACAAAAAGTTTGGCAACAATGTAAATTTTTCAACACACCCACCTTGATGACGTGCACGCCACTTTGTTTGGCGTTGACTATAGACGACGTTTTCTTAGGTGCTTTCCAGTGCCTCGTTATTTTACTCGGAGTAACTCGGAGCTACCCACCACCTGTCAATACCGTTCCAGTGCTCTAGAGTCTAGTGTCATGCACCTGAGCTACTCATTTTTGAAATCCCCGCCCCTCATGCACTAGCTGTTTATTCGGTGTTATACGCTCAGAACTAGTGGGGATAATGAAAATAACAATGAGTGAATGGGTCAAGATTGTTAAGTTATGTATTTTCATCGTTTCTGTTTTTTGCATTAAACTCACATTAAACCAATACCAGACAATGGACCATGTTAAAAAAACTGATAATGTTATGACCCAGAGTCACAACGTACATTCGAGATGTTCCTGAATAATAAAGATCACAAGAGAGTGCTAGAATGCAGGTTCATAGCGGCTTGTAGTTGGCTTCATCTATAACAACACTTTGAAAATAATTTTGAATGTCAGAAGCTTTACAATAAAGATGCAGATTTATGAAATGTTGCGCCATCATTCTAAAAGCATCATCAGGCATCAATTGGATAGTCTGACAATGCTTCTGAAAATAAAGGCAAAATGTGTTTGCATTTCCATTGTTTGGCAATGTGATACAAATTGTAAACGTCAAAGCAAAACATCAACAAACATTTGCCAGAGTAGTTCGGGAGTGTCACACTCCGGGTGCATCAACTCTCAATTCAAAAGCACTGGAAAGCGGCTCAGGTCTGTGGTTGTGGTGGTGTCAAAAAGAGTGACTCACACTTGACAGTAATTTGACAGTTAAACAGCCGTCAAAACTCCATAAATGAAATAAATTTTGGGAAAGGTGTGAACGAATTATTTAAAATAATAATTAATTATGGAGGCATATGATGTAATTGTGAATCAACCTGTAGTTATAGACAACGTAAGTAACCAAAATCCTGAAGGCTTTGTGTTCAAATTGACGTATTTATTCACTTTTCATGTTAGGGAACTGGGGTAATCAAAGCAGGATTCGCTGGTGGCCAAATACCTAAATGCCGGTTTCCAAACTAGTAAGTACCCTTCCAAACGTCAATTTAACTCCAACTAATGCCCTAATAAAATTTTAGTGTCGGACGTCCAAAACACACCCGTGTCATGGCAGGGGCCTTAGAAGGTGACATCTTCATAGGCCCCAAAGCTGAGGAACATCGTGGACTGCTATCGATCAAATACCCTATGGAACATGGCATAGTTACAGATTGGAATGATATGGAGAAAATCTGGAGCTACATCTACAGTAAAGATCAGCTATCTACTTTTTCTGAAGAACATCCTGTTCTACTGACAGAAGCACCTCTAAATCCACGACCAAACAGGGAAAAGGCTGCTGAGATAATGTTTGAAACATTCAATGTTCCAGCCCTGTTTATTTCCATGCAAGCTGTACTTAGTCTGTAAGTGATTTTATTGCTGATAGAACTTGCAAGTTTTTCTAGCCAAATGAAGGTACAAACTAAAAATATAAATTGTATTGCTCTTGAATAGTAAAGGTAGTAGAGAAACAATTTTCATAAAAAAAAACCTAGTAATGTTTTAAAGTGGAGGATGCCAAGTAATTGATCTACTTTGTGTTCTGTAAGCATCACAGACTTTTGAACATCTAACATATAAACCTTAAATTTAAACCTAAAATCTACAACCTGCCTTAAGTCTTGCTTTTATTGAGTACAAAAAAGGCAACCACTAAGTTCTTTCTAGATTATATTTTGAAAAATAGATGAGTTATGATGGAAGTACGGATGTGTGAGTGACCAGGTATAAAAGAGCCTTAATAAACAACAATGAGTTATTAGATTATTATAAGATGCAGATGCACTTAAAATAAAAAGAGGTATTTTTGTAGGTATTCAACTGGTAGGACAACAGGCATAGTGTTAGACTCAGGAGATGGAGTAACTCACTCAGTGCCTATTTATGAAGGATTTGCTTTACCACACAGCATTATGCGGTCCGACCTTGCTGGTAGAGATGTGTCTAGATACTTAAGGTAATTTGGATAGTATTTTATAATTATAGTACTCTTGGAGTAAGACAATATAGACTTTGCCTCTTACATGAACAAATAGAAAAGGTTGCCTATTCTATGCTTTTAAGGCACATCATAAAATCTTTTTATCAGCATGCTGCAAGTTTCCTGCCTAAGGCCTTGCAGAGAACTTTGCAAATGGGTAGCTGTAAGGTATCTCTAATAATTGACAGGTTTCCCCTCTCTCCCACAATATCAACCCCCAGGTATCATTCTTAGCCACATCATTGCTTTTATTACTTACCAACAACCGTCTCTCCTGAAGACTAGTAGCAACTTCCTCTCTGATAAGAGATGTTGAAGTCATCACCTTTTGGGGATGCAACAATGTGGTACAGTTTATTACTTCCAAAACAAAACACTGTACCTTGACTAACAAGAATCGCCCGGTCTTTAATAGATAGCAGAGTTCTGTCATTTTGGATGGTCAAAGACCAGAACATAGGCATAACCTAATCTCTTGTACAAGATCCAGATAAGACCTCGCCGTGAATACTGCTCACGTGTCTGGAGTTCTGTCGCCCTGACTACATTGTCCATACTCTGTTCAGAGGAGGGCTGTTCAACAGATCGATGATACTTCTCTAATGGACAGTCTCGGGACCCTTTCGCATAGATGGGCGCTCGGCGATCTTACTCTCCTCTACAGCTATGTCAAGGGGCTTGGTCCTCAGAGGTATCCTCCATGTTCCAAGATGTCGCCGCGCGGTGAGCCTGTCAGACGAACCCGCCAGGCTTCTGTCTCCCATCCCACCTTTGTAAAACTCCAAACATCGAGAACTGGCTGGTATGACCTCTCTTTTGTTCCTAGGGTGTCGAGATTATGGAATACTCTGCCTGAGGAGGTATTTTTCACTTCTGCTAACCTTTGTCATTTCAAAAATCGGATTAAAAACGCGTCTTTAAGTTTCTTATAGAAGTTGCGGCGCCCCGCGGTATTTAGCTTTCAGCCTATGCGACTGCTTCAGTATAAAAAAAGTGGCGTCAAGTAAGTTGACTCTGTACTTCCCACGTAACGCTGGCATTAGATCCTAAAGGATTATGAAGGCACAAGTTAGCCCTTCTAAGAAAAAAGTTAGCTACAAACATGTATAAAAAGAAAATTAAATGACCTTCCTTTTCCCCTAACAGGAATTCCTGTAGGCCCACATGATCGTTGCGATGACCAATCCCGCGTGAATGACGATAATGGCCTTCACCATGCACTGTAACGTACAACCACAGACGACCGCCCACGACTGTTGGATATATTTCTATGTTTTCATTTTGAATGTACAGGGACATGTTTGATGAGTGAAATATGCCAAATATGTGCGCAGAATTATTGGGATCGGAGAGGTATAAACATACGAACGTTAAAAATTGAGATATACCCTCCTCCACACCCCTGCTAGCAACCCTTAACACCCAATTTTTAAGTCTTACAAAAAATGTATCCGAAAATTATCAGGATCATCTAAAACGTCAAAAATAAGTGAAATTTGAGCATTTTTTTTTTTTTCGTTTTTGGCCTTTTGCCCCGTCGCATCTGGACTGTTTTTCAAAAACTACAAAGCCGACAGACAGTCAGACTGACGGAATGTAACATCAAAGAAGTATACTATCTCAGTTTCGAAAATGTTCGCGATTACAATACTTCCCCGCTAGTAACAGCAATGATATATATTCTATGGGTATCATAAAACATGTTAGTAGAATCTACCAAGCTGAAAACCTACTAGGGGGATTTTCGAGGCTCGGTATGTCTATCGCAGGATCCCGGGGCCAATCCCGAAAAAAAAAATTAAACTTTTATTTCTCAACAAAAAACGGAAATTAACTAAAAAAATTCAAAGAACTTAACAAAGCATAAATACTAAAAACGAAGACTATAGGTACAAGTGTCATAATAAATGAGTCTCACTGTTGTTAGATAAATATAATATATAAGAATAAACATTATTTGATATTTTTTTGGTAATAAACATGAACTAAAAAACATTCATAAGAACTGGGAATGAAAATTCAATAATAACAGATTTGATTACATTATATATCCTGCAGAAGAAAAGCATCTCTCGGACTCTACACTAGTGGGCTGAATTGTTGACAGATAATCGTATGTTTTTTGAAGCAAGCTGCCACGACTTCCGCCATTTAAAAAAAGATCTATTTCTTGGCTAAGTATGCCAGATAATTTTTAGGTCTTCTTCTGCTTTGATTCTGAATGTGTAACTATTGCTTTTTGAAGTTTGATATCTAATGGTTCATAAATATCAATAAATCATTTATAAAATTATATACTAAATATCACCTAATAAAAAATTTCTGGACTAATACCGAAATTATTAGCCAATCCCGGGATTTTCGAGAAGGTTAGGTACTTAGATCACATATGCATTAAGTCTTATTTTGTATTAAAGGCTTCTTTTGAGAAAGGAAGGCATCATATTCCGTACTACTGCAGAATTTGAAACAGTCAGGACCATAAAAGAGAAAGCTTGCTATTTAACCAATCTGACCAACAACCCAATAAAGGAGGAATCTGTTGAAACAGAACAGATCAATTATACACTGCCTGATGGAAGTGTCATCAAAGTTGGACCTGCTAGGTATAGGTAAGTAGAGATATTAGGTCAGGATAACTATTTTTGCTTGAATTATATACCACTTACCATATTTCTTGCTACAACCACATAAGTCAAGAAAAGTATTTCTGGCTTGTTATTTTCTTATTGATAATAATCTGAAAGGTATGCCACAATTCATACTTCAAATCTCAAATACCTTGTGCAAAAATGTCATATAAAACTCTTTTATTTGTTAATATCAAACATTTGTATTGATATTCTGAAAAAAAATCAAATTGTGTGACTTGAAATTATTTAAATGACTGATTGAAGTGTTCCCTCAATGGGTTTTCTCAACGTCACAATTGTGGAAAATTAATTTAGAGCTGGAGAATAACTGTAAATATTATGTAATACAAAATGTATTTTTTTTAGAGCACCTGAGATTCTCTTCAAACCTGACCTAATTGGTGAAGAGTGTGAGGGTCTACATGAAGTGTTGATGTACTCAATTCAGAAATCAGATCTGGACTTGAGGAAGGTGCTTTTTAAGAATATTGTTTTATCAGGAGGTTCCACACTTTTCAAAGGATTTGGTGATAGGTTGCTTTCCGAGATTAAAAGAATGTCACCAAAAGAGACTCAAATCAAGGTAAGTAAGCCCCAACATCAAAGTCAATCTTTCAGGCATATTATTAAATGATAACTATAACTAAATGACTTTGATACAAATTTATATCTGGTAGCATTTTGTCAGATTTTATTTTATTTCATTAAGTCTCAGCTTGATGATTTTTTCTAGATTTCTGCGCCTCAAGAAAGATTATACTCAACATGGATAGGTGGTTCAATTTTAGCCTCCTTAGATACTTTCAAGAAGATGTGGGTATCTAAGAGAGAGTTTGATGAGGAAGGGCAAAGAGCTATACATCGGAAAACATTTTAGTCTACTTAGGGCACTCAAATACATCATGTTGTGATCAATACTTGACTTATGTCAAAATGGGCACTCTGCTATGTTTGTTATCATAATACTCTATAAGCTGTATAAACAAACAAATATTTGTCGAAGTTGAACAGCTTAACAAAATGGAACTATAACAATATATTCCATGTAAAAGGGCAAATTTAAACTATCTTTATGGTTTAAATGAATATATATTTTATCTTCGGAATGCATGTACTCATGTACTATTGAAGCAAATTTTTGTTTACATTATCTGTTTTTTGTAGTATTTATAAGCTATTATAATTATTTTGAATGTATGATGTATACAGTTTCATAAGTTAGGAGATAACTAATTTATTTTTTAATATTTCTATTGCTGTTTTTATATGATCTGGAACATAAATTATATGCACAAGAAATTTCTCTATGTGGCTTTGGAATATATTGCAACAATAGTATTTTATAAATAAAATAAATGCATAAATACTTTAATGTGTCTATAAATACATTCATTTAGTTTGTGGATGAAATCTGGAAACAGAGGAAAACAGGTAACTTTAATATGCAAGTAAAATTCGTATTGTAACAAAATTTTATATTACAGAATGACCTCTCTAATGCACATTTATCTGATGCAATAAGTAAAACTTATGAAATTAAGTTACATTTTATATTTAAAAGATTGCTGTCTCAAGTCCTCTAACTTCAGGTGGGTTATTCACTTCTCCATTAATGCACACTTTATTTATCCTGAGATATGTTTGCTGAATTCTGAAAAAGTTGATTCTCATATACTGCTTCCTTCGCTTTTTTCTAAAATGAGTTTTTGTATGAGACAAGGTTTTCTCAATAACTGTAGCCTCTACTCTAACCAATCCTTTTTGTACAATAGGTCTTCCTATCAAGGTAAAATCTGTACTCCCTGCTAGCAAAACTTTATCTAATAAGATCTTGTCTCCAACAGTTGGTGGCCAATATCCTTCAATTACTATCACATCGCCTTCAGTAATTTTGAATTGTTTACCTGTTACATGGACCACAGCAAATAATCTGGATATATTGTTGTCTTTTACTAGCTGGTTTACTTGGTTTATCACTTCTTTGTTCGATTTTTCTTCGGCCTTGATATCCACGACTTCGTAAGGAGTGGGCACATTGGAATATCGTTTAGTCGCTATCAATGCAAGGAGGGGCGAGTTGCCTGGCTTTAGAAGATTATTTGAGATACTTAGCCTTGATAAATGTTCACAGTTTTTGATTATTTGCCTTAATAATGTGCCCATTTTTTTAAAAACAAAACAGCGATACACAGCATTAAAATACGAGGTTAGACATTTGACGTGCGACAGACATTTCACGAGTAACCATTACGGTATAGTACAATGACAGCTGGTTATCTGGTAATATTTCAAAATTCCCCATATCGGCAAAGGACACATAATCACAGAGTACTATCAGAGGAGACAATCTGTCAAAAATCAGGTTCTACCAGCGCCAACTTGAGTTTTATGCGTTTGATGGGATTCGTGATAGACATTTAGGATTTAGGGGTTATCAAAAAACATTCAGTTTTGGTTTTTGCTGATTTTTGTTTTGGTTATATTCAATATAATACGCTTTTCAAGCCATGGGGGTAAATGATAAACACAAATAAATATCTTGATTCTGTTGTTTGACGTATGACATTCGGACATCGACGTCAGGCTAATAAACCGTAACAACTCCTAGGAAAAAATCCTCCGGACACTAATGAACATAAGCGGGAAATATGGTAAGCAGTTAGGGGACAGGAAGATCAAAGGGACCGGCAGCAGGTGTCGTATCTGTATAATCCGTGACATAAATCTGACGGATCCGTCAATGCCAGCTGGACAGAGCCATATTTTGTTTTGTTTTTGTACGCTACAGTTTCATTATGTACTTGCTAAAAGCTCTTTTATTTAGAAAAGTTCATTTGCATACAAAAAACAAAACACTACAAACAGATTTTTGCTAGATTTACAGCAGATTCATCATAGCCAACGTTGCAGACTAACACAAAAATGTCATTTGCTGATCAGCTGTTCACCTCAGTAGACGCCAAAGCGTGATGGATACTCGTGAAATATTGTATATATGAGCGTTGCTGTCCGACAAAAAAATAACCAAACATTGTCAAAATGTCAAAGATTTCTTTGATCTAGTTGTGTTTTGAGCTATGTACACCCTTTTACGCTACACTTTTGCTATCCACAATCTATTTTTTAGCACTATACATTGAATCATGAGCATACCCACATGTTTGCAGAAACACCTTGATGAACTGTATCAAAACAGTTGTTTAGGTGTGTACACTACCAACTAAAATCCTCTTGTGTTGACTCAAATGAACAACATTTTTTTAGGACTTTCGGATATAGCTCACAATGATATCACACCCTATAATCATGCAGACTTCATCATTAAGATCCCATATGCAGGCAAAAAATTAAAGTGGGATATTTTTTTTGACCCAGAAGACTTTACATTCCCACCTGACTTTGACTTCAATGATGATTATTTCCTTGCAAACCCTGATATCGAAATGATAGAAAAACATATTCCAAATTTAGGAAACTGGAACTTGGATAACCCAAAAATGTTAGCCATAATATTGAAAGAGTTTCTGGAATATTATAAACAGTTGCAGATAGAAAAACTCAGGAAAGAGAATATCTACTTTCGTTATTATGAGGAATATGAGAAATTGATATCAGGTGATCAGATAAAGGCTGAGAATGTAGAGGTATCTGTAGATGGAACTAATATAACATTCTTAATTGAAATCAAACTGGATTTGACTGTATTGCCTGAATACTGCAGGTGAGGACCTAAATTTAAGCTTCTCTGAGATCATTCTACAATAATGAATAAAAAGTGTGAAATGTTTTTCATTATTCTCTCGTAACTATTAATGATGATCTGAATTTCAAAAATAAGGTTTATTAGCCTTTTCTGGCGACTAAAAAAATATACCCAAAAATTGAAATTCTTCCTGATGATGAGGTTTTCAAAAGATTCATTTCTGTTTTGATTTTAGTGACTATGAACTTAACAATTCTGATGATACGATCCTTTTGAAAATCATCATAAACAAAATGGATGGCAGCAATACTAAGTGCAGTGTACAGTACCCTTTGAACATGGAACTGATATTGGGTGATCATCTACCATTACCAAAATTTGCTAGAGATGTTGCCATCAATGAATATGTTTCTGCAATCAAAGAAATACTTATGCAAAGGGTATCTGAAATTGCAGAAAACTGCAGGTATGCTAATGTTATATTTTTATAAAGAAAATTTTGTTAATAGACAAATCAACATATATGGAAATTATTGAATAAGGGTCTAAATATTCACAGTTACTGAAGCAGCAATCATAGCACAGTTTTAGATCAGATAATGTTTTTCAGATTGAGGAAGGAGTTTATGACATCATTGCACTCACTTGTCAGTTTAAAAATTGTGGAGTCAGATACAGAGCATTTCAAGAAATTAGTCATGTTGGCCAAAAATGAAGATTACGGTTGTTTGGTAACTACCATTGCTGGTAAGTAGTTAGGTATGTGAAATGCAGGAGATATAGCAAGCCTGCATCATACTAATTTTGTTTGTATTGTGTTTTTTATGATTGCCTAACCAAAACTGGCACATAATATGTAAAACTGTAATTTATGAGAAATACTTCAGTAGATTTTTCTACCTCATTCTAAAAACTGAAAAAGAAACAGGGCCTAGGCAGCAATCACTGTGAAACTGGAAAGTCCTACAATCCTAAGATTTACTTCCATGCAAATCCATGGAATTCATTTCTGTCTGTCTTTTGTGGAAACAGCTGCTCAGATTTTAATAGAATTTGAGCAGTGTATGCTGTGTGCAGTCATAATATATGAATTAATTTCATTCTTAAAAATAGGTTCAATGACCGAGTTATGAGCAAGAAACAAAAAAGATTCAGATTGTTCTTAGGTTTTGTTTTTGCATGTTTTGTTACAATAATTTTTTTTTTTTGGCAAAACTATTTTAATGCATTTTTCAATTTGCTGAAACTAGGTGCTAGTTATAATTGATTTTTACTCTTTTTATATGCTTGTATATAAATATGTGGGAAGTACAAAGTCAATCTACACACCATGTGACACATGGCAATTAAGTAATATTTGGATATTTTGTTTTTAGAAACTAATCTTATTCAAGAATGTTTCTTTTTTTTTCAGGTAACAAATTTCCTCAAGAAAATCCTGCCATAAAGCTGTCTTCAGTTTATTGTCAAGAAGGAAAAAGCTGTAACAAAGTGTTGCCAAAATTCCAGTATAACACCTCACTCAGTCCTGATAAAAATGCCCACTTATTAGTGCAGTCATTATCTCAAGCCATATGTCAACTGAAACAACACAAATGTTAGGGTATTGGAAGCCAATTTGCCTTGGTCAGCCAGACAATTCTTTAAAAAATTCAAACTTCTCTCATTTCAGCCTTTTCATTGAAACATTTATTGTACTAACCGACCATTGATCTGAGAAATTATTCATTAACATTCATGTAATGACAAACAAGTTTTCAAAACCAAATATAATTAATTATAGTGTACAGTATGTTCTTAGGGTATAAAATACATTAAGCAGTGTATACTTTTAATAAATAAGTAATTATTATTTTTACATTATTTCACTCTCACCCTACCATCAGCTAATCTCATCATAGATAATTCATTAGTTTTTTTTTTGTGAATCGTGTGCGTACATGAGAAACCTAATGTCAGCGTTTCGCTGAGACTGACGGGAAAGTATTTTCATACTTCCAGGGCTTCACGGCAATTCAGCAGTTTTTGATGGCCATATAGTCTAACCATATTAGACGAAAATACACTTAGTTTGAGAAATAATTGTAAAGTCTGGTTTTATTGATGCAAGTTGTTGAAGGGGGTATTTAAATCATGGACGCGTAAAATGGGTACACCAATTTTTGTGGGAAAAGTTTTTATTCAACAACAAAGAATGGAAAAACGTGTTTTTTTGGAATGCAATCGGAAGTGTTGTCAGGAACGAAAAAAATCTTCAAGCAAGATTTTTAGGTATTTATGAGACCCACAGAATGAGACCACACGTAAAAAGATCCGACTAAGGTTTTAGCACTTGGTAATGCGACAATAGTATCACGCAGATACTTGAAATTATTCAAATTCGTAGGCTTCATATAACGACAACAAAACTGGAATCGATTGGTCAAGTATTTTTTGAGAATGTCTAATTGTTTATCCCCTTCGTTTTTCGCATAAAAATAACGATTATCTTTCGGAATGGTTTGTGATTCATGTCGAAAAGGTAAACTCGTGTATTTCGCTATAAAATGCCCTTTGAACGAACCGTGTATATTGCTCAGTAAAGTAGCAGTGATGGCCATAAGATAGGTGTTTTGGGATAACCAGTTGGAAATTCTCAAAAACACTCCAATTTTGTTGTGGTTATTTAGAAGTATGAAGCCTACGGATTTGAAGAATTTCAAGCAGATGCGTGAAATTATCGTCGCATTAGCAACAAGAGCCATAACCTGCACTTTTATTACTACTACTACTATACTATTAGTTGGATCTTTTTACGTGTGGTCTCATTCTGTAGGTCTCATAAATACCTAAAAATCTTATTTGAAGAGTTTTTGGTTCCTGACAACACTTTCGATTGAATCCCAAAAACACGTTTTCTCATTCTTTGTTGTTGTATAAAAATTTTGCCCACAATAATTCTTGCACCCATTTTATGCGTCAATGTTTTGAATACACCCTTGAACAACTTGCATCAATAAAACCAGACTTTACAATTATTTCGGAGAAAAGACTAATAACCGAAATCAGCATCCCAAATTACCCCAATGCACCGAATTCTCTTCAGTCGTATTAATAATTTTTTTTTGAGTTCAGCCATATCGACTAGCACCAATTTCTTATGTAAATTGGATGCGTAGATTGGTGGGTGACCCTAAAAGCCCCATTTCCTATTCTGAATAAGACTTTGTGATATGTTAACATCTTTTAATCGCTGCACTCAAAATTAGCGTCTTAAAGCACTCCAGTGTAGAGTTTCGTATGTAATTTTTCATTAAAAATATTGGAAAGCCACAAGAGCTTTATTGTTCTAATCCAATTAGACCGTGGTGACACTCGACGGCCATATCCAAAATTAGTGCACCAAATCACATTATAGCTACTTTCAATTAGTTTTTAGTTTGAGGGTGACACGCTCGAGAAACAATGCATGAGAATACAACGTGCATTGAAACGGTATTGGTGCTGAACACTACTGAGTTACTCATAGTAACTCAACAGGGTTACTGGAATGCAGCTAAGGTGTACAGTTTCCTTTACTAGTAGCTATGGAGAAGAAAACACATTCTGTACTTGAAATAATACATTAAAATTAATATAGTATATCACATACACACTTGCCAGTTAGGTTGTATCAATTCATTAAAAATGTGCAAATGTTTATACATACTGAGCGGGGCCGTGGCAAATGCATGTTCCGGAAGTTGTACTCGGTATACAATTTATCCCCGTTCAAGTGATTGTACGCGCGTTAAGGAATACCTCAATACCGAACCGGTACCACCCGCTAGCTGCTTCCACACCTAAGCTACGCAGTAGGTTATCTTCCCCAACAAAGAAATTAATTAATGATGATGGATCCCTCGAGTACTAAGAATTTCGGACGTAAACTCACTCCATTCTCGGAATGTCCGTGTGAAGGGTGGACTCAAGAGAACAGTACTTTTTCCCCCGAGTTTCGCCACCCGTCAGTAGCCTGCTGGATCTCTTTCTGACCATGCATCCTGTCCCTTAGAGCACTGCTGTCCTGTCTCCCTTGGGTAACTCAGATCACGGTGTTGCGGAGGATAGATTTCGGTAAAAAACCCGCAAAACTTGGCATTATGGACATATCGACTGGGAGGGGTTCAGAGATTTCCTCACCTTTCCTTGGAGAGATGTTTGTTTCGCTGACGAAGATGCGTCTGCTGTCTGTTCATCGATAACCGAAATTAGGCACGTTGGGATGGAGAAATATATCCCTCATACAGTGAAAGTGGCACACAGAACCTTCTTACAAAACTCCACTGTGGAGAATAGACAAGACGACGTCGAGCCTAGAAACAAATATAACGAAGCGGCCCGCAATGCCAAAGACCAGAACGATATAAAAGTTAGGCACAGGGTAATGTCGCAGCGCAATGGCAGGAGCTCTTTCTGGACGCTGGCCAAGCAGATTGAAAGGACCTTCTCACAGAGTAGCCTTCCACCACTTACATGTCAGGATGGAACGATTGTAACCGACTCAAACGCTAAGGCGCAAGTGCTTTCCAAGATCCCCCAACGGCCGAGTGCAGTCGATCCAAAGGCGAGAAGAAACATTCAGGCATAATTCCATAAGACGGGTGCTATTGTCGCTCGACATCAACAAAGCTTCTGATCCGGACTTCATTCCTGCCGTTGTATTGAAGAGGTGTGCAGCGGCACTTGCTCCAGTTCTTTCGCGTCTCTTCCAGATATCTTACGAATCCGGCACCTTCTCAGACAATTGGAAATTTGCTGATGTCCAACCCATCCCAAACAGGGATCTAAGACCGACCCTTACAACTACAGGCCTATAGCTCTGCTTTCTGTTATAAGTAAGGTGATGGAGAGGTGCATACATTGCGAGCTTCTGGACAACATCGCTTTATTAGCGACAGGCAGTATGGTCTCCGTCACCAGCGATCTACAAGGGGACTTCCAAGCTCACGTCATGCAATTGTGGAGTGAACTCATCCAGTCTTATGGTGAGGCTCATGTTGTTGCTATTGATATCATGCAAGCGTTCGATCTCTCTCTTATGCAAACATCCATCCTCTCAGACAAACTTTGCAGATGGGTGGCTGACCTCTCTGGCAACAAGATATCTGTCGTAACTGACGGGTTCTCTTCATCCAAAAACGTCAACGCGGGTGTTCCCGAGGGATCGGTCTTGGCCCCGATACTTACATATCATCGACCTCATTTCCTGTACGATCAACCCAATCCACAGCTTTGCTGATGACAGCACTCTACATACAGGAATTGAGAGCTAAAAGTCGATCTCTGCCGGTGAGCTGGAAAGAAGACTAGCGGCGACTTCCTCTCTGACGAGAGACCTGGAGGTTATGACTGCTTGGGGATGCAACAATCATGTACAGTTCAATACTAACAAAACCCAGTACTGCTACCTTGATGAACAAAAAGCCATACAGTTTTGGTGAGTGTCCGAGTTCTGCCAAAGAGCCATTCATTTCGACTGGTCTGAGTCCAGATCATCTAGGACTTGATCTGGCACAAACACATCTTGTCAACAGCAGCAGCAGCTGCTGGTAAAACGCTAAACTTTTTATTTAAGGCTAAGAAGTACTTTTCTCCACATGGCCTCCTCACTCTATACAGGGCCCAGATAAGACCTAGCCCCGAGTATTGGTGCTGCCGCACCGACTACATTTTCCTTGCTCGATGCTGTCCAGAGGGGGCTGTCTGATTGATCAATGATTGTTCTCTAACAGAATGTCTCAGAATCCTACCGCACCAGCAGGCTGTTGGCGATCTAGCTCTCCTCTACCGCTACACCAACAAGCTTTGCTCCTCAGAGGTCTCCTCCATGATGCCACTGCACAATGTGCCTGCCAGATAGACCCGCCTGACTTTGGTTTCCCATCCTAACCATGTCAAACTTTATGCATCCAGAACTGGCCAATACATCTACTCCTTTTTACCTAGGGTGTTGAGATTTTGGAACAATCTACAAGAGGATGCGTCTTCCAGTTCTACTAACCGTAGGCAGACCAACAATGGATTAATAAAATTTCTTTGGGATGTTCATAGCATATATATATAACTTGAGACGAAGCTTTAATTTTTCACCTATATATATATATATATATAGTAACCATCACATACACACTTGACAGTTAGATCATATTAATTCATTAAAAATGTGCAAGCAATGCTGTGCTTTATTAGAAAAGGGTCAAGAAACTTGGTACATAAAAGTATAAGCAAAATTCTTTATAATTATAACTACATAAAAAAAAATTATTTTGCACAAAAAATTTACAAAACATAAGCTTAATATTTTTCCTCATTTAATAACTTAAATACATAAGATTGGCATAGCATATAAAAAACAATATAGGTATAATCAAAAATATATATTACATCTTAGTGCTTATTAAGTTGAGGTAAGCCAAATTCATCAACTGGAACTCCATCCTAAAAAGATATGCTGTGAATATGAATTGAATTATAATTTTGTTAATATTATTTACCTTATTTTTGGCTTGTTCAGCTTCAGGTTTGGTACTAGGTGCTTCAGGAGCTTTAAGAACATCATCCAAATAACTTTGGTCATCATCTAAACCTATCTCATCCCCTAAAGCATCTAATTCTGCCTCTAGCTCATCTTCATCAATCTCAGGTGTATTATATGTTCTGCCTAGAGCTTCTTGTACTTCATCAGCCTGTTCCATCATATCTGCCAATTCATCTTGTACATCCTAAAGATATAAAATATACATTTTAACCATGGATTGGACAAAATAAATTTAACTGGTAATATTCAAGTTTCTTTCATGGAGGATTTATCATAACAGACAATGGATTTGATAGAATTTTCATTTCCTCTTGAAAGTAATGATCAAAGCTCATACCTCAATGTCATCAACATTAATTTTCTTGAATTCTTTCTTCATTTGGTTCATACCATCTCGCATTGCCACCACAGTAGTGTGTGTATCTTTCAATGTCTGATGAGCCATGTTTGCCTGTTCCATATTAAAAGATTGCCCTCTCAAGTTTTCTAACTGATTCTCATACATCTTTTTCTGTTTGAGAATTCGCAAAGCTTTTTGTTTAACTGCATTCTTTGCAGGACCCTCGCGCATCTTTGCCATTTGGTCTCGGAACTTACGCAGGTCATTTTCTAAGGCGTTTATTTTCTTTTCGACTGCTTCAGCTCGCTGATCCACCTACAAATTTCTCGTAGAATTATTCCGCCAAGGACTAGACGAAATAACATTCTTGTACTTACGCCCGAGATGCAATCAGAAATACTTGGACCTGGTTCCTTTGGCTTAGATTTGCCGAAAAGTCGGTTCATTGTTAATACGTTTGAAAAACAACAATTAGAAATTTGGAATTCCAAAATAAAGGATGAGTAATGTTTTGAATTAGGCGAATGACGTAGACCTCATTTTTTGTCAAGTGATTGACGTTTAGTCACTGGCATTGGGTGCGTTCCGATTCACGAATTTTTCAAGCCAATAGACAGCATTGAACACCTAGAAAGTAGAAAATCATGTTTGTGAGGAGAATGGTTAGAACATAATTGTTGAAACACTAGACGGTTCATTTTCATTCATTTTGCTGCAATTATTCTTCAGATGTTGGAATCGCTTCATGGATCAATCTCAGATACTACCGTCTGTTGTCGACGTTTCTCTGCGATCACGTAGATTTGGTAGATTATTTTAGGATCCTGTGGTAAACAACACAAACAGCATCATAACCAAAAAAATAAAGACGCTGTCACTTTTGCAGTTTTGATTTCAGCTTTCGAAAAATTAGCTTTAAGGTTTAAGAAAGATGTTTCTTGTGAGTTTCAAGTGATTTAAGCTAATATGTGGCCGGTTTTGCTGGATATGACAAAAGAGGAATCGATACAAAATTTAAGAAACATTGGTAATTCGCGTGTAAAATGTCCCTCATAAATGTATAATGATGTTGCCTTTCAGAATTAGAGGCATATTCGCATCTTGTGTCAGCTTTGAGAGCACAGGGCCCGTTAACTTCAGATAAGCGTAAATTATTGAAAGAAACAGGATATTTGTTGAATATCACTGAAGAACGACACAAAGCTGAAGTGAGGAGGGCTATAAGTGATGAAAAATTGAACACCATAGCATATCAGTAAGTTCTTAGCACAGTTTCGAAATGACACTTTGTTTAAATAGCTTCCTATTTGGGTACTAAATTTTAACCAAAGGTGTACCTATTTGAGAAGCTTCTGAATTCACAATCTTTTTGTAAATCCAACAGATAGAATAATAATAATAATAATGTTTATTGTCACAAAATACAAGTAAATATCAAATATTGTGCACAATAAACATAAAGCACTCAAAAAAAGTTTGCACTTGTGTTTGGGTTTGTACAAAATAAAAACTAATAGTACAGTCAGTGTATGAAAAAAAAAGAATGTTTAACAATGCATCCATTTATTTGATTCTGTATTAATGAAAAATAAATTCTAATATGAAAAGTAATTATAGTAAGGAGCAAGATATGGTAACTCTCAGGGGTAATTAAGAATCTGTCTAGAATGGGTGGTAGCTGCATGCTAAGCAGTTAAGTAGCTCTTCTCAGGCAAATTTCCTTATAACAATTGAAGAGCAGTGTGGGATATTTCTAGGAGGAGGAGGGGGCCACATCTCATGATTCAGGTCTAGCAAAGTAATTTTTACACCAGCATACAGCACTATACACCATTTTCTTGAAAACAAAAATGGCAGAGAAAAAAAATCAGCAAAAATGCTCAACATTTTATGAAAATTTATAATTGCCATTAATTTTTTTGAGATCAATGGTAATTTCTTATGATCTGCCTGGTAATATTGCTGCAACGAATTGGACATATAAGGTCTGATTTTAAAAACCAATTGGACCCATACTTAATAGTTTTTTGAATATATGTGAAAAGGTGATTTTTCCAACTGTGGCACTCAATAACAAAATTACCCCAGCAAAACTGTTTCATATTTCTAGAGGGAAGATGTATTCATTCAGTCTTAAGAATTATAATTCTGTTTTAAAATCTGTGCATAGATTTTTTTCTAGAACAGAGTCAGTAGTTAGCCAGATCTATACAGGGTGGCCTTAAAGTTGGGACTTCCCTTTTCCAAAACAACTCAATTTGAAATAAAGCTAATCTGGGGGTAAGACATAAGCAAAAACGTAAAAAAAATGTAGAAAAGAATTCACCATTCATTCGATGAATGGCACATGTTGCTTATAAATACTGATTGAAGTTGTCATTATTTGATTCAAAGAACACTTTTTAAGTTCCTAAAGCAACAGTTGCTGCTATGTCTTCTACTGTGGGTGGCCACCTGAACACACTCACAAAGCATCAATAGCATTTTGAAGAAACTACAAGTTTGGATTCAATTTTTTATAAGCTTTTTTTGTATAAGGTTTGGTTCAGATAAAATCACTAGATTTTGAGTTATTAAGCTTTTAATAGAACAACACACCAAAATTAAGGAAAAAAAAACACCATCAATGGAAACAAAAGACAAACTGTGGGCTAGTTCCATATTGCCACTAAGGGCCGTATCGTCAGTTGCTCCTACAACTGTAGGACGCCTTTATGGCCTCCTTGATTTTCATAGTTTTCTGCTGTTTAGTGTGAGCACTCTTTTTTGATTTTGATTCATGCTTTTGATTTATATCATCTGTTATATCAGCCTGAAATTTCATACAATTCAAAAAGGAAACATTGCCTCAATATGAAAGTGCTGACGCTTACACAGAACAGTAGAAATCTAGAAATAAGCCAGCCTTTCTGAAGGAGAGAAAAGTATTAAAATCAAGGAGGCCATAAAGGGCGTCCTACAATAATTGTAAGAGTACAGATCTGACGTAAAAACTAATAACAATCAGAAGAGCATAAATCAGCTTCAAGCATAACAGAGAAAAACAACTATAACAACATCATAAACAAACAACTATCACTACTCAAGACCTAATCTACAAAAACTGCTCGAAAATATCTCCACCATGTCGAATACACAGCCGTAGTCGTTGGATAAATGACCGTTGCACATCCCTCAGCATGTGTTCCCTTATGTTCAGAAAATCATCCTTAATCCTCTCCTTCATATTTTCCGGGGTAGATGGTGGAGATATATAAACCTCTTGCTTAACATAGCCCCATAAAAAGAAGTCCATCGCTGTCATATCTGGTGATCTAGGAGGCCAAGATTTAGGCCCATCACGACCCATCCAACGATTGTTACTCCAGGTGTCCAAATAGTTACGCACACGATTATGATAATGCGCAGGTGCGCAGTCATGTTGGAAGTACATATGCATCCGAGTTTGCAGGTTGACATCCTCCAAAAGCAAAGGCAAATGCTCGATCAAAAAATTCAAGTATTCTGTGCCTGTTAATCTGTCGGAAAAGAAAGACCCGATAACTTGTCTGCCAATAAATCTATTTGCCTAACCCAGTAAGGGTTTTCCGTCGCATAATAGTGCATGTTATGCCTGTTAACAACACCTATGCTTTTAAAAGTTGCCTCATTGCTAAAAAGAACCTTATCCAGGAAAGTAGTGTCTTCACTCACTTTATTTAGCATTATGCTACTAAACTCCATTCGAGCTGCAAAATCCTGATTACGAAGGCTTTGATGCAAGCATAGGTGATATGGATGGTACCTATGCTTGTGAATAACCCTTTGGACAGAAGTTCTGCATATATGAGTTTCTGCTCCACTTAAATGGTGATTTTTCTGCAACATTCGCCTCATTGGTGGCACTTGGATTATTTATACATTTTTTACTATATTCCACTGCTAGTGTGAAAAATGTTTTCGGCCTTGGATGTCGCATATTAGGGTACCATTGCTTATAAATGCGAGATGCTAGGAAACTATTTCTTTGGGCTTCGCCCAAAACGAACACCATCATATTCACCATTTCTTCTTTAGAAAAATTCATTTTCAAACACGTTTTTATTATAATGCTCACAAACCTAATTTTGACAGTTTGTAACTAATCAACAATTTATTTGTTTCCAAGGATGATGCTAATAACCGAAAAAATAGCCGTAAAAACCCTTATGTGTCTAGTATCAAAAAAAAAAGCTTATAAAAAATTTAATCCAAACTTGCACAAATATACATATAAATTTTTGGGAAAAACTACAATTTGCGTTTTTTACCACCCTGTATGAGCAAAAATTAAAATTCGAAAAAGTAACAAATAAGATAAAAGCTGAGGTGTGTAAGTTTTTTTGATACAAAATTCAGTACTCCAAATTTCAAAATGACGGACTGAGGGGTTACCGAAGTGGGGGGTTTTTCTAGACAAAACACCTTATAATCTCAGTAGCTAATTACCAAAACCCTATAAGTATGTTATATCAATTTTCTTCTTTTGAACGGGTTTATCTAAATATGCAATAAAATTTGAGGTATTCCATTTGAAAAATCACAACTTTGATATGTATGTCGAAATTGGGACACCCTGTATAATGGCGAGTTTATAGAAATGTGCCCTCAAATGTCATGTATAACATCCCATAAATAGATTTTCCCAAAACGTATTTGTTTATGAGTAATATTCCGTCCACACATGGATGGGCCACCCTGTATATATATATATATATATATTTCAGATTAAGCCGCTCATGGTACTACTTTTTTTCTCGTGTTAACCTACCTTGTTTTCGAGGAAAAAGTAAAGACAACTTCACTACGTGTCGAAAATCTATTAAAATAAGATCAAATCAACGTTGATCGTTGCCTAAGAATGTCGTTCTTATATTTTTGACTTTCTGAGACAATTTGCTATTATTTTTCATCTGTTAAAGACCAATTTTTTTAATTTTGGATACCTTGAATCTTGGAAACCAGACTTTCTAGGACACATATTTATATGGACTTTTCTACTTGAGTTTGGTGCAGGAACGCGCCCTCGTAATTACGGCCTAAGTAGCACCTTGTTTACACATTAAACAAATCTAATGTATTCATCACATATTTTGCATCTCAGTGTTACAGGCAATACAGAAACTGTTGACGACTGGGCTCAAGAAGGACGTCGTCTGGTGCCCTTGCTACCCCGTACGGCCCCGCAAACTGCGTTATCCGCATTGGCTGATGAGACAGCCGAAGTGGCCAGTCAGTGCAATAAGCAGCTGCCTGCACCGAACAACACGGAACGCAGAAGGCTCCCAGTTGTCACAGGTCAGCCTCAACAGTCTCATCCACCAACCACGGCTGCCTCTACGTCTGAGGCCTCAGGTGTGGGTTCAAGCAAATCTGCCATGCAATTTAGAATACCTGAGCCACCCAAGCCAGAAGATAAAAAGAGGAAACTGGTTCAAGATACTGGAAACCTAGCACAACAGTTGATATCTCCCAGGCTTTGCAGAATACAGAACTTGTACAGGTATTGTAGAAAATCAAAATTAAATGTAGGAGATGGAAGGAACTACTTTCATCACCAACAAAATAATTGAATACAAATTTGAACTACTTGAACTCTAATGATTCAAAACTGCAACCCAATAAACGGCAAGTATTGGGGTTTAAACTCAAAACTTGTACTACATACAGCACATGATAAGTTTCAGGTTATATACAGTATATTTTCGAAGGTCGGATTCGTGAAAACGGTGAGATTCCATACCTACTAGAAAGGATGTGGTGGTTGAGGCTTTTCTGGTTGAAAAACAAGTATGTTTGAAATAACAAAGTTGATCTTCGGTAAAGCTGCATCGTATCGTGAAAATAAACAGCACACAATTTAAAAAAGCAATTGCTATTCAGCTGATATGAAATTTTAAGTACTGCCCTGTGTTAAATATACCATTCAAACCTGTCTAAAATTGATTCAAAGTTATAAATTTCTTCATTATTTTGGAACATTCAGGGTTGCTAGATCTTCTAATGTGCCCGTCTTGACTTTCTACAAACAGGCTTTGTACGAGATAAATAAACCTACGCGAAATGGGAAGGAAATTCCAGGAAAATGCAGCATTATCAGCATCTTGAAACACTTTCTGTATACTGTATTATATCAACAAGGTCGTTATTGCTATAGGAATTTTTATTTTTTTGTTCAATATCCGATTTATAAACAAACATTTTTGTTTACCTATACGGCGGGCAGCTCGACATTTTAAACCTATATTTTCGTTGAAGGTAGGCATCGTCAGACTATGCTGCACAAATTTCAATTCAATTTAGAAATATCGTAGTTCACCTTACTTTTCGGAATTTGCTGCGATTTTGGTACGTGTTTTTTTTTTTAGTGTTCATAAGTAATATACTTCGAGGTTGAGTCATTTATTTTAACAGTGAGTAGATCTGATCAAAAGAAATTTTTTTCCTTTAACATTTTTGTGGTAAAATTAAAGTAACAAATTTATAGCCCTTTAGAAGTTCGAGTACCGCCCTGTCTCAATAATAATATTATGTGCTCGTGTTTGGCAACAACGGATATAATCCGTCTTATCGGTTCATCGCATCGGAAACAAAAAAGCGAAAGAATTTGAAACGCTGATCACGAAGTTTTTATTCAGTCAATGTGTCAGTCGGTAACGCGTGAGTGAATAGTGGTGTTTGCTGCGTGGCTCAAACGAAATAAAAAATGGCACATGTTTATGCGGATCGGTTTCCCAATCGAGTGCAACCAACCCCTCGTGCCTTTGTTAATGTAGTACAACGGGCTCGTGAATCAGGTGACTTAAGACCTCACAGGGGAGGGCATGCCGGTGCTCCAAGACCAAATACAGGTCCGCACTGAAATACTTGTCGGGAGGATACTTTATAAAACAAGGTAAACTTTTTTTTCACACATATTTTGGTTTATCTTCCTCCTACAATCATTATCTGAAAATTAATGACTCAACTTCAAAGTCACCCTGAATAAAAGGCCTAGGCTAGGCTACAATGTGGTTCCAGTTTAAACAGCTACAGTAGCTGCTCCGTGGACTTACACAAAAACATGTAGTAGTCACATGTACCGGGTGCGCCATCTTTTATGTCTTGAAACATCGAATGACTTTGATATTTACCAACCGAGTGATTTGGTTATACGTGTTTCTGAAACGTCAGTTTACTACAATTTTAGTCATGAATCGCTTTACACCGAAACAACGCGCCGAAATAGTCACAATGTACATTGTGTCGTTCAGTTGTGTTAACGCAACGTGCATATCGTCGAAAATATCGTGGCAACGGCAAACAGGCACCGTCTGACAACACTATCCGCCGTTTGGTTTCAAATTTTCTTGAGTACGGGACAGTGGGAGATCGTCAACATACCGTTCATCAACGACCAGGACGTTCCAATGAATTGGTTGATGCGGTCAGAGACAGCGTTGCCCAGAACCCAAAAGTGTCGTATCGTCACTGCGCTCAGCATTTTGGCATCAGTGGAACCACGTTGCGGCGCATTTTGAAGGATGATTTGCATTTGTTTCCTTAGAAGGGGCAGTTAACACAAAAAATATTGCCAACTGACCGTCCACGTCGCTTGGAATACGCCCAAACAGTCGCTCGCATGGTTGATGCTGAACCTGATTTTTGGAAGCAAATTGTGATGACCGACGAGGTCCATATCACGCTCTCTGGCGGCGTTAATAAGCAAAACTGTCGCATTTGGGGGACGGAAAATGGACATGAGATCCACGAAATGCCGTTGCATGACCGGAAAGTGACTGGGCCGGCGTTTGCGCCCAAACCAATATTGGGCCATTTTTCTTCAACGAAAACGAAACAGTCGATGGAAATCGATATCGGTAGATGTTGGCTCATTATGTCTGCCCACAAATGCGTGAAAAGAGTCTTGATGGTTACTGGTTTCAACAAGACGGTGTGCCATGCCACACTGCAAATGAGACAGTAGAGTTTCTGCAACGAAAATTCCCTGGACGTCTGATGTCAAAAAGAGGTGACATTGACTGGCCACCCAGGTCTCCAGACCCCACCGGTCTTCTTCTATATATATATATATATATATATATAAGTCAAGTCAACGCCAGCAAACCCCAGACCACTGAAGAACTCAAGGCAAACATTCGTGCCGCTATACCACCAGAGGTGCTCGAAAAAGTAATGAAAATCGCTGCAAAACGGGCACATTTTGTTTTGGCCAATAGAGGTGGCTACTTGATAGATGTTGTGTATTCAAAAACTAGTCCCAATAAATTGTAACGGACCATAATAAAAATACCCTATACAGGGTGTCCGCAAAGTTGGGGTTTTCCTTTTCAGAAACAACTACCCTTGAAATAACAAAGGTAATGTGTAGTGAAACGAGGGCGACCAAGTAAAAAAAAATAAAGGAAAAAGTACTCACTCTCCAGTTGACGAGAAGGGCTAAGTACGTCTCTGCCTGAAATCGAAAGTTATTCACCCCATTACGCGTGAACGTAGATTCGTCTGTCACCAATATGCACTTCAAAAAGTCCGGATTATTGTCATGTTGATACAACAACCACTCACAAAACCGCACTCTTGCTGGAAAATCGTCAGGTTGAAGGGCTTGTACACGTTGGACGTTTGCCACACTTTAGTTTTTGATACTTGCACTTCTCTAGCCACGTCTCTAGTGCTTGTTGAGGGATTCTCGTCTACGCGATTCAGTAGTTCTTCCTCAACTTGCACCATTCGTGGTTGTCTAGGCCTCCCACTGTGCCCACCTCGAAAGTCCTCCAAATGGCCCGTATCCCTGACTCTCTGGACCAGGTACACAAATCTGCGGGGCCTTGGATGATGTCGTCTAGGGAAACGATCTGCATACACTCGCGACGATTCTGTAGCATTTTGAAGACATTCGCCATAAATTAACAACATATCAACGAGTTCATTATTGGTGTATGAGTGTGCCATTATCATTTTTTTTTTTGAAACGCAATCGATTATACGGGTTCGTTACCTCTATACGCGTGACCCTTTACCGTCGGTTGAAGGTTGCATACTGACCTGGCACACTGACCCCGACCCCCGACCCAGTTCTGTCGTCGGGTTCAGCTAGTAGCCGGTACCAGTCTGAGATATCGCGGCGGGTCGCGGCTACAGGACGGTATTCAGATATTTTTGATGTTGCAGAGCCCTTTATCTCGGTTCCCTTAAGACATTGGTGTATATGGTACTAAGAAAAATTGCTTATGTTTTCAAGATCTACACGTCGTGTAAAGGACTTTGCGGACACCCTGTATATAGAAATCAGTTTTTCGTTTTCAAAGTTATTTCATGTTTACATACCGACATAAAAGATGGCGCACCCTGTATATAAAAACTCATTTACTAAGAAATCGTCCAATTCAAGCAACTGATTTAGGCAAAAATCTGCTGTAACCTTAACTATTTTTTGATGTTATGGTAAGTTTTCGGAAAACGTGGACATATGCTGAAATTTTTCACATAGCATCCGCAATTGTTTGATCCATACATTTGTGTGTCTTGTATTCAGACCGATCCAACCCGGTAAAATGCGCCGAATATTTAATTATACATAATTATACAGGACGGTATAATGGTAACTTACTAATAGTGTACACACAAGACCATATAAAACTAACAGTAACAAAAATTAGCTATTGTAATAGTCTTAGTTTGAGGAGATTTTACTGATAGACTCAAAATTAATGTCAACTGTCTGTCTGCTATGGAATTATAATTATTGAATACAGAATATAGCAGAGAATAAAATAATACGATGGTATGGGAGGTACTGCAGTTGAAAGGTTCTTCTCGAAACGCGGTATACAATACTTAAACCTCTGGAGAAGTTCTGGTGCACCCACTCCATCGTGCAAAAACTTATGGAGGAATGTCAGGCCAGCAATGGAACGTCCTAATTGTAGAGATTCTTGGTTGAAACGTGGCAGCCGAATTGGCTAATCTCTCTTTCTGAATATGAGCCATTAATTTTATAAGTACAATATTCAAGAAATTTACTTTGTACATTTATATAATATGCATAAAAAGGGTTCCATAACAGAGAGGCGTAGTGAAAAAAGTGTTTAGTGCTGCTTCGTTGGAAAAATATGCAGTTAAGCATTATAAAACGTAGAATCCGTGTCGCTTCGGAAGTCGGAAGTCCAACCTGCAGGAAAATGTTACAAAAAAATCTTTAGTCGCCATTGTTCACCTCCACAATGGCATTATTTATGGAATAAATACATGTATTCGAGTTCATTTTGCGATTATATACTAAATGACAGAAAGTGCAACACTGACTAGGAGTGCTGTAATTTTGAGCATACTTTTACAAGTGTTAGGTCTACTGATAAATAGAAAGTGGACAAAATTTCATCTCGAAATTTCGCAAAATAGCCGAGATATCCCACCTTAATGTTAATAATGCGTTGAAGCTCCTCTGTTCGCTACACATTCGTTAAGTCGTCGCGGCATTGATTGGTTTAGGTGATTGATGATTTCTTGGTGTATTATATCCCAGGCAATCCGAATTTGGTTTCGTAGAGCCTCCAATGTAAGTATTACGTTCTATTGGAAAGATATGAGCTTAGAGGACCGACTAACGAGTCACTAAAAGCCGAAGTAATGAAGGCTATCAACTAGAAGATGATGGTTTAACATATTGAAAGCCTCCATGTAAATTACATCTATCATATTGTCTATTGTATATCTTCCAAACATCAGGAAAAATTCCAGTTTTCAATACAGGATTTTACATTATCAGCATCGGCTTGACAAAAACATGAGCACAATCTTTAATGATAAAACTACGTATTTGATCTTTACCAGCAGAATGCCGAGTACCGGGTACGCCATATAATTTCACCCAATGTTTTGCTGGAGGTAGAACCACATGTGTATGTTTAAGGTATCTGACGATATTTCTCTAATAAACAGGCAACGATCAAAGTCCAAATCGAGAGAAATCCACAAGAAACCCGACCCGGAGCATCTGGAATTATACGAACAACACCTCATTCCTGGCGTTCAAACGATACCTGTTTCGCAATCTCAGTTCGTACACCAGAAAGTGAACGTGCTACAGAACATCACACTACAACCAATGAAAGAAGATGACGTTGACAAGGAGCCTGGCATGTATCAGCAGCAGCGTTGTAGTAACGAGAATCACTCTCCACAAAAAGTGTTTATCAATGCCAACAATCTGAGTGCTGCAATGAAATCTGGTGCATTGCCTAGTGGTGAATTGAAGCAGATAAAGATGTCTTCTGCTAAGGTGAGAGCGTAAAAAATACATCTGTATCTTTTTCTTTGTGTCACTTTATAGACCGACTGATAACAGACAGACCGACCAAAATAAGTGAAAGCTTTTCGTGAAGTACATGGCACACAATATCCAAAAATAAAACAATCAAATGCATCTGGCTTGTTGGCGTGAGGCTTAACACTGCTTGCTACCTACCAAGAAACAAAGATGTGACTCACGGGCAAACACCTGCACACTTAAAAAATAACACTAAAACTACGAATTTAATGGCAGAATTATCTCTTTTTAAATTATAATAAAATTGCATTGTTTGTTTCAGGTGATTCCATTGTCGCAGTTGCAAATGCTGAGTTCAAAAGGAAGCATAAAAGTGTTACCGCTGGGCGGGAAAATTGTTGGCAAAGGACTGACGTCATTGTCACCATCAGCACAATCGCTGTATTTGATGAACACATCACCAAAGCTAGTCAAGGCATCACCTAAGGTACAGATAATTTCTTTGAAAATAGTTTCGTAATATGAACAAAAAGAAATAGTTTGCATTTAGAACTGTCTTGGTAACTATTGGCTAGACACATCTAAATTTTCAGCCATTATAGACTATGTTCGGATACATAAACTATTTTCCAAGATAGATAAACACATCAAAACGTAACAAAAAATAACATGGTAATTTAGTGACATTCAAAATATCCAATATTATTATATACATCATATAAAACTGGCATTACTATCTTGCTTTCACTATGTAGAATTACCCTGTCCATCATTCAGTCTAAGAAAAAATTCAAATTTGTAGTAATGGCAACTAAAAGATCATCACAGGGTGTAGATTTTTCCGATTTTTTTTTAAAGCCTATAATTTAGTACACGACTTTCTTATGTTTTTCCAATAACTATTATCACTTGGCATATTACCTGTTTCCGGCTTGACGTCGACTTCTGGGACATCCTGTATAGTAAATAATTCTGATGCACTACTGAATGTCAACAGATATACTCTCTGCGAACAATACGAGCAGGCGCTTAAATAGACGTCAGAATCATGATAAATACTGTAGATAGATGTGACCTGATTTTCCCAATTGCCGCCAGGTACCAAGCTTAGAAATCAAAACAGACCAGACTGAAGATGATTCGACCTCCCGTAATTCAAATATAAGAGGAAACAACAGTAATCTCCAGAATAAAACAATTGTTACCATGCCGAGACAGGAAACTTTTGATATTAACAAAAGAGAGGAATTCCATATTACAGAGACTAGACCAGAAGTAGAGAATGTTAAACAAGCAACGGAACGAGAGGAGGACAAAACTAAAGTGATTGTGGTGAAAAATGAAGTTGTTATGGATGACATTAGTGAGTATATAATTCTTAGACTCGGTTTTTTCTAACTTTGAAGCTGGGAAACAATAAGTAGTCTATAAAGTCCTAAACAGGTTAGACATTGCAGTTTAACTACAACTTTCTAGTTAACCAATTGATGGGATACAGTTAACTACCATTGTTTGTCTCGACTTTTTTGACGCTTAGGAGCAACCAGACTGCTGTCAAATATCTTTCTTGAGGAGTTACTTCCTCACTTCAGTATTTTCCTCAATGAACTCACCACTTTGGTTCTTATGTCGTCTATAGTGAATTCCACATCAAACTGATGGCGAGAGGTAGTAAGGAAGCTTTAGATTTAAAAAAGGCTGCCTTCAGTGGGTTTGACAACTTTCCTGACATTCTCAAGTGATCATAGTACGTCCTTGCACGAAGGAGGCCACAATGGACGACAGTGCCCTCGATTCTGAAGATAATTAAACTTAAATCTTAATATGATAAATTCTGTCATCAAACAATGCTGTATTTACCTTCAACCATGTGCTGAAAGCCTGAAGTGTATTGGAATCTTCTACTGGACTATGTCTTTGTAACTTTGTTCCTTTTTTTTGCAGATGATAGACTTCTTGGAAACATAGACATATCTTTGAATGAAACCATAGATGACGAAACAGACATTACCCTAGAAGATGGAATTGAAATAGGCCATATGGAAGAGTATGTAGAGAATGTTGAACTGTCTGAGGTAGATGGAGTAGTCCATAAGATGGATTATTCAAGTGATATAGCTCATGACTGATATTTATTTTATAGAACATTTCCTTTTTGTCATTTTTCCTATTCTTATTAAAACATGTTCTCTCGAATGCGAAATATTTATCTAAAGTCAAAATTATCCGATAGGTATTGCTCAAAGTATGTTGTTATTTATTATTTATGTGGTGATGTTTTGTCATTGATGATATCTTGTAAAGAAACATGTTAACATCATTTTTATAAAATGCATTTTTATAGCCATTTTGTTTGAATAGAAACCTTCAGTATAAGTATTACCACAAGGGTAATTGTTCTCTTACCATAAAGCCATTTTTTAACAAATGCACAAGACAAAAAATAACTTGCAAGTATAACATACCTAGAGACAGCTATCAGAATGTTAGATAATATGCCGCGAAATATCTTAGTCAAAATTGCATTGTGCTGTTTTTCCTTATATGTTGGAGAAACTGTATTTGAAATCCACATGCATTTAGTGTCTCGTGCAGAAGGAATCAACCAATGGGATTCCATTTTCATTCTGGATCTCCGTTATTTTTTTGATTTGATTTTGCACAGTTGTAAGAAAATCCTTCATTCTCCATTATCTAAATTCTAAATAAAAAGCTCCATTACAGAATTTAGAAGTCATTTTCTCGTTATACAGTGCTGTTGCCGCAAATTGTAAAGCTGGGAAAGCGTAATTCAAATATACTAAGTGACATATAAATCCGAACACCCAGTTTAAATGGTTCTATTTTAATAAAATTTTGTATAAGTACTTAATGAAGCATAATAAGTAAATGATAAAAATTTCAAAATGATTGCACTGCTTTAAAGCCCTTTGACCTTTAATAATGTGTGAATGCACCCTGATGTGCTACGCATTCTCCAACGCGCCTAGGCATGCTTCTGATCAGGTGGTCAATGTCCTCCTGTGGTATCTCATTCCAGGCAACCACCAACTCCTCTCGAAGTGCTTCTAGAGTCTGAGGAGGACGTTGCAAATTGAGCAATCTCCTACCCATCATATCCCACACGTGCTCAATTGGGGATAAGTCGGGAGATCTTGGTGGCCATGGTAACAATGTGACATCATTATGTTGAAAGAAGTCTATTGTAACTCTTGCAACATATGGTCGGGCATTATCTTGTTGGAAAGTTGGATCTGCTAGGGTGTCAAGATAGGGTAAAATATGGAGTTCTAGAACTTCGTGGATATAACGCTGCGCGTTCATGTTACCTCTGATAAAGATTAAAGGTCACCTGAAACCAGAACTCCAACAGTGTGATGAACATGTCTTTCAACAAAAAACTGTGGATTCCTCCTTTCACCACGTCGCCTTCTAACCCTGGCACGACCATCGTGCATGCCTAAACAAAATCGAGACTCGTCACTAAAGACAATACTGTTCCATTCCTGATCCCAGAGTGACCGTTGTCTGCACCACTCAAGGCGATTACGTCGGTGTTCTCGAGTTAAAGGGAGGACCCAGAGTGGCCGGTATGAAAACAAGCCAAAACTTCTCATTCGTCGGTAAACACTTCGCATGCCAATAGGTCTTCCGTGTTCTGCAAACCATTCATTTGCAATGGACCTGGTAGAGGAGAAATGGTCCCTTAAGCCCAATAATCTTAGCCTGCGATCTTCACGGTCTGTTGTTCAACGGCGGCGTCCAGTGCCCCTTGCTCTTTGCGTACGGCCTTCTCGAAGCCATGCCTGACAACACCTAACCACAGTGTCTACACTTCTTTGCACTCTAACTGCAATTGCCCGAAAAGAAAGTCCAGCTTCCCGAAGTCCCACTATACGGCGCCTATCAAACTCACTAAGTTGACGAAATCGTACAGGTCTCCGTACTCTAGGCACCGTAACCGATCGTAAAGGATGTCAAGAACCAAAATCTGCCAACGTTGATTCTTTACTGCGGCTGAAATATTCATTTTTAGAGCGTTAGTGAATTAAAAAAAAGCAGTATAAAAACCGGAATGTCCAACTGATAAGGCTGAAAATTTTTTCACTTGTTATTTACAGTAAGATAAATACATCCACCAACTTTTATTAAAATAAAACCATTTAAACTGGGTGTTCGAATTTATATGTCACTTAGTATAATTTAGTGTTAACAAAACATATTGGTTAATGCATAAGAAAAATATTATACGTTCTGAATGAATTAAAATGTACTGTTTTTTGTCATGTATGCAATGTGTTTACTTCCGTTGTAATACGATTTTAGAAAATTACCTTCTGGAGTACTATCAATGATATTAAATCATACATCATTTCAAACTCCAATAAAAAAAAATAAAAACTGTATTACACAATAATCAATGAACAGGTTTAAGTAACTCAGATCTATCAGTCTTGTATTCAGCATTCCTCACTGTCTTCTGTTATATCATCATCTTCTTCTTCAGTCATTTCTCCTCTTATTGATGTCTCATATTCTAAGATTTCATCATCACTCAAGTGAGATTCTCCTTCAATAAAGGAAGCAAACCTTAAATTGAGAAATACAATCAATATAGTATGTTTATCACTCATAAAAAAATATATGCTATTTACACTACAGCTAGTTGAATAATAATGGAACAATGAAAAGTATAACTGGGAAACAAGAAAGGCTTGATTATGGATTCTTGAGACACGCCAACATTAAAGAGACTTCATGCGAGTCAGCAACTAAACAGTTTTTAAAATGCTAGATTTAGTATAATACCTTTTAACATCATTCAGTTTCATGGCAAATTTCCATTGATTACATTCAGGACTAGAACAAAATTTTCTAAGTTCTTCTAAAGCCTTAGCTGTTTCTCGCACACCCTCTTCATAGTACTCGTCATTTGTGAGCACTTTTACTTTGGGGGGAAATTTCTTTTTCCTAAAAATATTTTCCCAAATTATACAGGGAAAACCAAATTTGTCTGACACTTGGGTTCAATGTGTACAAGAGATAAATGCGACAACAGTGTATCAACCCATGTTAGAAAGAGGTAGAAGCAGGCTGAAGAGCGAAGGTCATTACCACATTGTCTAGCGACGGTGACGGTTGTGCGTTGCCAATATGTTACACCAGAAAATTTTCGCACAGGATTCTACAATAGGTTAGGTTAACATCAAACCTATACCCTATTTCACGAGTATCCATCACGGGACAATGACAGCTGGTTATCTCGTAATATTTCAAAATTCCCCATATCGGCAAAGGACACATAATTCTGACGTATCCGTCAATACCGGTCCGAGCCATATTTTGTTTTGTTTTTTTGTATGCTACAGATTCATTTTGTACTTGCTAAAAGCTCTATTTAGAAAAGATCATTTGCATACAAAAAACAAAACGTTATAAACAAATTTTTGCTAGATTTACACCAAATTCAGTATAGCCAAGGTTGAAGACCAATAACCTCAATAATGTCACTTGCTGATCAGCTGTTCACCTCAGTAGACGTCAAAGGAGGTCTGTTCGAATATTTAATTCAATATTTTATTATCATTTTGATTAGAATTGTTTATTACAATTTTGATGCGACTTAATGTTTCATTTTATTGTTAACAAATACCATTATGCAATACAAATTATCACTGCCAGTGTGTACGCAGGTGAAAACCATTTCGAAGCAGTATGACACTCCCCAAAGAGCGCTTACTGACGAAAATCGCTCATCTATGATCATGGAGATGGAGTCCTTGCCTTGGAATGTACGAGATACGACGTTGCCAAGCGAATCAATGATGAAATGTTGCAGAACGTGTGGCCATCCTGACCTTTTATTTCGACCTAAATTGGAGCGCCCTTAGGATCGATCCGGAATCGAATCCTATACAGATTCGACACAATTCACAAAGTGTATAAACTCAAAATAAATCCATTATTTGGGCATAGAGAATAAACTAAAGCATATTTTCAACATGCATCTTAATTTAAGGAATTGGTGTAACATATTAGCAATACAGAAATGAGCTTCGCTATCCAGCCAGCTTCTATTTGTTTCTAACATAATGTGTCGATACACACTTCTCTCTCATATGCATTGAACTCAAGCTGTCAGGCAAATCTTGCAAAGTTCTCAGTGTATAATGATTTTATTCAAATTTCATGTACCTGCCTGGATATACAGCCTCAGGCTCATTGAAGTGGTGCAAATGAGGTGAATAGGGTTTGGAGTATGTTAAAGCTTAGGAATAATTACCAGTAAGTTTTAGGTGCTGCTACCCATTTTTGTGGTAGATTGTAGGTCATCAATAAAATAACTATCTGACCCATTGCTGCTTCTTGGTAATCACTACTCTTATAAATGCAAGCTAAACCGACAAACTGCATGAACCATTTTATTATGTTAATAGTACGTGGATTTTCTATTGGCCCCCATCTATAACATACTGAAACAAAAAATAAAATGAATCTACAAACATTCAAGACTTCAGGAGTCCTTTTGCAATTCACACTGTTGTCAGAGTCAATTCTTGGAAAAAAAAAGGAAACGTGTAGTGAAAAGTAGGCAAGGTTTTATTACTTTTTGAGTAACTGTATTCTTTAATGTTTCCTCAATACAAAATCCACTCACTGGATCATTCTCATGATAAATAGCATTAGAAAAAGTGCAGAGCATTTAATGATACATTTTGGTGGATACATAATATACAAACTTATTTTTAATCATCAAAATCTGTTACAAAAAGCCTACAAAAATAATATAACTACACCCACCTTTATAAGTTACTCTACTCAGTCATTTAGGCCTGCATTATCTTTTTATGAGCCTGACTATCTTATTTATTATGCATATTCTTTAATATTCACTTACAGATGAAACTTAAGATTCCTGTTGCAATGGTGTACCACATAACATACAGTCTATAGCTTGATATAATTAATCTGAGATTGTCCCACAGCATTTGTAATATGTATATGACAACAGTCCACCCACAGCCCATAATGCCATACATAAAAGTTTTCTGAAATTATAGATTTTTATTAATAGTTCAATTTTATAGCTTTTATGTTGATCTTACCTTTGGAAACATTTTGCTCACAAGGTACACTAGAATTAAAAATGATGCGCATATTCCAAATGCAATGCCACACAGGTAGTGAAAAGTGGTATTGCAACTTAGCTTGTCAGCATACATAAATACTATTATTCCAGTCACTAATAAAAGCAATTTCCATAAGTCTAATCCTAAAATACAAATTGTTTATATTTTATTCAGTTGCAAGGAAATAATCAATTATAATACTTACTTATTACATCTAAATGCACACTATAACTTTTACTAGTATCAATTCCAATGCAGCTTGTATTGAATGGCTCTAGTTTAAACATTTTTCTTTTGTTACCAGAAAATATGTTAAGTGACCAACTAAAATGGTTATCTACATGCTCCTTTTCCACTACTTCTTCGTTCGGACCTTCATAATGTGTGAAATCATTGCTTGGATGATCAATATGCAACTAGAATTTAAAAATATGAAATTTTGCAGTAACTGGGTTCTTTGCTCAGTATATGATTTAAAATCTAGCAAGTTACTATGGAAAAATGTATGAACTCAATATACAGGTAAAATCCATAATATTGTTGCCATAGTAAATATGATACTATAAAGAGCACTTGCTATCTTACCGTGACACTGAGCCACATATGAACGATACCTTTTGGTATGCCTCTATGACAGAAAATATTCAATTCTCGTCTAGGCACCGAATTTTTAGGTCCCACTTCCACAGTATCTCCTTTTTCCATGTAATGAACTAAAATAGATGCTTATTTCATAAATGCGCTAGTCAATATAACCTATAAACTTACCCGTTGAAGGTGATACCGCGGAATTTAAGCATATTGTGGACAAAATAATAATTTTTATGAACAAAAGAGATACAATTAAGCGCATATTGAAATACATTCACAAATATCACTACACCGTTTTACTTCCACAAAAAATTTTTGCATTTTCAAAACATAACGGTTACAGTTAGACGACGAGTCGGCATAAACATATAAAATGGCGAAATGCACAGAATGCAAAATTCGAGATTTTTGAAGATTCGGTAGATGAAGGACGACAATAGTGATGAACTTTCAATTCACGCTTATCAGGTGGAGTTGAAAGCCTGGATAAACAAATTAGCAAAGACGACATAACTTATCAAATTTGACAGAAATTGACATATTCAAAATTGATGTATAGCTTAATTACAGAAAAAAATATGTAGGAAGCAAAGTCTAAAACAGCGTTTTATTTCGAAATGGTGGATGATCGCCAGAGTAGCCATGAATCAAGCGTAAAGAATACCCATAACGATCAAGAAAGAAGTACCTCAAGATCCTTCTTTACAAAATTTCCCTTTATCGTTGTCCCTTTCTGCATTCCAGTAGTGTGGAAAATGGGAAAAGGAAATGACATTTACAATGAGATTGAAATTTATACATGAATCAAATCCAAGCGAATAACCAAAATTTCTGAGTTATGTATCGCGGTTATAGTATGGTTCAAGATGACACACGGGTTGATGACGTCAGTTACTCGAATCGCTTGAACGCGTTGGTTTTAACCGCGGTTTTGTTGTTTATTTTAGAAAAGCTCGTATATAATTTCTGATTATTTTTATCATCACTTAATATGGGAGAAATCTTTTTTTTCAGAAAAAAATTTTTATTAGCTATGATAACTTTCAACTCTCTAAACTTTTCCGCATGTCAAAGAAAACATTTATTGATTTAGCAGCAATGGTAGGAAAAAGCGATGAAAAAAGATATTCGCAGAACCGCATACAGGTGGACATCATCCAGTGAGTTTATATGGCCATATTTTAATGTTCTTGTGGTATATGGCTACACAGGATACTTTGTTAAGCATAGGAACTAGATTTAAAATATCCCCAACAACAGTAATGATTATAACTAATAAGGTGCTCTACTTTATACTAAAACTGAAGTCAGCCTGTATTAAGTTTCCCAAAAATGAAGCTGAAGTACAATAAAAATATCCAATACCCGGCAAAATTCTAACTTGTCACATTTCAAATAATAACCAGAAATATAAAACTACTCCTAAGTTGGGTAAATACCACAATTTTGCGGTGATAACTATGACATATAGCAGCTGATTCGTGACGTCACGGATCTTATAACCAAACTGATAACCTCACTCGCTTGAACGGATCGGTAAATACCAATCCAAAATGGTAAATACCGCTTTCATTTGGTTATTCGCTTGAATTTGATTTTAGTGTCAGCACAATATTGTTAATATGAATATAATATAAAGACTTCTGTTTCCAAGCTTCATGTCATTGCTGTTCCAGAGTAAAAATCCCACTGGATGGTAAAACAGAATCTAAATCGTTACAATGATTTAGTTTTGCCATCCCTCTTAGTAAAAATAACCTAAAATTAAAAAAAAACAAACATTTCGTTTTCAGTTATTATCCTTATTATTAATTATTCTTGGCATTACATGACTAAACTAGTACTATAAGTTCTGTTGATATAAATAGTTATTTGTAAGCATGACAGAACATTTGCAATTTAAAGATAGCAATCCAGGAGCAGTAAAATATGGTAATTTTATAAATTACTACCAGTTTCATCCTCCAGAAGAAAGGATAGGTTTACTGCCCAAGGATATCTGGGTACAGAACAGTAATGATTTCCTAGCTTTGGACATAGGGTGTAATTCAGGTGTAAGTTCAATTTAATAATGGTGAAAGAATTCCACAACTTATGAATTGTCTTTGCAGGACCTAACTTTTGCTCTTTGGAAGTTTCTGAAATCAGCTGTGATGCAAGATGTCTTCTTTTTGGCAGTAGATATTGACCCAGTACTTATTGAACGTGCTAAAGAAGCCAATAAGGATAACAGGATTTGCTTCCACTGTTTGGACATTGTGGATGAAACCAACAGAAACCATGTTATAAACAATTACTTACAGTTGAAAAATGCTGTGCAATTTGATGCTGTTTTTTGCTTTTCCACAACTATGTGGATCCATCTGAACCATGGAGATATTGGACTCAAAGTTTTTTTATCTTACATATCAAAGCTTGGGAAATTATTGGTAATTGAACCTCAGCCATGGAAGTGTTACAAATCTGCTCTTAAGAGAGTGAAAGACAAAACAATTTTCCCATATTTCCAAACTTTGAAAATACGAGGCAACATTGAAAGTGAGATTGAAAAATATTTAGTAGAGGAAATAGGTTTAGTGAAAGTGTTTGATAGTGAAAGAACTAATTGGGACAGGAAAATCATGATTTTCAAATAGAATGAAGAATCTTTGAATTTGATCATGCCGTTTTATTAAATTGATTTCCTGTAACATCACGGTTCGTAACGTGAATCCCCAGTAGACTGTGAACAGAATTGGCCATCACTACAATTAACGAATCTAAAAAGTATTGTCCTTACGTCCCATGCTTCGGAAATGTCAATCTGTAATGTGTTCTGTGAATTGACAGTTTATCGAATGGTGGTTTGTTTTGGTGTGTAAATTGTGGAATCGCTGGTGATAAAATTCGATTGATTCTCAAAAGTTTCTCAGTATTCAGTATCTCCGTCCGATTACCGGTAAAAGACATGGAAGTTGGCTGTAAGCTGCGGAACATCTGCAGAGCATGTTTAACGGAAGAAGGCGAATTCAGATCGATTTTTGTTCCGGAGCTGAGCTCTGGACTGTCTTTGCACCTCTCAGAAATGATAGTTTCCTGTGCAACAGTACAGGTAGCCATATCAACCACAAACAATTGATTTTCAAATGTACCGCCAGATATTAACGCCAAATATTTTAAAATGACTGATAAGATAAATAAAGAGTTTTGAGAATCCTCCAGTAACTATTTCTCTTTAATGGTCATGTCTAGATTGACAAATTCATGCTGATATGCAAGTTCTTGACGATTTTAAAATATTATTTTTTATAGAAGAAACAGAACATACGATTAAAGATATCTATATATTTTCTAGTCTCATCAAATAGTTTTTCTTGTGATCCCAAATAATTTCATAATCATGCAAAGGAGTTTTTAGGCCCCTCTCTCAAAATACTTAGGTATACCTCCTTGCTAAATACACTTCTCTCATCTACACCTATACACATAAAAGTTGGATAAAAGGATTTTGAAAACATCAAAAAACAGCTGGGAACATCTAATTTTTTTCGTATCTCGCCATAAAAATACACAATAGGGTGAATATGCCAGTAACCTGGACATAACCAGTAGTCGAACAAATGTTATATTCTTGGTAAAACCTTGAATATTTGAAATCCTATACTTGCTGGTAATTGGTACCAGATTTATCAACTAATTTGTGACAGTATGCAAAAAAATCACATCCACAGTTCTCATATTGACAACAATATTATTGAGCATGCATTCGATTCCTCAATTTTTGTCATTTGTGTTGTGAGTGGCAGTTAAAGGCAAGTAGAATAGACTGCAAGTCCTGCAAAACAGAACCCTACGCACAATTACTAACGCCCCTGGGTACGTGTCAAATGAGATCATTCACAGAGATCTTGATGTTCCATATCTAAGGGATTATGTAAAACAAAAGGCGCAGCGGCGTTATAATCAAGCGGAATCGCACAGCGACCCTCTGTTGCGTGACTCAGTAGACTACACAGTCGAGCAAGTTCGCAAACATTTCAGGCCGCGCCTCGCACTGTGATAGTGAGTTACAAAATAATTCGAGTAGTCAAAGCAATAACACTTGAGCTATTTCAAATGATTTACTTCTTTTCTTTGCTCTATTTCTTCCTTCCTTTCTTACCTTCTTTCTCTTTTCCCCTTAAACATGTTTGGTATCTGGGTAGCCAGACCTGACAGACTAACAGACCGACGAGACTTTTAACTAAGAACAAAGGTCCACCGGACCGCTCTGACGAATAATGGCAAGTAGGCAAGTAGAATGGTCAGCTGACAAAATATACATATACTGAGTGACAAAAAAGGTAAACACCTACGTATGTTTATTAGAATTCAAGAATTTTTTACAAATCGGTTTATCCTGCCAAGAACAAGTGATTAAATGGTCAGGTTTGTCTGTTAAGTTTTTGTGGTGGCTACGTGTATTGTTTGGTGATGACGAAACATTCAGTTTTCGTACATTTAAATGTGTCAATTAAATGTTAAATTTCATCTCTATTCGTCATTGTCTGTTAGAGCGGTCCGTAGGACCTTTCTCTTGGTTAAAGTCTTGTAAGTCAGTAGGTCTGTCTGGTCTGGTTGCGCAGATACCAAACAAAGTCAGCGAGAAAGAAGTGAAGAAGAAAGGAAGGGAGGAGGGAGAGCAAAGAAAAAAGAAGTGCGTCAATTTGAGGGGTGCCTTGGCATTGCTAATTAGTATTCGGCAATTTTAAATGGATCCTAAAATTAATTTTGAGATTGTTGTTGAAGAAAAATTATGATTTTGGTTGGACCTAAAGTCGCACGATTTAATTTTGTTCACAGTGCGAGTCGCGGCCTTGTGTGCTTGCGAACTTGCTCGACTGTGTAGTCTACTGACTCGCGCAACAAAGGGTTGCTATGCGATTCCGCGTGAAAATTCATGTAGCTTATTCAGAAGCCTTTTTGTGATTGCTCAAAATGCATAGAATGCGTAGAATTCGTCGGGTATCCCAGCTAAGTGACTTTGAAAGGGGTCGAATTGTCGGGTTGCGTGAAGCCGGTCTAAGAAATCGTGGATCCTCAACAGATTATTGAATCAGCTTCTGCAGTCCGTTGACATACGTCAATCACTCAGTATAAATACTGTTCTTATTACATATGTAGACGTTCAAAATTTACGAAATAAATTAATCTTAATATATGAGGTCAAATTGGAGTGGTCGCTGACTGGATCATCATACTAGCCAAAATCGAATAGTCGCACACATGGCGTGGTCGTTATCAATCTATCTTTTTCTCTTTAACCTATCAAACTTCTCTCTTGGAATTAAACAAACCAAAATACGATTGAAGCCTCAGCCACAGTGGACAGACAAACGAAAGATAACAAATAATGTGGACTATGGCCAGTGATATTGTGCCCGACTACTGGAATGAACAAATTTTCATAGCATCCCAATACGAGACTGTGAAATAAAATTTCATATTTCCACTTCATGCGGGAATGAATACCAAGACAAAATAAATCCAGTATATAAAGTGAAAGGAGGCTAAAGGAGACAGTCGAAGTTGTGAGAAATGTTGGTAAATAGCTTGAAATATGTAAACACTATGGTAGTTTAAAGTCGACAGTGCGGGAGCGGATTAAAGGTAAAAAAAAAATAGTTTCTCGTTCCTTTTTACCTAGTTTGTATGTATTTTTTATAAAAATATCTGTACCAAATGGACTCAGTATGAGTGTGTTTAATTTCTTTTCCTCAAAGTCCTAATAACAGCTGATTTGAAATTTATATTCTACTATCACACACTTAAATACGGTTCTGTCTAAGACTGACCAATCAAATGCTGTCCGATAATTGGAAACTAGCCGGCCGACTAGTAGCACCTTCTGGCCGAGTACTGGCAAAATAGCACATTTATGATTAATATTTTGTGATCACCTCCAAAAGCATTAGTTGTGTTATCTTGAACACAAAATTCGTAATTACACTTAGTATTCCGCTTTTGTCAGAACTGTCCGACCACTGGCACATTCACCCTATTGAGTTTGCAGTTTCAAAAACAGAAACACATACCTATCCAATCTAGACACCATGACACATCCAAATCACTCATTTTGGAATTTAAATATCCTCCCCTTACACTAACTCAATGGTTTCTCCAATCACCAAGTTTTTATAATTTTACAAAACTAAATACGGAAAATAAGGCATAGATATAACACAATGGTTAAAAATACTTACCCAGGCTCACTGCACAGTTATACCTGAAATATTAAAAGAAAAAAGTTTATAAACGTTTCCAAAAGACAAAAAACTTGAGTCTCTAAAAAGACTCATGTAGGTAACTTCATCTAAATGGAAAGGCAAAACTAGAATTGAATTTCAATTCCTAACACTAAAGATATCAACGTTATTTCATATTTAACATTGTTATTTGAATAAAAAAAACTTACAATGAACACCGCTGATCCCCACAGCGACAACAGGCACTTACGAAAGCCGCGTAAACACTCCACTAACCTCAAACCGATATTTTCATAATTATACTAATTACTAGTTTTTCACACGCGAAATCATCAATGAATCAAGAAAAGGTTCAGAAAATGCAACAGAATACACGAAAAAAGTACTGCAAAAGGTACTCTATCTACACACCGGTCATCCATCGACTGAATTCGATCAAGCATCGGAAATCTTGTCGTTCATTTCATAGCCTACTCGTTTGTTTCCCGTAATTTTTTCCAAGAACAAGGAAATGCCGAATATTGCTTATGTACAGTAATGTACAAAATTATTCATTTGCATTTAATGTGTCTTGCATTAAGGTCTTATTCTCCTATTGCTGAAAGCTGAGGTTAAGGAAGATTTTTGTTATGTCTCTTGTTTTTGCTCATTATCTTTCCAATCATTTTAGAGCGTAGACAATTCTTAGAGGGCTTATTAATCTTCACTACATTTTTTCGCTTGTACTATCGTTTTTTATCCTCATTGAGAATCATTCGATGGACAAGACGGTTATGAGTGTCGCAAAATATAGCATTTAAACGTAATTTTTTTACTGTTAAGACAAAGTGCAATAAAACAATTTCTTACCTGAAGCTTGTTGCCTTTTTCATTGTCTTATCAGCCACTCTATATTCGTATGGTTGGTTAGATGGAGCAAGGGCGTACCCATTTTAAAAGGGAAGGGGGGCTCTTTCAAAAAAGTTTTTGATGGAAGTTCCACAAATCATATCTACTTATTTATGCTTGATAATTTTCATATGGATATGAAAAACTACTAGGATTACTTTTTAAGTAATAACATAGTCGTTTACAATACTTAAAAGAAACAATTGAGATAATATAATATGACAAATGTTTGCTATACTGAAAATTATATATACCTCTGTTTTTGGGCGTACATATCCCTCGAAATTTAAACAGGGTGCTCATTTTTTCAGTCAAGTCAATAGGTCAGGGAAGGCTGTAATCGAGCAAAAACTTCAAATGGACTGATAATTTTCAGATATAACATAGTAGGTACATTTTTTGTGGCGTTCGCCAGATAATCCTTGGCCTTCTATTACAGACAAAAATGTTTATAGTTTTGGTTAGTCGGTAATGTTGCGATAGAATAACCGTCAAAAATAAAAAACTAATTTAATTATTAGTCCTTCTATAACTAGGAAAGTATCACTTGATTTTGAAAAAAGTTGAAGTGCCTGTCTAATAGCAGCATTATGACTAAAAATCTATAACTCCTCGAAACTTGACTTTTTTTCGATTCTGATGATTTTGAACGCAATTAAAAATTTTCTCAAAGGAGGCAAAATTCAGAAAGAAGTCAAACTTTGTTGATATATTTTAAGACGTATTCATAAGGTTATTTGAAGCATTCAAAGATTGTGCTGAATCCGGCAAAATTTTTCAAATTATAATCATCCAGTCACTTTTGCGCCCTTAAAGTACTTCGTGTCATTTAGGCGAAAGTCACAAGATCAGTATATACTGTTATCCATCAACATACTTGTATTGTATTATGAAATGTGAATATTTATTGCCGGTGTAGCCTGGACGTCAGCAAATAAAAAAATATTGATGCATAATGTTATGTAAAAATCCACTGATGGAACGGACCACAGTGAATACTGATCGTGCGACATGAGCTTTACCATTTCCTAGATCCCAAAGGCTAGGCTCGAATTTGAAACACACGTAACATATACATACAGTGATTTTATCAAAATTAAGTTTATATCTAACATAGATTCCAACTAATCTTAGCTTAAAACCTTTCTTGTAGATATCCCTCGGCGACGGTTTGCCAGAACAAATCTGCTCATCTTGCGTCTCCAGCGCGGTGAACATGTACATTTTCAAGACCAAATGCGAAGAAAGCGATAAAATTCTTCGAGAAAGACTGAAGAAAATCTCGATCTACTACGATAACCAGTACTATAAGGTGACTCTCAACGAGAACGATTCTCTAAAGAAAGAAGAAATCGAAGTAGCACCAGCAGATCGTGAGATCGTCGTCAAAAGCACCGAAAATCTCAAAAGCAAATTGGATCATTTAGAGGAGGAGGAAGGAGGTTTGAAACTAGAGCTTGCCGATGTAGACACCAAATTACCACAAGACGACACAATTATCTCGGAAGAGCTGGACAGATTTGAATTTGATGATGCGTATAAACAGGATGATAGTACAGACAGTGAAGAAGAGAAGCTGAAAGTTCCTGAAATCGTGATGTCTGCTTTAGAAGATAAATCGAAAGATTTTGAATGTGAGATTTGTTTGAAGAAGTTTGCGCGGAGTGATCTGCTTCTTAGGCACAAAATAGGTAAGGATAAAAGCTCAAGAATATTTCGTTTTTGTAAATATTGTTATACTTTTATTAGGGATGCACCGAGGACTCGGTTTGTACCCGGTACTCGGCCCATTTTACCGAATTTATTACTGGTTTCGTCAATTAAGTTTTTTGATGTTGCTTTATTTATACGCTCCGAATCTCGGTAATTATATGCATCTGTTAGCCATATTTCACATTTCATAGATTTCTCCGTACATTTGCCTTTAAAACTTGGAATGATAGAGAAATGTTTTCAATTCGCGTACTCCTGCTATCCTAAGCTCACCGTCCGCCGCACCGGTCCGGTTAATTATTGCAGCGCTCAAAACCTACACGGGATAAACAGTAACTACCGATGTGGTAGAGAAAGAATGTCTATGGGCTGGTTTGACTGACTTGATCCGTTCAATTTCTCTGTTGTACATGTTCGCAACTGACTTTTTTCTCGGAGGATTTAAATTGCACTGAACTTAATTTCTTTATGAACTAATGACGGCGTTAAGTAGGAAATGCAGAGTCAATCTATTTAATGGCATTTTTTATATACTACTACTACTATACATCTTGTTTCATAAAGAATACGGTAGTCCTTGGAACAGCTACTATATAGGAGTTTAAACTGAAACCACATTGTAGTATTGCCTTTTGTATATTTTATTTACTCTTTTATATTCTTTCATATGAAGACTCAGGAAACAAAAACCATAAAACAAAATAAAATAATGCAGCAGAAGTCGAAAAGCAACATTAACCCGCGTTTCTGCAAAGAAACTGTTCACTGATACTTATTAAGGTTAATTTAGGTTTACTAGTTCCCAAATCTGACTTGGTGCCGCCACGATATCCAGCAGTTTAAATTTATTTGTTTTTAATGGCCATGACACGGCAGCGATTCTATTAGTCAATTTTTCGAAAATTGAGCATCTTCTCGTTGTCCATCTTCAACATAAAATATCGTCAAGTAGATTGACTCTATACTTCCTACACGTTGTTGGAGGTTTCAAAGAAAAGGGATTAGTCAAGTGCTTTCAAATGTTGGAATCTAACCGTGACTGGGCAGGTTCACTTAGGTACGATGAATCTTCGACCTCTAAATATCATATAACATATTTCTGTTTCCATGGCAGGTGTGGAGAGAACGTGCGTGACTCATTATGTCTAACAGGTGCATACTACCGGGATGAGCAGCTTCTTAATAGTAGAAGGCCTTTTACTAACACCAAACATGCAAACATGTACAACCATTTACAGCATGCAACCTACAATATTCAAACCCCTCCAAACAATGTCTGAAAATAAGCAGGGATCTCTGAAACGTTGTAATATGACGTTTTTGTCCGTAGTTCTACTGTTACTGAATCATTTTTCAAAGTCTACGACTACCTAAAGCTAAACGATGTAAGCATTGAGCTCGTGATAATATTCGACTTCAGTTCACAAGTCTTCTGTTGCTTAAATATACTAAGTGACATATAAATCCGAACACCCAGTTTAAATGGTTTTATTTTAATAAAATTTTGTATAAGTACTTAATGAAGCATAATAAGTAAATGATAAAAATTTCAAAATGATTGCACTGCTTTAAAGCCCCTTGACCTTTAATAATGTGTGAATGCACCCTGATGTGCTACGCATTCTCCAACGCGCCTAGGCATGCTTGTGATCAGGTGGTCAATGTCCTCCTGTAGTATCTCATTCCAGGCAACTAATAACTCCTCTCGAAGTGCTTCTAGAGTCTGAGGAGGACGTTGCAAATTGAGCGATCTCCTACCCATCATATCCCACACGTGTTCAATTGGGGATAAGTCGGGAGATCCTGGTGGCCATGGTAACACTGTGACATCATTATGTTGAAAGAAGTCTATTGTGACTCTTGCAATATGTGGTCGGGCATTATCTTGTTGGAAAGTTGGATCTGCCAGGATGTCAAGATAGGGTAAAAGATGGGGTTCTAGAACTTTGTGGACATAACGCTGCGCGTTCATGTTACCTCTGATGAAGATTAAAGGTGACCTGGAACAATAAGCTATAGCACCCCAAACCATAACTCCAACAGTGTGATGAACATGTCTTTCAACAAAAAACTGTGGATTCCTCCTTTCACCACGTCGCCTTCTAACCCTGGCACGATCATCGTGCATGCCTAAACAAAATCGAGACTCGTCACTAAAGACAATACTGTTCCATTCCTGATCCCAGAGTGACCGTTGTCTGCACCACTCAAGGCGATTACGTCGGTGTTCTCGAGTTAAAGGGAGGACCCAGTGTGGCCGGTACGAAAACAAGCCAAAACTTCTCATTCGTCGGTAAACACTTCGCATGCCACTAGGTCTTCCGTGTTCTGCAAACCATCCATTTGCAATGGACCTGGTAGTGGAGAAACGGTCCCTTAAGGCCAATAATCTTAGGCGGTGATCTTCACGGTCTGTTGTTCTACAACGGCGTCCAGTGCCCCTTGCTCTTTGCGTACGGCCTTCTTCTCGAAGCCATGCCTGACAACACCTAACCACAGTGTCTACACTTCTTTGCACTCTAACTGCAATTGCCCGAAAAGAAAGTCCAGCTTCCCGAAGTCCCACTATACGGCCCCTATCAAAGTCACTAAGTTGACGAAATCGTACAGTTCTCCGTACTCTAGGCATCGTAACCGATAGTAAAGGATATCAAGAACCAAAATCCGCCAACTTTGATTCTTTACTGCGGCTGAAATATTCATTTTTAGAGCGTTAGTGAATTAAAAAAAAGCAGTATAAAAACCGGAATGTCCAACTGATAAGGCTGAAAATTTGTTCACTTGTTATTTACAGTAAGATAAATACATTCACCAACTTTTATTAAAATAAAACCATTTAAACTGGGTGTTCCGATTTATATGTCACTTAGTATATATCTGCAAATATATCACGCAAGGGCGTGTTTCTCATTTATGTCGGTTTGTCATTCCGAGTCTGTTGTATATCAATGCGTAATAAGTACTGAGTCAATCTACTTGACTAACTATTCAGAGAACCATCATATACTGAGTAACACAAATTAAAGGTTAGGCGGGGTAAATTTAAGGACCATAAAAATCAGGAAAAATATATGTGTAGATGTAAAAACAGTCAAGTCATCATTTACACACGCATGGCAGAAATATTCCTAAAATATGTCAATATTCCCCTGTAGCGGTGTGACCATGTCGAAATCGAGTTCGAGTTAGTTATCTATTTATTGCGCTTGCTATAGTCGGCAGTGGCCACCACGACGACGTGAAGTATATAAAAAACAATAAATTGCTATTTTCTTGTAAAAGTAAACCGATTTTGAGATTAAGGGGACCTTTAAAAAACGCAAATACAATCTTAATGTCACACTGACAGTAGGTGAAATACACCAGAGCAAATTACTCTACCAAGTAACCGGTACGCGGTCTTCTGAAAAAAAGTAGTACTCGATGCATCCTTAGTACTTATACTCTGTTCTAATTAAAAAATTGAAGCCCATGCGATGAAAATGGAGGACCAGCAACGTAGGATGAGCAGTTCTGACTCTGATAAAGAGTCATTGAATGGTGAAGTTAGCCACCACGTCAACATCAAGACGGAACTGAGTACGTACGCTTGTACAAGGTGTGATGCGCTCTTTATGCAGAAGGCTGATTTGGAAGTTCATGTGAAAAAGGAGCACATCAAGGAAGAATACAAGGTATTAGCACCAAAAAATTGAATTACGATATCCTTAGGGCCAGCGTACACCTCGAATTCGTAGGGGAGAGTATCCTGGAGAATGAACCTGTTTACAAAAAATAGTTATTTCAGGGCAAAAATAGAATTAAGGACATTATTTCAACCACCGAGTAACAAGAAAAACAACATATTGTAACAATTTGAATCATACTTATACTATAATAACAAAAAATGTGAGCGTAATTAAGATTTATTATTATTGATGTTAATAACAAACGAGGTTCTGGCATCTTGGGCAGGGTGCTATGCACTCAATTTTGCTAGCCTTCGCACTATCAGCCTCCCTATTCTGTTGTGGCTCTGTGGGAACCCAAGTTATTTCAGATTGAGGAGTTAATTGTTTCGTATTATTCAAGAGTAATAATGTTGACAATAATATATTGTAGATGATTAAATTTAACACCCGGTGACATTTTTACTTTTCCGCTCACCGTGCCATACTCAGTCTGCCCAGAGTATGAGATTTATCGAAATAAGACAGCACAATGTTAAGTACAGTTCCAGCAGACAGCTTGATGTTTTTACTCTCGCAGAGATATATTCTACTTTGTGCTGTCTTATTTCGATAGACTTAATAGTGGATAGTTGCTCAGCTTTCGTTCATTGTCTTACCGGAGACCAAGAATGCCGTGGAGTTGCCAAATAGCACGAAATCGCTGTCCATGGTAAGTCGTCTCTAATCGGATGAACAAATCTACATTACTGGCTTATCTTACGAAATATTACATGCATTCATTGACACCTCATATTCAGACCCTTTCTAACACGATGTTCGACAGTACCATGTGGAGTACCACGGCGCACAATAGTCTATCGTTGAGAAAGCCTGGCAACGTATTGAAAATGAACGAAAATTACGAGTGTTATCGATTTTGAAGTGAATACCTTGAATATCATGAAATAAGAACTTGCTTAAACTACCTTTACCATGGCAGACTATTATTCTTGCAGTGTTGAGTTAATCATTTACACTACATTTTAACGAGAAAAGTGGGTAGTTTCTGTTTCATCCTTTGTGATGTATTGAAAATATTTGAGCGTGTAAATATGGATCATAATAGAGTTCAGCTTCTTCTGAAAATGTCCTCGATATGACCTTGAAGAGACCTTAAAATGCCTGCCTAAAGACTAATCTCAGATTTGAAATTGGCGACCCAAAAAGACCCTGTTTTTCTGGAACTGTCGAGCTACAGGGACTTGTGGGGATGTCGACTGGATGCTTGCCGTATTTTAGGAAGTGAGTGCTGGGGGAACATTCTTTTCGATGCTCTCTCTTACCGTCACGTATGATCTGCGATGCAATAGAATCGATGTACTTTCCTAGGTGAGTTGCCCGTTGTGCCCCAAGAAGTTCGTCAAGTTGTATCAGCTAAACCGGCATACGAAGGCGGCACATTCCACCGTGGAAAGGCAATATAAATGTTCTAGTTGTGACAAGACGTACTCAAAGCCAGATCAATTGCGAAGCCATCTGAAGACACATCACGGAGAGGGGAATGTCAAACCGCACGTTTGTGACATTTGTTTCAAAGGTATCTACTATAATAGGGGAATAGATAATTATTTGCAAAAGTTGACATCCTGCCAACCGTTTCATCGCGAAACAACTAACGAAATCATTGCTTAGTTGCCATACTTGGTAGTAATGTCGGAATTCGTAATATACGGGGAAAATCAAATCTGTCTGACGGATTGAGTTCAATGTGTACGAGAGAGAATCGCGAGAAGTATGTATCAACACATGTTAGAAAGATATAGAAGAGCGAAGGTCATCACCACATTGCCTAGCGAGGATGACGCAAAAGGTCATGCAATCGTACGCGTGGCCAATATGTTACACCAGAAAATCTTCGCATAGGCTTCTGCAATAGGTCAGGTTACTATCAAACCCAAGAAGGAGATCTGTTCGTACTTTTAGTTTAATATTTTGTTTTCATTTTGATTTGAATTATTCATTTCAATTTTGATGCGACTTAGTGTTTTAATTTATTTCAGAATTATCTTTGATCTCCACCGATGGTGATAAAATCAACACATCCTGAGTTATTGTTACATTTTGCGATAGCGAGCAGTCGGAAAATGTAACAAATACCGTTACCAAATACAAATTATCACTGCCTGCGTATACGCAGGTGAAACCCATTTCGAAGCAGAACGACACTCCCCCATTGAGTGCCAGATGGGTACTTACCAAAATAGCTCATTCTATGACCATGAAGGTGGAAACCTTGCCTTAGAATGTACAAAATGCGGTGTTGCCAAGCGAGCCAATGATGCAATGTTGTAGAACTTGTGGCGATTCTGACCTTTCGTTTCGACCTAAAATGGAGCGCCGTTAGAACCGATCCGGAATCGATCCTAAACAGATTCGACACAATTCACAATTCAAAAATGTGTACGCCCAATATGAATCCATTATTTGGGCGTAGAGAATAAACTGACGCATATTTTCAATATGCATTTTAATTCAAGGAATTGGCACATTGGCAACGCGGCAGATCGCCGAATCAGCGTTGCTAGGCAGGCTTCTGTCTCTTTCTAACATATGTGTCTATACACACTTCTCTCTCGTACACATTGAACTCAAGCCGACAGACAAATTTGTTTCTCAGTGTATGTTTGTCTTACATTGATTAAAATGTTCGAAAATGTAGTAACATTTTCCAATAGGTTTCAACCAGATATCGAATCTAAAAGATCATATGCGAACCCATAATGGAGAAAAGCCGTTCCTGTGTTCAACTTGCGGCAAGGGTTTTAACCAGCTGGGCAATTTGAGGCAACATACCGTGAGGCATAGTGGGGTTAAGGCCCATTTGTGCAGCACCTGCGGTAGCGGGTTTGCCAGCAAAGGAGAGCTGTCTGCGCATCTTAGAAAACATACTGGTAGGTATATATTTGGATAGAATCTACACCAAAGCCGTTTTATAAGTAGGTTTCATATGTACCTTAACCTTCTGTCGCTAAGCAGCACTACATGGTTTTTTGGAGCTTACACTGCATGTGGAATCTATTCCAACATAGATAATGTCGGCTATTGCAGGTGTCTCATGCATCCAAAGAAAAGCTGAAGTATGTTCCTATTAAATAACAAACTATTTCAGGAGCACGGCCCTTCATATGTGACGTTTGTCAGCACGGTTTCACTACCAGTAGCTCCTTAACAAAACACAAGCGGATCCATTCTGGCGAAAAACCGTATGAATGCGACACCTGCAAGATGAAGTTTTCCAGGTCCGGCATCTTGGCGAGGCACAAAAGGACACACACTGGGGAGAAGCCTTACAAGTGCAATTATTGTTCGAAAGCATTCTCGCAGTCCAACGATCTCACCTCACATTTAAGGTACAGCTTAATTATACAATAGGTCCCATTAAAAATCATTTTATTTGATAGACATTTTGTATAGACCTAGTCATGAGCAAGATAAATTTTGGCGCCAGAAGCCTAAATACCAGGGCACCGCGGCTGGTATGAGGAACTTTAAGAAACTTTTTGAATTGGATTTTTCAACTTCCTAAAGTTAGTAGAACATCATGGAGGTGAGCTCTCAGGAGCAAAGCCCGTTGGCGTAGCGGTAGAAGAGAGCTAGATCGCCGGCGACGCCTACCGCATTGAGCACAGATAATGTAGACCGGGAGGCAGCACTCAAACGATGTGAGCAGTACTCGAGGCTAGGTCTTAAGTGGGCCTTGTACAGAGTGAGGAGGCTATGCGGAGAAAAGAACTTCTTAGCCATCAACAAATAGCTTAGCTTTTTCCCAGCAGCTACCGCGATTGACGAGATGTGTTCGTGCCAGATCAAGTCCACGGTAATCTGGACTCCGACCAGCCGAAATGAATGACTCATGGTAGAACTCGGTCAACCCTCGAAATCGGATGAAGGTTAGGGTGCTTCTGGTTAGTCAAAGTACAGTACACTGCTTTTTGGAAGCATTAATCGTTAACCCCAAGAAGTGATGACCTGGTCTCTTGCCAGTCAAGAAGTCCCTGCTAGTCGTCTTGTCTCCAGCTCACTGGTAGATATTGGCTTGTCACTCAGAATTCCTGCATGTAAGGTGCTGTCATCAGTAAATCTGTAGATCGGATTGACCGTACAGGAAGGGAGGTCGTTGATACGTAAGAGGAACAGTGTCGGAGCCCGAGGAACACCCGCGTTGGAGAGGAGAACCCCTCAGTTACGACGGATATCTTGCAGGCAGAGAGTAAATCCAATCATGCCATAGATGATCGGGCCCTTTCGTGATATCAAGAGCAACGATATGAGCCGCACTATATCAAGGTGATCTAAAAGATTGATAGCGAAATCCTAGCAACACCATAAATGTTTTCGCATGAAAATTCTATCGCGGCTTTCGCTTGCTTATGTCTAACTGATTAAAAATGTTAATAAAGTTTAGTCGACTAATGTTCTATCTTTCTGATATTTTTTTCAGGATTCATACTGGAGAGAAACCATTCATCTGTGATCAGTGTGGACAAGCCTTTAGACAGAGCTCGGCGTTGAAGACCCACAAAAAGACCCACGAAAAGCCTGAGTTTGTGGAGATGAAACCAGTTGTGGTTGATGGTATCTACAACTGGTCCTTATAGCTGAGTAAAGACACCAACCAAAGTATAGTATTTTTAAAATGAGACTGTTTCATACCGTATCTCAGAATTAGAGTCGACAGTTTTTTTCTGATACCAATTTTTGTTGTACACTATGTAAGCATTGAATAAGTGAGAGATCTGTTGCTACAGACATGCACGGGTCTGTTTTAGCCTTGAAATTTGTCAATACAGCTTGGCTACTGACAGCAGAGGGCAAATTCAACGGTATAATATAGGTATCAACGTCTGTACTGTACTGTAGTTACCTACAATATAGTAGGATCCATAACAGTGTATTTCTTGTTACCATGATCTTTTTTTGGTCAATTAAATTATAACTGGATTTATACTATTTTTCGGAATGAATGTTACGTCATTTGAAATGTGTATATGTTTTATTCATTATTCACAATTGTTTGTTTTATTTTTTAGTACAGTACTACCAATGTCATGTAGTAAAGATGAATTTTATTGTAGTCAAACTTTACCAAGCCACTAAAATAGATCTACAAATATTTGTTTTTATATGCAGATTGTTTTGTAAATAGTGATGTGACATAGACGTTTTGAAAAGACACTTTGTACTGCCAGTAAGGCCGATATTTTGTATTTATTGTAAATATATGAGTTTAATATATTATTTAATTACAATTTAGTATTTTTTTCATGTTCCTTGAGCCGTCAAATTTGAAGATGGTAATATGACAGTGATTTTCGGTTGCTTTAGTGACGAATGATTACTTTGAAATTCTTCATTTTCTATAAGGATCTGCTCAGTGTTGATATTTTCACTACTAATGATTACTAAGGTGCTCTCTTGGATATCCTTGGTGATATCTCTGGTAATTTCTCCAGTATTATCTTTGGTATTCTTCTCGCCGCCTACAACATAAAACCTATTGATCAACATATTCTATCTGATGATAGCCAACCACATATTGGATTCTGGCGTCCAAAAAGGGGTCTGAAAGAGACCAGCGTCATTTATGAGATAATAGCAGAACACTAAAATAAATTCAGAAATCTATTTAAAAAAGAGAATCTCTGGTTCTGCTACTGTGTCATAGATGGCGCCATGACCTTCACTCCCTTTTTTGCCTGTAATGCCTGAAGATGCCCAAAATCAAAATAAGCATTAGAGACGAAATAAAAAGGTATTGAAGATACTAGCGCCATCGTTGAGATAGTAGCAGAACCAAACAGAAACTCTTTTCAAAGTACATTTCTAAAACCATTTTTGTGTTCTTCTGTTGCCTTGTAGATAGTGTTAGCATCTTTCAATCCATTTTTGTATGCTGGAATACTATGGTTGTCTATCTTCATGTAGAATATGTTAGTCCAATGTTTTTAGCTAATATTGAGAAGATGAGAATGGAGTTGAGTATGGGACAAATTTTCACACCAGATTACAATCTATATCTTTCGTAATTGGAATAGTACTGGTAGGATTAAACAATCTATCGGTTTTGGAAATTGCTCCAGCTGGATAGGAGTAATCATTAATAACAGAAAGATGAAGACATGGAAAAGCTTTCAAATATAGAATTGGGATAACATTTTGATGCCTACCTCTAGCTTTCTTTGTTTTGGAGGCTTTGGTTTGTCTGACAGAACCTCGTTCATGGGCACCCATGTGTTTTCTTAACAAATGGCGAGTTGCGAACTTTTTTTCACACTCTGGGCATTGAAATGGCTTCTCACCAGTGTGAGAACGTAGGTGTATTGTTAGCTGACCTGGACACAGAAAAAAGTATTTTGGATATAAGAAGAACATCTAGTGTCAGTCAGATCTAACCATAAATTTTGGTAACTATGACAGAATGTTACCATGTAATAAATATTGCTCACACAATTTTAATACGGTTATATACTGAGATAATGGATAACTGTAGGAGGTGATGTCTCACCAGATGTAGCCATTTTCTTGCCACAAACTGGACACAATATGCGTTTTTCTCCTGTGTGAATACTCAGATGTCTCTTCAAGTCCTGCACCTGTCGAAAACCTGCACTGCATGTGTTACATACATAAGGTCTCTCATTTGTGTGTTTGCGCATATGAATCTTCAAAACACCTAAAAAATATAGACTTACATAATATAAGTTTTGTTATTTGTTAGTAATAATCTGAAAATTTACTCAACTCACTCTGAGAAATAAATGTCTGCTTGCAAGTACTACATTCGAATGGTTTTTGTCCTGTATGTATTCTCTGATGAAAATGTAAGGCCCCACTTTGTCTAAAACTTTTGCCACATACTGAGCACAAATGTGGTTTCTCACCTGTATGGCTTTTGATATGCTCTTGCAAAAAACTGGGATATAGAAAAGACTTTTTGCATGTGTCACATGTATAGGTTTTTTTCCGATACCCTTCCTCATGTATTTTCATGTGCCTTTTAAGGCTTTCAGCTGTTAGACAGCCTTTACTACATTTTGTACAAGGGAAAGGCTTTTTATCAGAATGTTTGTACTCATGTTGCTTTAGAAGATACTCAAAAATAAACTGTTGCCCGCATTTATCACAAGTAAATTTTTTCTCTTTAGAGTGAGATCTCGAATGTACATCTAAATGTAGCTGCTTAGAAAATGTCTGATTACATTCTAAACATTCATAAGGCCTCTTTAGATGAACAGTCTGATGTTTGATGAATTTTCTCTTATTACCAAATGCCATAAGACATTTTTCACATTGATATTTTGTTTTGCTAGGAGTACCCAGAGTTTCTTCGGCTGAATCTTTATCACTACAAAGATCCTCACCTTCTGTTTTTACACAATCACACTGCTCTTCTTTGACAACTGAATCCTCATCCTTTAAAGCCTCATCTTCAATTATACGTAACATTCTCCGAGTCTCATAGTTCCTCAAAATATTATCTGATGTTACACATTGATGAACTAAACTATATGCAGTAAATGTTGCACTTAAACATACAGAACATACGTTTTCAGGAAGACTATCAGACTTTGTTAGCTAGAATATGAGAAAATGGAGATTTGTGTCTTAGCAAAAGCGAAATATTGTTACAAACCTTTAGCTGGGTGATTCTCCTGAGGAAATCTATGATATAGTCGCTACTTTCTGGTATAGTTATGTGGTATAGGTCAGTCATTGCCTGGGATGTCTTTAAACATATTCGACAGATATCATTGGGATCTATATCAATATCCAAGACAAAATTATTCGTTTGTGTGGTCATATCGACCCGAATATAGCCCTTTTCAAAGGCTCTTCGTTTTGTTTATATTTATGTATGACTGACAGACGGATGATTGAACATAACCTCATTCTTACGCTTTGTGACGTAATCTGGAGATGGGAACGACAGTTCATTAATTTGATTTCTTCAGTAGATATTCAGTTCCAGTTAAAATCGCCCGACGTGGGAAATACTACTTAAATTCGATGAATCAACGATGTAGCGCTCAAAACAGACAGAAAAATCCACTTCAGACAAAATTTTGGATCATGCATTGGGTCGCGGAATGGGGAAATATTAAACATCGACTTAACACGACTTCATATTTTTTAATAATTGTAATTCGTTGTTGGTTATGATGACGAAATATTAAGTGCTTTCTGCTTTATAACATATCAGGTTCATCGAAAACTTATCCCAACTAAAGTCCGCAATCCCAAATTTTTGAAGTATGATTGGCTTTCGGGTACTTGGAGCCCTATCTCATGCTGGGCCTTCCTGCTTCTTCAACGTGTGGTAATAGATATATGTGTGAAATACCTGGAGTCGATTAAATAACTTCTTGAAAGTCAGTCATCACACCTTACCGTCTTTATACTTGTACGTTGAAGACCTGTAGCTCATCAAAATCCTAAGCAATAAGCATTATCGACAAAGTGAAGGAGCAGTTGTATTATGTTAGTTCCTAAACGAGCTGACAGACAAGAATTTATAATGTTATGTACTCTAGGCCATAACTAAACCAGCTTTTCTTTTAAATTTTTGGAGAGACATTGAATAGAACTTTTTCGCTTATGCTGCATTTATGCGCACTTCAAACTCTATGCTCAGGCATTTTTTGGAACTTTCAGGTTTTGATTTTTGGGCTTTGGACACGTGGGCTCATGTGCGGATCCAGGGGGAGGGTCATGGAGTTCATGACCCCCCGGGGAAACTCCAGTTTGACCACTAATATTCATGACTTCCGAATCTCATTGACAAATTTAATAAAATACAGACTGTTTGCAAACATGTAACGGGTACAAATGGGTAAAAAAATTACCAGATTAGGTGGTAAATCGCTACACCCTGATCAATTTGTGTTTGATGCAAATATGAATAAAATAGTGATTCTGCGTTTTAGGGCTTGGTAGCACTTCATGCCCGTTTGTGCATTATTGGAAATTGATTCTCATGTGATCTGTGATTGGTACAGAGGCGACACTCTGTCAAAAAACAGGTTCTGTCAATGCCAACTTGAGTCCTATGTGTTTGGTGGGATTCGGGTTGCTATGACAGTAAGTAGCAGTAAGCAGTAAGGATTTAGGGCCAGGAAAAGCATCAATGCTATATATATATATATATATATATATATATATATATATATATATGTATATATATATATATATATAGCTTTTCAAGAAATAATAATTATTCTCTTGCCAAAATGCATGTGGGTGAGTGAACACAAATAAATTTCTTGATTATGTTATTTGACATACGACATTGACGTCTTGCTAATACTGCGTATCAACCCCTTAGGAAAAAATCCTCCTGGCGCTAATGAACAAAAGCGGGAAATGAGGTAAGCAGTTGGGGACACGAAGACCAAAGGGACCGACAGCAGGTGTCGCATTTGTGTAATCTGTGATTAAGGTAGTTAATTGAAAATTCAGCCATTTGGACATGAATATAAGCAAACACCTTTTTGCATGCGCTTTTAAAGCTGTGAGCAAATTTAATAAAAATACTTTTTGACGGACATAATCAGAGAAAAACGGTACTACTTCATATTTATGTCAGCTTTTGTTTGTAACTTGGCAAACATGGGGCAAGAATTCAGTGGGTGACACTTGGGAGTATTCTGGATCTATTGTATCTATATGATCCTTTCGATTTTCGAAACACCTCTTGATTTCGGAGAAATAGGTCCCTGAAGAAGATGTTGTTGGAAATAGTGTTTTCTTAAATAATTGTCACATATCGTCGCATAAGTTTTAAAATTGTGTGACTAAAAATAATGGCGCCATCAAGATATTCGTGTAATTCGATAGGGAATTCTAAATCCTGCCGTTTCTTTTTCTCTTTTAAAATTTTGTCAGTTTTGAGTTACGCCGTGTTAGAACTTAGACGACGATATAATTCAACGAAAACTATTAACTCATTTAGCTCGTCAGAGACGGACTAGCCATAAACGCAATACCTATATTGCTAACTCTTTTTACACCTTTATATAATAAGGACTTGAAAAGAATATTTTTGGAAGTTGAAATTTATGCTTCGACAATTATTGTGAATGAACATCGGCTGTGGATGGCAAAATGGCAGCGAGTGCAGAATATTCCGCTCTTATTGAAAATTGCGATGCCGAAATGTATCCCAACATCAAAAAGTTCTTATGTCACCGTGCTACATTACCAGTTAGTGTAGCGATATCAGACAGGACCTTGTCTACGATCAGGAGGCTCAAGACGTGGTATCGCACATCTATGGCAGACAGGAAGATTCCCTAAGTGGACTGGCACTTATATATCCATAAAGATGGACATATCGATACGGTTCCCATAGGGAATAAATGAATGAATGATTAAAGGCGTTATGGCCACTAGAGGATCCGGTGCATAAGCCAGATGATGCCGGGTACTTTTGCACCTGAACCTTCTCTAATGCTCATGACCACTGTGATGACCACCACCAAGCGAAGTTGAGTATCGCCTTGAGCTCCATCTTCTTGACGCCATGTGGAACACACAGCAGCTCAGGGCTTGCAGCTAAAGGGGCCATAAGGGCAGAGTGAGTGGCCCCACATCGGGAAAACATCGAAGAGCGGGGAGCGGGGAAAGTTTATACATTCTTTGGAACATAAAAACTCTTGTTGTTCCAACGGTCCTTATTTACTGTCGCTGTCAAAAATAATGTAACGGAGGGTTTAACGTTTCGTTATTTTTATTGCACTAAGAGCTCTCTCATGTTTTGATCATTCTTTTCACCGTTACAGATGGACCAACCCCATATCGGTTTTGACAAGATATTTGCACGCCCTTGCATAGTTGCCACACTGTTTTAATGGCTTTGAGTGGACGCCTTTTTTGGAGGATAAAAATGATTCAAATGTTTTATAAATCGGTTTAATGGCGACGGAATCATGAGCGAAAGACTTGAAATTTTATGATTGACCTTAATTTTTATTTTTGGAAGCTTTTGCAATTTCTGATTGCTTCTGGGATACTAGGAATTTTTTGAAAATTGTGATATCTTCGGGGCAAAGCCAAATAAAGCTTTTAGGTGACCAATTTTTTTTCATATCAATGGTTTCCTAGTACTGAGTTAACCGACTTGCCCCATTTTTTAGCAACAATAAAATACACTTCTTCAGCAGGAGCAATTAGTTTTCTTAGACTAACCGTCGCTGAAAAAATCTGGTTTCTGGGTCTCAGATGGTGGCATCACTTCTTGAAAGAAACTTTGATCATACCCAAAAGTTCTAGGCATCGATACCGTGCATTTTAAAACAACGAATCGTCGACATCCGAGCACGATAAGTGGAAAAATAAACGAGAATCACGTTGCCAACAGCGTGAGTTCACCGTCTAACTAATTCCCATATATCTATCTCCCTCTACCTTACTTCATCAGGCATCTCTCGTCTCTCTCACTCTCACTGCGTGTCCCACTATTTTCCCTAAACGTGCTGGGCACTGTAGTTATCAACGGAGCCTGATTATTTGAACAAGTTTTAGTGAGAAAAGTTAAAAAACTATTGTGACCTAAAAATATAGGGGCAGTAGTGCAAATGGGTCCTAGAGTGCTTTGTCTAGCTTGTTTTGGTAAGTCAATAAGTCACGTTACATTGCCGCATGTTTCATAGTACACTCGTGCGATTTGTCAGGTTTTGCATTCAGAATATTTGGCATTCTTTACTAGTTATACCAATAGTAGTAATAAAACCAAGCAACTACGAGTACACTCTGTGATCTTCTACAAGTAACATCTTATAAATTGATAATAAGTTTATCAGTTGGGGATTCAAGACTAAATAAATGTCTTGCTTGGAATTTCATCGACGTTTATTTGTGTCAAGTGTGGTAAGTTTTCGTAAAATACGCACTGCTTTGAACATGAGGGTGAAGCTTAACCTCCCCTGCTTCCCCCTCGCGTAACGCTCCATTCAGAACTCAATTTATAAATATTTTTGCTTCTCAACAAAACTTCTGCTTTAGAACAATTATTGTGCTTTCCATGTTATCAAACGTTGATCATTGTTTGCGGGTGGGATATTAATTAGTAGTAAAATTTCACAAATTCAAACCAATCTCTTAATCATAATCATCATCATCAACATCATCACCATCACCATCTTAAACGTAATATTTATGCATATCATTTTTGTTGCGCGATATGAATTGAACCCTGTTGAGCCATTTATCAAATACTTTAGTGGAACAAAGTTAAGAACTAAGTAAACTACCACTATTTAATTTTTATAAATAAATTATTACACAAAAAATATTTTTAGTAAGGATGTGAATACTAGACCTGTAAGACATAACATTATAAGAGTTTCACCGCACAACACATTATTTAAACGAAGTTTCACGTACCACCTACCGGGTATAATTCAATACCTACCTGAAGTGTATAAAAGATATTCTTTGATAACATTTCACAAAAAAAAAACTGTTTATATATTTACTACCCATCTAATTTTAAAATTCCTGAATAGTGAAAACTTCCACGGATTTATCGAAAACCACTGATTAAAAGAAAAAACGCCGAGACACGTCAAACGATTTAGCAAGGGGGACAACATTTTAAACAAAAAATACGTCAGCCCCTTTCACTCTCGCCACCCAAGGGTCATTCCTTAAAAATTTTAGATGACAAGGGTTATCGAGTAAAAGCTTGTTTGAAAGGTCTTTCGAAGTCCTTTATTTTGACGTCTACTTTTTTTGAAATCCGTCGATTCGTTTTAGAGAAAATTAGAGAAATCTTTATTCATCTTAATTTGTTCAGATAAGAAACAAAAACACATGAACATATCACTTTTTGTATCAATAAGTGTTCAAAATGTTTCCCGTTAGGGTTTGTCAAATCTACAATTTGCTTATAATTTAAAACGGAAACTACCAACATAAACAGCAATTCGGAATATTAGGCTTGGCAACAACCAAATAACAACCCGAATTTTTTTCCGCATTCTTTTCATGAACACAAATATCCTGGGCGAACTGTATTTATTGTTATATCGGTTTAGTTACTTCTTGCTAGCTAAGGGAAAGAAAGAATTTAATTTGTTGTTACATTTGTGGATAGTGAAAATGATTTAATTTAAATTCAGATTTCGTTTCCAAGATGGTTTACACACTAGCCGAAAAAGTGGAAATGATTCTAATTTATGGTGCCCAAAATCAATGTGCTCGGCAAACTGCCGTCAAGTTTAACGCCAGACATTCCGGGAAGATAACTTCGCATATGTATGTTTTGGACTTTGTTACTAAATTTACTCAAACTGGATCTGTTGCAAATAGAAAATGTGATCGTCGGAAAATTTTGGATGAAGCCGCTCAAGTTGAAGTTTTGGGTCATTTTGGAATAAATCCTAATACTTCATTACGTAAAACTGTTGCTGCGACTGTAGGCTCTGTACACACAGTTACTAAACTCTATAGATTCCATCCATTCAAAATGAAAATATTGCAAGAGTTAACCGAAGATGATTTCGATACGCGAGTTGAGTTTTGTGAACAAATCACTGCAGCGATTAATGATAATACCATTCATGTAAAGGATATCTGCTTCAGTGATGATACATTTTATCTAAATGGATTTGCTAATAAGCATAACTGCAGGTATGGGAGCAATGAAAATCCTCATTCTTTTGTAGAAGGACATACCCAGTACCCCCAAAAAGTTAATGTATGGGCAGACATTTTAGGAAACAAAGTGATTGGGCCATCAATCTGCTTATCACTGAAACCATTGAAACCCAAAATCGAAGAGGTTGGAAACCCTATACTTGATGAGGCTGAAATACTTGTACATTTGCAGCAAGATGGCGCACCTAGTCACTATGTTCTTCCGGTTCGGCGATGGCTAGACGACGAGTTTCTACATAAATGGATAGGGCGAAGAGGGCCTATAGAATGGCCTGCTAGATCTCTTGATTTGACGTCATTAGACTTTTTTGTATGGGGCCATTTAAAATCTATTGTGATTGCTCCCCAACCTGAAAGTTTGGATGAACTTCGTCAACGCATCATCGAAAGTTGCCATGATATCCCTCAACATGTTTTTGAAAATGTCCGTCAGGGATTTGCACATCGCTTATATCATTGTTTGGCCAATAACGTGCAACATTTTGAACACTTAATGAAATAAAAAGTAATATTATTTTCGGGTGTTTTTGTTTTCTATTTGAAAAAATTAAGATAAACAAAGACTTTTCTAACTTTCTTGAAGACGGATTGACCGATTTTAAAAAATCAAACATCAAAATAAAGGTCTTCGAAAGACCTTTTAAACAAGCTATTACTCGATACTCCTTGTCATTTAAAGTTTTCAAGGGTTGACCCTGGCGGGCAGAGGGTGAAAGGGGATGAAGTTGTTTTTGGTTAAAAAATTGTCTCCCTTGGCAAATCTTTCGACGTGTCTCGGCGTTTTTTATTTTAGTCGTTGGATTTCTATAAATTTGTGGTGGGAAGTTTTCAAATGAATATGCATATGATGTATTATAATTTCTGATTTACTTACTTTCCGATCATCTCTTGCCTGTTTCTTCTTCTGTTCTAAGATAAGTCATAAATTTGTGTAAGTGTAAGACTAGCGAATGCTAAACTTCGACAGTTAGTTTGTTTCTAAATAAAGTCGACTATTATTATTATTATTATTAGTATTACTAAATGCGATAAGTAAGGTAGATATTAACTTGTGAAACAGCATGTTACATGCAAGGGCGGATTTAGGAATCTGTCTTGGGGAGGGGGGCAGCGGTGGTCGCAGCATTCATGTTTAGGAAGACGATGGGATAAGTCTCACGATTCATTACTGGCAAGGCGCTTTTTGCTCTAAAATACAGCAATACTAAATATGCCATTTTCCTGAAAACTGTGGGAGACCCAGCGCTTAGGGGGGCGAACGCTCCCCTCTAAATCCGCGTTTGGTTGCATGAAGGATTGGACAAATTTATTAAGTTCATTTAACTGAGCTCTACCTAATTTTCCATTAAAATATTCACTTGTCTAGACCGAGTCTAATTCTCTGATTTTCTCCAAGTACACTTTTTGTTTGCCACCCTTCTTTATTTACATAGGCATAAAAGCACCATAGTGATTGCATATCACAAAAATTCTATCAGTCAGACTCTTTTTATACTTTAAATTGCGAGATATCAGAAACTGCTGCATTATTATTTTTAATTCTTGAGAAAACCTTCTAGCTTCACTAAAAAATTATTTATCAGGACATGGGTAACAGATCGTTGTTAAATGAACGAAAATTGGAAAAATGTGGAATAGTTTAAAATTATATGGCATATGATTTTAAAAATTAAAAATTTTTCACGGCTCGGCAAAATAGCCAAAGACATGATTCAGTTGCAAACTGTAGCATGCGTAATCACAATGTGAATTCTGTTTTTTCAATATATCTCACGTAAGTACATAGTGGGCTTCAATCGATGAAAATTGTGGCACGCTGTATTCTTAATATGAAACAGAATAAAACAGTTTATAGATTTTATAATCCATTCACATCGAACATGAACACTACATTAGTATACGTATGTTCTAGAGGAAACATTGTAGAGGAAAACACAGACAAAACGACAGGTTTTCTTATTGCAACTTTGTAAATACAATACATACCTCATTTTCGCATGGAAGATTGTACCTTACCTGTATTGCAGAAAATACCTGCATGTGTACCTAAACGTGGTTCTAAAATCAATCCAAGGTAGTGTAGTTATATAATATCGACCCAAATATCCAGAAATAAATCATAATCATTGCTAAACTATTTTAGTTGCAAGAACAATTGCATTTCATTGTTTACTGGCAGGATAGCTTCCACGTTATTCAGTCATTCATGTGACATTTCCAGGTTTTCCTTTTATACCTTAAGGTGTCCACTCAGTGGAGGACTAATTCCGAACAGATTGCTACAATTCTGTTTCGGGGATTCGATCATTTGGTATGTTTACTATACCGGAAAAACAATGTGAAGTATCTTGGTGAGATTGTAATTTATGTTAGTGGTTTGTACTCACAATAAGCGAATCTAATAAAAATTAATATCAATATTATACAGAATACAATAACAGCTATTAAAAATATAGCAGTACAGTTTTCGTTTAAATTTTTTTTAGAACAAAGTTGTGTCTAGCTCGAAAAATTGCTAATACAAATTACTAGAACAACTGGTGGGTTAAACCAATCTAGGTCAAATAAAAAATATTTAATTAAATCACAATTCTAATAACTATTTAAAAAAAGCGGGGCATAAAATAATTTAATTTTTTTCACGTGGATTCGTGCTGATTCCGAGTTAAAAAAAATTGGAACGTGTTCTTCAATACGTAGACCCTTCCACCCGCTGTTAAATTTCCAATCGCAATACCTTCCGAGACGTGCATAGATCCTGATCCCCCCTCAACCTCCCCAAAAAAAATTCAAATTCATCAGATGGACCCTCCCCCAGAATACTATCTAGATTCGCCTCTGCCTACGGCCTCGCGCCTCAGGGGGTCTCGCAAAAATGTTATAAAAATATCCTATTTTTCGGTCATTGGGCAATCCCAGGACCAAGAGAAATGGAATCCAGAGCCGACAAC